GTTCACTACTCACGACGATGTTTTTTTTGGTACCTTTTTTCACCGGAAAGGACCCGTAAAGTGATAATGATTATCATCTACATATCACAACGTGCGTGGAGGCCATCAAACCACGTCAAATAATCAATTATGACGCAGGTATCGTATTAATTGATCTGCATCAACTTAACGTAAAAACAACTTCAGACAATACAAATCAGCGACACTGAATACGGGGCAACCTCATGTCAACGAAGAACAGAACCCGCAGAACAACAACCCGCAACATCCGCTTTCCTAACCAAATGATTGAACAAATTAACATCGCTCTTGAGCAAAAAGGGTCCGGGAATTTCTCAGCCTGGGTCATTGAAGCCTGCCGTCGGAGACTAACGTCAGAAAAGAGAGCATATACATCAATTAAAAGTGATGAAGAATGAACATCCCGCGTTCTTCCCTCCGAACAGGACGATATTGTAAATTCACTTAATTACGAGGGCATTGCAGTAATTGAGTTGCAGTTTTACCACTTTCCTGACAGTGACAGACTGCGTGTTGGCTCTGTCACAGACTAAATAGTTTGAATCATATTTTTTACACGAATCAGATCCACGGAGGGATCATCAGCAGATTGTTCTTTATTCATTTTGTCGCTCCATGCGCTTGCTCTTCATCTAGCGGTTAAAATATTACTTCAAATCTTTCTGTATGAAGATTTGAGCACGTTGGCCTTACATACATCTGTCGGTTGTATTTCCCTCCAGAATGCCAGCAGGACCGCACTTTGTTACGCAACCAATACTATTAAGTGAAAACATTCCTAATATTTGACATAAATCATCAACAAAACACAAGGAGGTCAGACCAGATTGAAACGATAAAAACGATAATGCAAACTACGCGCCCTCGTATCACATGGAAGGTTTTACCAATGGCTCAGGTTGCCATTTTTAAAGAAATATTCGATCAAGTGCGAAAAGATTTAGACTGTGAATTGTTTTATTCTGAACTAAAACGTCACAACGTCTCACATTATATTTACTATCTAGCCACAGATAATATTCACATCGTGTTAGAAAACGATAACACCGTGTTAATAAAAGGACTTAAAAAGGTTGTAAATGTTAAATTCTCAAGAAACACGCATCTTATAGAAACGTCCTATGATAGGTTGAAATCAAGAGAAATCACATTTCAGCAATACAGGGAAAATCTTGCTAAAGCAGGAGTTTTCCGATGGGTTACAAATATCCATGAACATAAAAGATATTACTATACCTTTGATAATTCATTACTATTTACTGAGAGCATTCAGAACACTACACAAATCTTTCCACGCTAAATCATAACGTCCGGTTTCTTCCGTGTCAGCACCGGGGCGTTGGCATAATGCAATACGTGTACGCGCTAAACCCTGTGTGCATCGTTTTAATTATTCCCGGACACTCCCGCAGAGAAGTTCCCCGTCAGGGCTGTGGACATAGTTAATCCGGGAATACAATGACGATTCATCGCACCTGACATACATTAATAAATATTAACAATATGAAATTTCAACTCATTGTTTAGGGTTTGTTTAATTTTCTACACATACGATTCTGCGAACTTCAAAAAGCATCGGGAATAACACCATGAAAAAAATGCTACTCGCTACTGCGCTGGCCCTGCTTATTACAGGATGTGCTCAACAGACGTTTACTGTTCAAAACAAACCGGCAGCAGTAGCACCAAAGGAAACCATCACCCATCATTTCTTCGTTTCTGGAATTGGGCAGAAGAAAACTGTCGATGCAGCCAAAATTTGTGGCGGCGCAGAAAATGTTGTTAAAACAGAAACCCAGCAAACATTCGTAAATGGATTGCTCGGTTTTATTACTTTAGGCATTTATACTCCGCTGGAAGCGCGTGTGTATTGCTCACAATAATTGCATGAGTTGCCCATCGATATGGGCAACTCTATCTGCACTGCTCATTAATATACTTCTGGGTTCCTTCCAGTTGTTTTTGCATAGTGATCAGCCTCTCTCTGAGGGTGAAATAATCCCGTTCAGCGGTGTCTGCCAGTCGGGGGAGGCTGCATTATCCACTCCGGCGCCTGTTGATTTGAGTTTTGGGTTTAGCGTGACAAGTTTGCGAGGGTGATCGGAGTAATCAGTAAATAGCTCTCCGCCTACAATGACGTCATAACCATGATTTCTGGTTTTCTGACGTCCGTTATCAGTTCCCTCCGACCACGCCAGCATATCGAGGAACGCCTTACGTTGATTATTGATTTCTACCATCTTCTACTCCGGCTTTTTTAGCAGCGAAGCGTTTGATAAGCGAACCAATCGAGTCAGTACCGATGTAGCCGATAAACACGCTCGTTATATAAGCGAGATTGCTACTTAGTCCGGCGAAGTCGAGAAGGTCACGAATGAACTAGGCGATAATGGCGCACATCGTTGCGTCGATTACTGTTTTTGTAAACGCACCGCCATTATATCTGCCGCGAAGGTACGCCATTGCAAACGCAAGGATTGCCCCGATGCCTTGTTCCTTTGCCGCGAGAATGGCGGCCAACAGGTCATGTTTTTCTGGCATCTTCATGTCTTACCCCCAATAAGGGGATTTGCTCTATTTAATTAGGAATAAGGTCGATTACTGATAGAACAAATCCAGGCTACTGTGTTTAGTAATCAGATTTGTTCGTGACCGATATGCACGGGCAAAACGGCTAAAAGAAAAAGGATTAATACTCTTAAATGCTCTTATATAATAGGTTATTTTTCTAATCCGTTCATAAAAATTTTTTTACAAAAAAAACTTCTAATCTGTTCTTATATTTTAAACTGATTTCTAATTTATCATATATATATATATATTAGCATTTATACACATCTATATTAATCTTCACATAATTTTCCTTTTTTATACCCACCCTTGTCATCACTCCTTTAATTTTGATGATCATTATCGCATATAATTTTTATTATTACTCTGCAAACAAATTATTCTATAATTATTAATTATTTGAACTAATATACTTTTTTCAAAAACTTATAAAGAATTGTTTATATGTTTGATTATTCTAATGCTTTATATATAAATTTTTAAGATGTTTGATCAGGTAATAAGAAGATTAATTTCATAAATAATTGTTAAAAAAAAAATCAAAATATAGAAAATGAAAAGAAATTTTATTATAAATAAACTAGTTCCATTCTGAATGATTTAACCAAGATCGTATCAGGTATGAGGTTAATCATAGTGCAAGGAAACTTACTTGAAAAATAGTATGATCATTAAAATAGAAAATAAAAATAATCATTGTAAAGAAAAAGAAAATAAATATGCATTTCTGTTTCCAGGAAAAAAAAAAAAAAAAAAAAAAACGTCAACCAATCCTATTAAAATTAAATTATTATTTAGTACCTAAGTTTTGAACGTAATTATAACTTAGTCCTTCATGTTTGAAAACATATATTTGGACTCTTGACTCTGGCTAGCCATTGGCTTATAAAACATTTGTTGGCCTTTTGCTTTTAAATTCCAAATGTACTCTTTGACAATTTAAATTCTTAGAGAAAAACCAATAAAGGGAGTTTATAGAAGAATGAAGACATTTAAGAACAACAGTTAAACATGGACTCCAACAAAACTTTAACTTCAGACCAAAAAAGAGTGAGGAGATGAATGACTCTGGCGAGACAGAAACACATATCCAACAAACTTACAGAAAGCATGGCAAGGAAATTGGGCTAAACACTAGCAAGAATGGATTTGACAAACAGCTGCTCTATCCATATAAGGTTTTGATCACATGGTGAATCCTAAGATGAAATCAGGAGCAGAAACAAAAGTAGAACACCGGCGAATTGAGGAACAACAACCTGCCTAATTCAAAACAATTAACTTCTAGTTCCAACCAGACAACAGATAGAGAGCAATAGACTCGAAAGTAAAATTGTATTGAAGTTGGTCTCAGCCAAAAAAATTAATATTACACACATTGTCCCAGGAAATAACCCAGGTTGTACACTGACATATATCTATGAGAACAAGATATTAAACGAACCTTGAATTAGCTTCCTCGATATAAAAGGCACTACAAAATTGCCATGGAAAACAATTCTACATCGTGACAATGAACTGAGAAAAATACCTAATGACTTTTGATGAGGACCGTCAACCTACTCACACTTGATTGACCCATACATATGATGGACCAATAGCAAAGCTGCACGAAAACCTACAGTCCCAAGCATAAGGAAGAAACCAAAACAAACACAAGCCATGTAGCCAAAAAAGAACGAGATTTGCATGAAACCAGACATATCCGAGCGTGCATAGTAGTAGCACAAGCAGTAGGCATACATAAATAAGCCAGTTGATCCACCACAGAGAAAAGACCTGTTCCAAATAAAGCAAAAATATTAACCTGCCAAAACTTAAGGTATCTGTTCAAGATACAACAGAAAGCTTTGATCGAGGAAAAGGCAGAAAAGAAATGCAATGAACTTCCATTTAAGGCAGACCAACAAGGAATTATCAAAAAACATCTTTCTATAACTACTGCCTGCTCTTCCACTTGGTTCCATTCATCTACAGCTAATAATCATTCCTAGATAGGAACAGCAAAATTCCAACACTTTTTTGCATTGAAACCTAAGTCTACAATCACCAAGATATTAAGTGCTATGTTGCTTTTTCATATGAATTTATATGTAATATGAAATGAAGCTACGGATGAGGAAAAGGCTGAGGTATAGGAATAAATAATAGCTGCATACCTCCACCACCAATTGTGATCCTCAGCAGCAAGTTGGAAATGGGTCAACGCAACTGTGATGGAACAAGTGACTATCAGAAGTATAATAAAGACAACAAACAAGATGCTGTAAATGGTGTAAATCCTGTGACCCCACACACTAGCATATGTGTAGTTAAGTTCGGTGCATATAGCAATGAATGGCAGAAATCCTGCCATTGCCATTTGAGGAATTGTTCCCCGATACCATTGCAATGGTGGAATCTCTCTAGGACATTCGGTGGTACGACAAGGAGATTGAAACTCAGCCTTCCTATTCTTCCCAAAAACTCCGCCTAAAACGAGCAAAGGAGATGAGACAAGTGCCCATATAAGAACTATCACAACAATTGTGCCAAGAGGAAGAGCTGCATTGGCAGTGTAAGCAACTGCAACAGTGTTTAGGAAGCAAAATGTGAGGAAAAGTGGCCCACAGAAGAGACATCCTGTCAACAATAGATTGCTAACCTGTGAAGATTCAAGATAAAATTAGTATACATCGTCAAATACTTTTCAGTTCCAAACCCATCCTTGCTGAGAAAGTTTATGAGCAAATACCCAGTTAGTTCCTTCAAGCTGACAGTAAAAGGTGGTTGTGGTGTATCCTGCAATTCCTGACGTGAGAGCGTATATGACAATCAGTGCTGTGAGTAAAACCCCGCGGTTGTATGGATGAAGCACTCCAACTAGTGCCAGAATAAAAATAAACACCGTACTGCAAGGCAAAAAAAAAAAAATGCAGGTCAATTTTTTTAAGAAAAGCAATAATAACAACAATAAGGGGTGGACAAATCACTTACAGAGTCAATAGCTGGGTTCCAGAACCAAGGCAGGCTGCAAAAAGAGACTTGTACTTGGGATGCCTAAAAACATCTCCATGAATGCATTTCCAACCAGTCTCTTCCAGATCTTCAGCTAATTCCTCATCATTAGCATATCTGAATCAAAAAAAGATGCACCATTGAGCTAGGAATGGCCAGATATACACATCCTAGGACACTGGAACGAGAACACACCAACCAAAATGAATAGAATCAACCAAAAACACAACTCGTACTTGACAAAGTCATTGTTCAGGATTTGCAAGATTGCAACAACAAATCCAGCGAGAAGAAGAAGTATCATGCATGAATTTGTAATGGAATGCCAACGGATGTCTAACTGAGAGTACTTATCCATCCTCTTCTCAAAAGGGTATTTGTCTTCTTCCACTTCACTGTACATAGAAACTCCACATCAACCTCTTTGTCCTCAGGAAGATCCACCACTTCATTTAAATGCGTCATAGCATTAATCTCAATCACACGATCCTCATTGTAAAAAATATCAAATTGAATATGTTTGAAAAGGTAATATCTATGCTTGCTATCTATCCTTTCCTTTTCAAAGCTCCCTAAGAATGCCCAAATGGGTAAGTCATCAAAATACATTTGAAAATAATAGTCCTCACTAACAGCAGCTCGAAACCTCGCCACCTCTTCCTTTGACAACTTCTTCTTGCAGACAGATTCAGAATGTTTTTCGCGTAGGAATTCAAGCTGGTACGGTGCACTGACCAAACGATCCCCATTCAGTACTTCAACTAAAGACAGCTTTTTCCTTTTCACATTATCTACAAACAAAACCAAATCATAAAACAAATCTCCACTGAAACTAAGAATAAATGGTAAATAAAAGAACCCATTTCGACAGATTCTAACCTGGCATGCAATATCCAAGATCAAAATAGCCATAGGTTTCGCTGAAAAATCAAACAAAAAACACAAAGCATTACTTACCTAAACCATTATTATGTCTACCGATTTAAAATAATAATAATAATAATAATGTAGATTTATTCAACCTTAAAAATACGGGGAAAAAAATCTTAAACTGCATGTTACTCAACATTAACAAGAGAGAGATATAATCAGTAACAACTAAAATAAACCCATTAACGGAAAAACATGAATTAACTAATTTACCTAGGATTGCGATAGGGTCCAACTTTGTTAGCATAGAGAGGGACCGGGTCTCCTACTCTGTACCGGTGGTCTGTTTCATCAGAACTAGCCTGATGGACACTCAAAACTATCAAAACGGCGACGAGCATCATCGCCTCTAAAATCCTCTCGGCCATTTTGTTGTTAACCAGAGGTTAGTTCAATCCGGATTTAAGTAAATACGAATGAAGATTATCAGGAAAAGAGTGCCGTTGACTTGTGATGGAGACATTGAATTTGTCTCCCTCGAAGGAAACATAAAACTAAAAAAAACGATAAATGTGTTATGAAATAATCAACATTCATCCGTTATATTCATTCATTTTTCATATCTACACTATTTATGATTATTAATATAATTTAATTTATTAAAAATTAAAAAAATGATGTAATTGATTATTCATAGTTCTTTTCAATTTTCTCTTCAAATTTTAAACCTATAAATAGGCATGATTGTTCATTAGTTAATGTATAAGTTTTTTATAGTAGAATAAGAGAAATTTTAAAGTTCTTATCACTTGTATCCACATTATAGTAATTTCATTTTCTTGTCATTATTTCATTCAATTCTTCTATTATTTCTATTTATTTTATAACATGTTAGCAGACGAAGCTCTAACCAATCGAGACAATAGACTCATGAGGTATGTATCTATCAAAAGATTTAATCAATTGTTTCAACAATTGGATTTCTTCTACATAAGTGCTTTACCAAAAGATCTAAATTATTTAGATCATTAAGAGGTATGTATTTAATTTATTCATGTACTTTAAATCTATTGATACATGAAATATATATTTGAAAAACTTAAATGATCTACTAATGATCTAATTTATGTTATTTGAAAAGCTTTAAGTTTATTATTATATTTATTATTATTTTTTAATATTATTATTACATATTTTATTATAGAATTTTTATCATATCAAACCTCATAAACTTGATTGGGTGACTCTTGATATTTTGGATAAGAATTATTGATTATGAGTGCTTGATTTTGAAAAAATATTATCTACTTTTTATATCTTGGATATGCTCCCGTAGTAGCATATCGAGAAAAAGAGTTTAAGAAATATTTTAGATCGATTTTATACTTGTTAGTGGCTAAATAAAATAAAAAAGAATAAATCTCATCCAATTGGATCTACTCCATTCCCTAAAGTGAATGTGACAATTTATAATAATTTTAGACATGGATGAAGATGTGGTCATAGCCATGGATATGGTCAAAATAATTATCATTATAATCGTAATAATATTACATCTCACCACTAGAAGTAGATAACTATGAAAAAAAGAAATAAAATTAGATAAAATTAGTATTCGAAAAATAAATATTATAGACGTAGAATAAATGAATATTGATCGTGTACGTCGTACACCAAAGCATCTCATGAGCCTTCGAGTCTTATTAAAAAATAAAAAGTAAAATATGAAGACCCGTTTAATATATCAAAATAATAGTAATTGAAATTAATTACTTATTAGTTTTCCTATTTATAAATAAAATATTTTTTATTTCTAATAATTTACATTGTATAATGATGGTTACAAATTTATTTTACTATTTATTTATTTGTTTGTGTTTATGAGGAATATATATATTTATTTATTTATTTTATATTGATTTATTTGATTATTTATTTTATGTTAATATTATATATAATAATATCAATCTAATAGAAAGTTCTAGAAGAGTGACTATATTATTATCTAAAGAGATGGATTTTGAAGATTCTAGAAGAGCGATTATATCATAACTTGAAAAGATAAATTTTTGAAGCTCTAGAAAAGTGAATAAATTATTACTTGAAGAGAAAATGTTTAAAGACTCTAGAAGAGTCGATATATTATTACTTAGAGTGACTAATTTAAAGGCTTTAGAAGAGCAAATATATTATTATTTGAAAGGATAAATTTATTATAAATGATATATTATTCTCTTCAAATGCTCATAGAAATTTATTGAGTTTCAAATATATTCATCTTAATTGATATCATATAGAGATAACAAATGTGAATACTTATATGTTATAATCATTATATCGTGTAGAAAATATCTATCAAAAAATTTATCTCGTGTTCTCTTCTAATCTTTATTACAAACATTGAAATGATTGAAACAAATATTGTAGTAAACCGAAGTTTACTAATCCAAATACTTTTACTATGTGACATAACCAATTGTGTTATCTTAGGTCTTTCATGATGCGAAAAAATTATTAAAAAATTTATATGAATATCTATCGAAGAGCCAAAAGATTCTTCAATTTATTGAACTTTCATATTCTCGCATGTTGCCAAGGTAAATTGATGGTTAAGCGATCATAAAGTAAAATTGAGATTGAATCTTCAGTAATTTAGAATGTATTCAAGGTGATATATGTGGATCAATTCATTAACCATGTGAACCATTTAAATATTTTACGATTTTGATAAATGCATCCACAAGATGGTCACATATATGCTTATTATCTACTCGAAATCTGACGTTTTCGAGATTGCTAGCAAATAATTTGATTTCGAGCATAATTTTCAAACTATGCCATTAAAACAAGTCACCTTAATAATACCGATGAATTTATTTCTCAAGCATTAAATTATTATTGATTGACTATTAAAATAAAGGTTGAACATCCCGTTGCTCATGTTCATACTCAAAAAGGTTTAACAAAATCATTTATCAAAAGGCTCTAATTGATAGCTAAACCATTATTTGAAAATAAAACTTCATGTTTATGTTTAGGGACATGCAATCTTACATGCAACAACACTTATTTACATATGACCCATAAGTTATCGAAATTTTCTCCTCTTCCGTTGATTTATGGTTATGAGTCAAGTATTTCTTATTTATGAATTTTTTAGCATTGCAGTGTATATCGTTAGTGCTCCTTCATAAGAAAATAAAATAGGCACTTAAAGGAGATTGGAAATATATATTGGATTTGAATCCTTTTTTATAATTAAATATCTTGAATCATGAATAAGTGATATTTTTACAACTTGATTTATCAATTATCATTTTGATGAAATAGTTTTTCCAATATTAGGGGGAGAGAATAAACAAAATAAGTAGTTGAAAATTTTGATAAAAGAAATTACATGGAGTATTCTATCTTTATATCAATTTGGTACAAAACAATGTGAACTAGAAATTCACAAGATAATTTGTTTACAAGGTTTTATAAACCAACTACTAGATGTATTCTCATATCCTAAAAGAGTAAATAAAATGCATGTCCTCGTTGAGAATGCTTCTATTAGAATTGATGTCCTAGAAGGACAATCTATTAATATTATAGCTAACAAATTTAAAGCATGCCGGAAGCATGAAAGATCGATCGGTTCTAAAGATAAAAATCCCTAGAAAAAGGACAAGATGAAAATATAAAAGATGTAAATATTCACAAAACGGTCCAAGATATTTATGATAATATGCTTCCGAAAAAGTCTAAATGCTTGAGAAAAATCAAGAGATTTTGATAAATTATGTCAATACAGGGAGAAAATAAGACCGAAGAGAAATATTTATTGATAAGATTTTTGTACGTAAAGTTACAATTGATATTTTGAATAAAAATAAGGATCCCGAGCACTAAATTATTGAAGAATATTGACATAAAGATGATTGGCCTAAATGAAAAGAGCAATCCGGACTGAATTATGTTCTCCTACAAAATAGTAGTTTTTTGAACCCGTAGCTAAAACACCTAAAGATATTAAGCTGGTGGGATACAAATAAGTATTTATACGAACACAAAATAAGAAAGATGAGATTGTAAGATACAAAGCAAAACTTTCAATATAAGAGTTTTTGTAAAGAATTGATATTGATTATGAGGAGACATATTCTCCTATAATGGATGCAATTATATTTTATTATCTCATTAGCTCTGGCAAAATATATGAAAAATATTCATATGCATGCATTTAATGAATGTGATTACAATTTATTTGTTCATTTGAAATGATATCAATATGAAAGTCAAAGAAGGACTTAACATGCCAAAATCATGTAATACATATTCTCGAGAAAAGAATTCAATTAAATTATAGAGATCTTTATTAAGATTATTTTAGTATTTGTTTTATTATTTTGGTTTTTAGAAATTCAATTTATACTTTTTATATTTTATTTTTATATATATTGTTTATTACTAACCCGTGTGCATGTGATATAATCACTTTAATAATTAGTGAAAGAAAGTTATAAAAAATAACTCTATTTGTTCATATGTTTTTATTTGAAAATAGGTTTATTGTATGTGTTGATAACTTAAATATTATTGGAACTTTTAAAGAGATTCCAAGTGTCATAAGTTACCTAAAAAGAGAATTTGATGTGAATATCTTGGAAAAATAAAATGTTATCTCGACCTACGAGTTCGAGCACTCGGAGAATGAGATTTTCATTCATCAGTCAATTTATATATAGAAAAAGGTTCTACAATGATTCTATATAAAGATCATTCATTGACTAGCCCAATGGTAGTTCATTCACTTGATATCCAAAAGGATCTTTTTCGATCTCAAGAAGATAATGAAGAACTACTTGGTCCCGTAGTACCATGTCTTAGTGCCATCGATGCATTGATATATCTTGCTAATAATACTCGACTCGATATAGTCTTTTCTATAAATTTATTAGCAAGTCATAGTTTTGTTTCAATATAAAAATATTGAAATAAAGTTAAATATATACTACGTTATCTTCGAGGAATAATTGATATGAGCTTATATTACTCTAATAAATCAAAGATAAGATTAATTGGCTATGAAGATGCATGTTATTTATCTAATCTATACAAAGCTCGATCACAACTAGTTATATATTTACATATGGAGATACGACTATATCTTGGCATTCTATGAAGCAAACTACAGCTACCACATCTTCAAATCATGCGGAAATATCAATTCACGAGACAAGTCGAGAATGTGTTTGGATAAGATCAACGATCCATATATCCGAGAGACATGTAGTTTATCTATCAGCAGAAAAAGTTCCAACAATATCATATGAGGATAATGTCGCTTACATAGTTCCATTAAAGGAAGAATGCATGAAAGTGGCAATCTAGCAGATTTGTTCACTAAGGTGTTACCTACCACAACTTTTGAGAAGATGATTCACAAGATTGAAATACGTTGTCTTAGAGATCTTAAATAATGCCTTCAACAGGGGAGACCAAAATGTGGATTAATGTGTGCAAGGAATATTGTACTCTTTTTTCTTCATTGAGATTTTTTTCCCACTCGGGTTTTTTCTAGTAAGGTTTTAACGAGGCGTGTTCCTTGTAAAATGGACATTCAAGGGAGAGTGTTATGAAATAATGAATGTCCATCATCATGTTTATCCACTTTTCATATCTCCACTACTCATGATTATTAATATGATTCAATTTATCGAAATTGAAAGGATGATGTAATTGATTATTCATAGTCCCTTCTAATTCTCTCTTCAATTTTAAAGCCTATAAATAGGCTTGATTGTTTATTAGTTGGTATACAAGTTTTATAGACAAAATAAGAGAAACTTTGAAGTTCTTATCACTTGTATCCACATTATAATGATTTCATTTTTTTGTCATCCTTTCATTCAATTCTTCTATTATTTCTATTTATTTTATAACAAAATGATTTAATTTCTAACCTTTTACCTTTCACAACAAATTGTAGAAAATTCATATATATATATGTGTGTATGTGTGTGTGTGTGTGTGTGTGTGGTTTTATAATTTTTAGAACGAGCTAAATATTCTTTGAACCATTTTAATCCCTACATTTTGAATGTAATAAAAATTTAGTCTTTCTTGTTTGAAAACTTATAATTTACTTCTTTGACTTGGATTAATATGACTGGATCTTTCTCTAAATCCTTATAATGTTGGATTTTCTATAGCAATTTAAATAATTCGAAGGGCATATTTGGAATTAGATAAAAACCAACCATGTTTAATGGAAAATGGTCAATATGAGATAAGAAACTAACTTAAAGGATTTAGTTAAACTCATTCCAATTTTACGCTTTATACATTAACCAATTATAAAAATTAAAATTTTTTTTATGTGCTTATCTTTTCTCTATGATAAGAGTTATTGTGGAGTTGAAAAATAAATATGTTCAAAAATTATTATTTTATTTGTTTCAAAATTAATGGTAAGAATCATAGCATGTAGAACCAATTTTTTTTTTTTAAAAATTAGAACCCATTTTAGCATTTAAATATTAGACATAAAAGTATAGCTTAAACTAATAGAGATGTAAAGGTAAACAATAGAGTTTTTGGTACAAACACTTTTATAACACTTGAATTTTTAAATTATATCATTTTTTTTCATTTTACTTTTAAGAGAAGGTGCAAGAACAAGTAGTTAGAGGTTAAAATTTAAGATACTATGAAACTTGAATTATTAAGAAATGTAAGAGGATTGGAATTAAAAAAAAAAAACCTAAGAAAATACAATATTAATACTTATTTAGTTATATGATATTATTAATGTTAGTAAAGTAACATGTACTCATAAATTTTTATGAAGTAACTTGTTATAAATATATGATAATATTAATAAATTATTTTTTCTTTCTTTATATACATGTCTTGTTTTGTAACACTATCATCTTAAAATCTGAATTAACAAATATTTATTTTGCTACCACTTAAACAAGAAATGAAGATTATTTACTATTTTTTTTATTGTACTTCCAACTCAATTTAATGTAAATTTTTATTAAAATTATTTGATTTTGTGTTTTTGAATAGTGTAGTATTTTGAATTTTTTACAAACTTGATAAATAAAATATTATATGAATATGTTTTTATACATATAGTTGTTGAAATATATTTTTTTATTCAAGTAATATATTATATGTAATAAATATAAATTTTCTACAAAAACTAAGTCATAAATCTAATGAGGCTCTAAATTCAATCCATATCCATTAGAATTTGAATCCAAATTTATATTTTTAAAATCCAATCTGAATTCTTAAGATCTGATTTAATTTATTTTATTAAATAAATTTGATGCAAAATATATTATAATTTTATCGAACCCCGACCCATTGACATTGCTAGTTTTGAGTTTCTTGAGCTTTTAAATGTTTTATGATATATTATAAGTTGTATGAGGATTTGAGAGGAAAAATTAAAAAGAAAGCCCGTTTTTTATTAATTATTTACTTAAAGAAGAAAGATGACCTTCTATATTTTATATTTTTATGAAATGTCAAAACTGTGAAATTAAACTTTAGATCCATAAACATAAACATATTAGATGGATTTGGTTTGGATTCATTTAAAAGATCACCAAATCGCATGCTTCAACAATCTTCAATGCAAGAATGGCAAGGAAAAGGGTTGTTAAAAAATACTGTTAACACTAAATTAAATTGATTAAAGAAAAGAAGGTTGTTACACAGATTGTCTGGACAAGTCAATCTGGCTAACAAGACCAAACCTTGCTGTGGAAAAAACCAAACAAGGACTTCAACAACACTTCAAAGTCAGACCAAAACGAGTGACAGGTGACGAACGAGCATACTGGGCCGAGACATAAAGACACCCTATAAGTTGCTCTGCCTTCAATCACCAAGATTGAATGGTTTGAACATAGCATAAATCTTGACAAGAAATTGAAAGCAGAAACAAACATAGATTAACATAAGAGTCATCATAGTATGATTTTTATTTGACGTTATAAGGATCTTATTGCTTTTTTACATGAATAATAATAAATAACGGCATTACATTACGTAATACCGTTATTTGACATTATAACGGCGTTGTACTAAAAAAATCCAATATTTCACTTTTAGTATATTTAACTTGTAAAATTATTAAAAATATATGAAATAAAATAAATTTACTAACATCTATTAATATATTCATGATATCGATTATCGCAATTATTATTTGATGATCGCGATTACAATCATGATTATTTTTTCAACCACATTTGCAATTTAAAACTATGAAAACAAACACCGTAATACAGAGTAACATATGATCTGCATAACACTAATCAATGAAGTTCTGGTTTCAACTGGATAATGTAATTTTCCCAAAAGAAATGAGTTGTTCCGCATTCACAGCCATCAATTCATAAAATTAAATTCAACATCTTAGAGATTATCATAATTCTTGCCGCCATGCTTACATTCATATCATTCAAAATGTGATGCCCTGCCTGTCAGACATAGAATAAATGAGCACGCGCGCACAAAACAGACAGAGCAAGAGAGTTGAGGGCAAAAACTGTTTTGAAGTAGTCCCGTCTGAAGTAACAACACAAACTTTCTCCCAGGACATAGATTTTCAGAAGCGTGGCACCAAATGAACCAGCTTCATTCATACAGAAGGCCATGCTTACATTCATATAATTCAAAATGTGATGCCCTGCCTGACAGACATAGAATAAATGAGCGTGCACGCACAAAACAGACAGAGCCAGAGAGTTGAGGGGCAAAAACTTGTACTGAGGCAGTCACAGCTGAGGTAACAATACATTTTCTCCCAGGACATAGATTTTCAGAAACCTGAATTAGCTTCATTCATACAGAAGGCCCTAGAGATCGACTGTGCAAAACTTCATTATATAGTGCCAGTGAATTGAGAAAAATACATAGTGACTTTTGACAAGTACCAACAACCTACTCACACTTGATTGACCCATATATATGATGGACGAAAAGCAAAGCTCCATGAAAACCTACAGTCCCAAGCATAAGGAAGAAACCAAAGCAGATACAAGCCATGTAGCCAAAGAAGAAAGAGGTTTGCATGAAACCAGACATATCTGTGCGTGCATAGTAGTAATACAAGCAGTAGGCATACATAAATAAGCCAGTTGATCCCCCACAGAGAAAAGACCTGTCGCCAAATAAAGCACAGATATTAATCCTCCAATGCTCAATGTCTGTTCAAGATATACAGAAAGCTTTGATATAGAAAAGGGTGAAAAGATAAGCAATGAACTTCCATTTAAGGTGGACGAAAAAGGAGTTGGCAAAAACATGTTTCTATATAACTAATTTCTGCTCTTCTATTAGGTTTCATTTATCTACAGCTAATACAACATTTACTGTAATCAACCATTCCCAAACAGCAACAATCAAAACTCCAAAATTCAAACGTTTTTCTGCACTAAAGGCTAAGTCGACAATCACCAAGATATCAAGTACTATGTTGCATTTATATATGAATTTATATGTAATGTGAAATGAAGCTATGGATAAGGTAAAGGCTGAGGCACAGGATAACTAAGAGGTGCATACCTCCACCACCATTTGTGGTCCTCAGCAGCAAGTTGGAAATGTGTCAATCCCACCGTAATAAACCCAGTCACCATCAGAAGAATAATAAAGACAATGAACAAGAAGCCATAACCAGTATAAGACCTGTAATTCCATACGCTAGCAAATATATAGTAAAGTTCGGTGCATATAACACTGAATGGCAAAAATCCTGCCATTGCCATTTGAGTAATTGTTCGCCGATACCATCGCAACGGTGGAATCTCTCTGGGATATTCAGTGGTACGACAAGGAGCTTGGAACTCAGCCTTGCTATTCTTCCCAACAATCCCACCTAAGATGAGCAAAGGATATGATACAAGTGTCCATATAAGAACTATCACAAAGATTGTGCCAAGAGGAAGAGCTGCAGCGGCAGTATAAGCAACTGCAACAGTATTCAGGAAGCAAAATGTGAGGAAAAGAGGCCCACAGAAGAGACATCCTGTCAACAATAGATTCCTGAACTGCCATGATTCAAGACAAAATCAGTATGCATAGTCAAATCAAATATGTTTCAGTTCCAAATTCATCCTTGCAGAGAAAGTTCATGAGCAAATACCCAGTTAGTTCCTCCAAGTTTAGAGTAAAAGTAGGTTGCAGTGTATCCTGCAATTCCTGACGTGAGAGCATATATGACAATCAATGCAGTCAGTAAAGCGCCACGATTGTACCTATAAAACACTCCAACTACTGCCAGAACAAAAATGAACACAGTACTGCAAGGCACAAAAAATACATGTCAATTTTTAACAAATGTAACAATACCAACAATAACGGATGAACAAATCACATACAGAGTCAATAGCTGGGTTCCAGAACCAAGGCAAGCTGCAAAGAGAGACTTGTACTTGGGATGCCTAAATACATCTCCATGAATGCATTTCCAACCAGTCTCTTCCTGAGCTTCAGCTGATTCCTTGTCATTAGCATATCTAAACCAAAACAGAATGCACCAGTGAGCAAAGAATGGTCAGATATACGCAAACTAGGACATCGTAAGTCTGGAACAAGAACACCCTAACCAGAATGAATATAGTCAACCAAGAACACAACTCTTACTTGGCAAAGTCATTGTTAAGGATTCGCAATATTGCAATAAGAAATCCAGCAACAAGAAGAACTGTCATGCATGAACTTATTACAGAATGCCGATGGATCTCTAAATGACGACGCAACGAAGGTAACTCATAGTACTGATCCATCCTCTTCTCAAAAGGGGTATTTGTTTTCTCCCAGTTCACTGTATACAGAAATTCCACATCAACCTCTTCGTCTTCTGTAAGATCGACCACATCGTTTGCATACATAATTGCCAAAATCCCAATCACACGATCCTTATTGTAAGATATATCAAACCGAATATGTCTGTAAAGGTAATATCTATGCTTGCTATGTTCCATATCAACGCTCCCAACGTATCCCAAAACAGACAAGTCATCAAAATGCATATCAAAAAGGAAGTCCTCTCTAACAGCAGCTCGAAACCTTGCCACCTCTTTCTTCGACAACTTCTTCTTGCAAACAGATTCAGAATGTTTTTCGCGTAGGAATTCAAGCTGGTACGGTGCACTAACCAAACGATCCCCATTCAGTAATTCACCTAGAGACAGCCTTTTCTCTTTCACATTATCTACAAACAAAACCAAACCACAAAACAAAATCTTCACTAAAACTAGGAATAAATGATGAATAAAAGAACCCATTTCGACATATTCTAACCTGGCAAGCAATATCCAAGATCATAATAGCGGTAGGTTTCGCTGAAAAATCAACCAAAGAACAGAAAGAATTACTTATCTCAACCATTATTATGTCTACTAATTGGGGGGAAAAAAAACAATAAATTGTAGAAATTTCTAACCTTAAAAATACCATAAAACCTTAAACTGCATTTTAATCTCAACATTAACAAGAAATATTTAATCATTAACAACTAAATTAAACTTGAAAAAACAAGAATTCAAACATGAACTGACGAATTTACCTAGGATTGTGAAAGGGTCTCACTTTGTTTGCATAGAGAGGAATCTGGTCTCCTTCCTTGTACCGGTGATCCAATTCATGTGAGCTCACCTGACTTGCCCTCCAGACTATCAGAGCGACGACAAATAACATCGCCGCTAAAATCCTCTCCCCCATTTTGTTTTGAACCGGAGGTTAGTTCAATCCAGATTTAATATGAATGAAGATGATCAGTCAGTGATTGGCTGACCACCATTTTGTTTTAAACTGGAGGTTAGTTCAATCCAGACTTAATACGAATGAAGATGATCAGTCAGTGATTGGCTGACAACAAGTTGTCAATGAACAGTTATTAACAACATCTATCATATGGTTATTCACATCCGATCTTTCGTCTCCTATCTTTCTTAAAAATACATAGAAGTACCTGCGACCAACGCAGGTTTTTTTTTTTAATCTTTCAATAAAAGAAAAGAAGTCGGAATTATAAAAAGAAAATTCGCTTGTTCTCACAGTGATAAAACCCAGAACCTGGGTTTTGATTGATGATGTTTTTTATTGATTGTTTTTTGACCAGTGGATTTTTATATACTGTCATTCATTGGGACTTTGAATTGGAATTAGGTTTTCAATTTCATTTAATATGAAGCTAAATTATTCTACATATTTTTTTCTTCATCTTTTTTCCTGGGCTCTTAGATTTTCTTTTGATAAATTCATGGTTTGATTGATATTGATGGGATGGGTACTCATAAGAGATTTTGTCGAGAAAATTGAGGAGATTGTTAGTTTGGATGCTGAGAAAGTGAGGGATTTTAAGAAAGAAAATAAGGATGCAAAAGAGAGAGAGATGAGTTTGTGTCAGAGCAATTGTAAGAAAGAACTTAAGTTTTTTTTTTTTTCCAGCGATAAAAATATCATGGATGAGTTTTCACAGATTTTAAAATTAATTTCTTCCAAAATATAGATATAAAATATTTTCAAACATACGATTTTAAATATTTTTAAATTAAAATTTTAAAAATATTAATCATAAAAATTAAATACTAAATTTATTTTACAAATGGATACTCACTTACTGTTATATTATCATATAATTAATTAACTATGCAGGGAGTGTTGACCAGCTGATCAGTTAATATAGTATTTGTTATTCCATACTTTAATTATTTTTCCATTAATATATTCTGGTTCTGTTACCATAGCATTACTTTGATTTTTTTTCTTTCATTATTTTTCTCGTGTAAAAAAAAAATTTATTACATATAAATTTTTTAACATAACTAAATGTGAAATGGTTTAAATCATTATTTTTAAGGCTTGAGTGAAAAAAATAGTTTGGAGGTATCCTTTATATAAAATTTTTTGAGTTAATTCACAATTGATCAGAGCTAATTCTTTATGAACCAAATATCTCAGAAATTAGAGAAATTAGAGATGATTGAAAATCGGTGGAACGAGGGACTAACAGTATAGGATTGAGGTTGTAACTGCACAAAAAAACTAATAACCGGGTTGAATTGCAATTTTAAAAAATTTAAGGACACAATTATAATTCTCACCCGTGTGTGAAGTCATCCTCAACCTTAGTCGGGTTTATTGTAAGGATTATAATGAAAAATATTAATGTATACATACCAAATTAAGGTGGTTAATAACGATAACAAAGAATTATAATGAAAAATATTAAATATACATATCAAATTAAGCTCACGAAATAAGATGAAAAAAACCCTAAACGTAGAATTAATAATTATATGCGGATTAAGTGTAGTTTTTATTCAAAATTTGGAACAAAAATTTTATTCATATTTATACATCATCTTACGTGCGCACGGATTTTTTTTTTTTTTTTTCCGCTTCTCCTACGTGTCTATCAAACAGAAGCAATTCTCATCTTTTGTGATTGAGATTTTGGCAGCTGATTTCGATCATTTTCTAACATGTTCCTTCAATACTGAAATCCACATGTCATGTTTAAAATGGCTAATATGTTGTCAAGCTAATTGACTTGTCATGACTGTTACTTGGTTACGAAGAGATTAATACATATTGTATTTTAAGAGTTATTGTTGGTAAATATTTAGCAATTATTAATTAAGTTGAGTTTATTTTTCAAGGACTTGAATTCTAATGTCATAGGGTTGAAGATATGATACGTCTTGAGGTAGAAATATCTTTAATTTTGCATAAACTGAAATATATATTTTTATCAAGTATTTTTGATTTTATAGAACATCTTTTAATCCACTTGGCATATGAAGCAAGAATAGCGGGACTAGTGTAATATCGGTGATGTATTTGTTTAAAAGGTATGGTATTGATTTTGAACGTTAACTTAAATAATTTTACAATTATCGATCATTAACTTGATTAATATTTTAGGTATCTTCGAAAGCTTAAAAGTAATATAAGGAATACGAGTAAAAGTTGAAGGGTTAATATGCAATTCATATTTAGTAAAAGAAGCATCAACATTATGTTTGCGAGTACGTCAAACCTCATGTGTATAATACGCGTCGAAAGTACCGCATAATGTTGAGTGTAGTGGAGAATCGAGTAACAACATTGAAAGGATACTTTCTACATTCAAATTTTAAGTTTGACCATTTGGCGGAGCAATAAGAAGGAGGTTGATAGAGGAAGAGTGAAAAATAGCTTATCAATATATATTATTGAACTACGATGAAGTTAAACCTTACATTGAGTGAGTGTACAAAAAAAAATCTTACAATTTAATGTCAATATTCGACCTCTTTAATTAGCGATCATAATAAAGACACTCACTCGCTAATATCGTTATTTGTTAATAGCATTTACGTTGTCCAACTATAACAAAATAGTCAAGACATGCCTACGAATGAGGTTGATGCTCTACTTGAAGATGAGTTTGGCTTATGGTTCGGTGAGTATCTAGGTATCCTCATTTTAGACCTCGTTCTATTTGTAGGTTGTATTAATTAATTGTTAACTATAACTTAATGCATAGATGCCAATTTTATAGATATATTATGCACAAGCCAACTATATGATAGACCAATTCATAAACTTACCGCAAAAGGTCCTTTACAAATAGTGATGTCGTACGGTACGTTGTGAATAGATCTAGGTTTCACATCAAAGGACATGGTTCGGACAGAGCAAGGATGAATAATGGAGATTTTATAAAAGGATTTAATTACGGTGTACATGAAAATGACTATTACGGTAATTTGATTCTACAATTGAAGTATCCCGCATTCCAATCAAGAGGATAAATTTGTTCAAATGTGAGATTGGTTTGATTTTTTTTTTCTATTGAAATGAGTTTAAAGTAATGTTTTAATTATTTCTTTATATTACATTTTAATAAGTAACATGAAATATACTAATATTAAATTTTTTCTTCTTTGTACAAGTATTTTTATGGTAGAAAGCCATTAACTCGATGGTTAAGACAAGATAAGAGTGCCTAACATGTAAGTGGTATGCCGACATGCCGACCAACCGTAAGAAAAAGACCAACAAACCTCAATTTGTTCTAGAGTCGTTATTGGATGCATGGTGGCAGGATTGGAACACACTAGAGTTTAGGGATTGTTTTGAGCGAGTGTTATAGAACCACATAATCGAGATGGGTGGTGTTGGTGTTGGACTATCTAGACACACAAGGGCTCCATCTCACAAATTGAGCATGCTTAATGGATGGTAAATCCTATTATCTATTGTGTTATTAAACCATCATTTAAATTTATTGCATCTCATATTGTTTATTTCTACTTTTTCGAGCTAAGGAGTTAGGTCGTGACTCAAATCCTTATGAGTTATTTGTGAGTACTCACATGTGTTAGGATGGGTTGTTCATGGATCCGCAATGTCGACGGTTGGGGTAAGTTTTTATTATTTTAATTATACATATGCAAATTTAATTAAAAAATTATATTTATAATTAATATTATAATTTTTTTGATCGCTTCGGAGTGTGTAGACCAATTGAATACGTCAACTGCTAGCCAATAGTCCAAGGGTGGTTTATCATCTACAATCATCAACACGTCAAATATATATCTCAGGCTATAGGATGGGAGAAGAAATGTAGAGTGTACGACCTCGAAACTCAAATGTCTTTATATTACTCCTATTCTAGCTCCAAGTCAACCTCTACCAAATCACAATTCCTTGGTCGTATGCTGTAGGATAATTTGTAGTGCAATCGAAGTTAGAGGATATAAAGATTGACTATGCTTGGAGATCTAGGAGGTGGATAACAAATACAAAGAGAAAAACAAACATATCCAACAACAGATAGAGAGGATGGAGTAGATGTCAGAGGAAAGACTCAATATTCGGGTCCCTCCTCTTAGCCCTCTCTTTACCCGTAAGTCTAATTTTCTTTTCGATACCTAACATCCAAAAGATGAAGCAAGTAAATGATCTTGATGAGAATTAGTTTTATTTAATCTTTTTTTAATGTGTTCGTATATTGGATTGTTATATATATATATATATATATTATTTGATTTTATATTCATTTAATATTATTTAATAATATTTCGTGTCTTATAATTTTACTTTTAGTTGTTGGCTAATACGACGAAACATTTAAAACCTAATTACCGATAGTTTTTTTTTTTAAAGAAAAAACTTAATTTAACTACGGATTAGCAAAACTCTAATGACAAGAAAATAATAATTGTAATTTAACTATTAGCGATGGATATTAGTGACAACATTTAGGGATAAATTTCCATCTCTATATAGCAATGGAAACACATTAAAAAAATGAAAAAAATTTCATCACTAAATTGCAACATGTACTAGTTAATCCATCATTAAACAATTTAGCGAAAAGCCTGTTAGAGATGATTATTTTCTCGTTGCTAACCTAAATAGTGACAAAAATTTTAGATTTGATCGAAATTTTAATCGAAAAATCGGATTAATGCTAGTATAGTTATCGGATATTTAGTTTATGATTTTTTTAATATAAATTTTAAAAAACGAGCTATAATCATTAAAATATGTATAATTTGTAATTTTATGAAATATTAAGTCTTTATTAAATAATCTAAGACTTATAGACATTTGAATAAATCAAAATATTGGATAGTTCGAGACCTAATATTTGTTCTAACAAACCAAAAAAATCATGTTCTTAATTGGATTGAAAGAGTTAATCTTAAAATACCATGTATTTGATTTTTCTCGCAGTTATGAATAACAAGATGTACCATTCTCTTTTTTAAAAAAATATTAAATCACATAAATAGAACAAAAAAAAAAGTTATGGGCAATGAAGTTTTTTTCTATAGGCTAAATGCTCTACATTAGCATAAAAGAAAGATAATAAATATTTATAAAAATAAATCATTAACCATCGAGTGTCAATGAAAAATGGCACATGACAATTAAAAAGGCCGCCGATAAGGCATCTTTGACACTTCGTATTTTATACTCTAATTTGACTATGGGTGCAAATGAAATATTAAAATTTACTTATTGCGCACTAAAATTAGAAAAAAAAAAACCTAAAACAACCTGGGGGTGGTTGGCAAAAAATTTATACTTTCTCTTAATAAAAATTTGTTTTTTAAAATATTTTTATATGAGTCGATGAATTTTTTTTTTCTTAGCATTACTCTTCCAAGCTTTATCTTAAAAATATATATGAGAAAAAATTGGCTAGTATCTTTATTTAAATCAATCTAGTAAAAAAAGTTATTCTTAGTGACCCTAACCAAATATAGTTTTCCAAAGTAAAATAAAAGAAGAAAATGTATGTTTTTATAAATTAATTATTCATGCGTGCATTAAATTTTTTAGCATCCATAAATTTGAAAAACAAATAGACTTTCTCTTCAAGTACTATTAAATTAAAATATTAATTTCATAAGAAAAAATATATCATTCCATTGAGTACATATTGTTGAATTTATTTAAGAATAGGAAGGGCGTAAATGTAAGGTGCTTCGAGCTACAACACCAACACAATCATTCCAAACATCGAGGCTCCTTGTAGAAATCTTTGATGGATTTTGTCGGGGCTCTTTTGATATGAGAAATTTTGTAAATGCATTATGGCAATTTTTTCCTCGTTGAAACAAGTTTGTTGCAACAGCTTATCGATGGAGCGTAATTGCCAATCAAGCTCCGAAACATTTCTGCTCCACACTTATCACTTAGCTTTATAGAACATTGTTTTAAATATTTGTCATGCTTCGGGCATAGATTCTTCGGATGCCGTATAAGGTGCTTGAGCTACAACACCAACACAATCATTCCAAACATTGAGGCTCTTTGTAGAAATCTTAGTTGGATTTTCTTGGGGCTCTTTTGATATGAGAAATTTTGTAAATTCCTCATGACAATTTTTTCCCGTTGTAACGAGTTCGTTGCAACAGCCTATCGATGGGGTATAATTTCCAATCAAACTCGAAAAATTTCTCGCTCCACACTTGTCACCTAGCTTTATAGAACAATCTTTTAAATATTTTCCAAGCTTGGGAACGCATTCTTCGTATGTTGCAATAACACGTCCTACAAGTCCCGATGTACCCATAAATACACTTACTAAAGCAACTAGAGCCATGAAAATATTTTTGTGGAAAATGGCCATGTGGTCGAAAACCGAGATGATCAAGTGGAGTTGATGTTTGTAAATTGATTAATTCAATTATCAAGTCTCATTAATTTATATGGAAAAGCTTTCAAACGCTTAATGGGCAGTTAGCTTAAAAATTAATATATCTTTGATGAGTATTTAACGACGAAAAAAAAACTTACTTTCCGTAAATGTTATTGTTTTTTTACCAACTTCTATTTGTCATTGATGAACATAACTTTGAATAGGAGCAAGAAAAAATCTCCCACACAAGTAATTTTTAAACTTAATGGTATTTATGATTTTAATCTCTCTCAATGATTTTTGTGTTTCCACTAAACCTATATTTTTATGTACCAAATTTAAATTGAAATAAGACTTCTAGATATGAAAATATATTGATATTAAACATTTTTAAATAGATGATCTAATTTTATATTTAGTATTTTTTAGAAACTCTTAATCTTAGTCCCACCTATAGTTAAGGTTTGAATGTTTTTTCTTTTCCTTCTATATCAAGTTACATTGTGAGCTACGCTAGCTTTAACATTCATTTAGGTAACATATTATTGTCTAATACAAATAATATATTTGGTATGGATGTAAAATAAGAAAAGTTATGTTTGATAAAATTTTGGAGAAAAGAGAAAATTTCATAGAGATTAGCATTTAATCCGAAAAAGAGGATCAAATGTTAACTTTGTGAATCTAGAGGTAAGGAGGCATTTATGGAGAACATTTTTTTTATTTTTTATTTTTATTTCATTTGATATCACAACTATATGTTATTTAATTTCCAAAAAATTATATGTAATTTAAAGTTTGATTTTATCTTTATTAGAACCTAATATTATCCATAATTATTTTAAATCCTACCAAACGTTCTTAAATTTTACCACTTTAATATTTACTTTCTAAATCTTTCATGACATGCCAAACTTCATGTAGGGGAGATAAAATGATAACATATATGCTATGCATGTTCTATATTCAATATAGTGGAAAAGCTAGAACAAAATCATTTGGAAAGCAATGGAAAATAAGACTTTCATTGTTAAACATAAAATAAATTAAGAGATATAAGAGCATAAGTGTAATTATTGACCTTATCGAAGGACATAATTAAACGAATCTTATGTCTCATGATGAAACTTAAAGGGCTTCAATATAAATTGAATTTCATATCTTAAAAAATAGGAGAAGTTGATGGTTTCCTCTAAGATTAATGCACCGCCCATCTTGATTCCACTATTATCTCTTTGTGTGAACTTTTGGCTTTTAGCTTCAGTTGTTGGTTAATCGAATTGTAAAAGAAAACAAACAAAATTTCTATTGGGTTTTTTGTTATTAAAATCAAATTTTAGGTTTTCATGGTTCGGCTTTTTGATGAAACCTAGTTTGTTGTCGATTCTCTTTTTTAAAAAATATTAAATCACACAGATAGAAACAAAAAAAAAAAATTATGGGCTATGAAGTTTTTTTCTATAGGCTAAATGCTCTACATTAGCATAAAAGAAAGATAATAAATATTTATAAAAATAAATCATTAACCATCGAGTGTCAATGAAAAATGGCATATGACAATTAAAAAGGCCGCCGATAGGGCATCTTTGACACTTCGTATTTTATACTCTAATTTGACTATGGGTGCAAATGAAATATTAAAATTTACTTATTGCGCACTAAAATTAGAAAAAAAAAAAACCTAAAACAACCGGGGGTGGTTGGCAAAAAATTTATACTTTCTCTTAATAAAAATTTGTTTTTTAAAATATTTTTATATGAGTCGATGAATTTTTTTTTCTTAGCATTACTCTTCCAAGCTTTATCTTAAAAATATATATGAGAAAAAATTGGCTAGTATCTTTATTTAAATCAATCTAGTAAAAAAAAGTTATTCTTAGTGACCCTAACCAAATATAGTTTTCCAAAGTAAAATAAAAGAAGAAAATGTATGTTTTTATAAATTAATTATTCATGCGTGCATTAAATTTTTTAGCATCCGTAAATTTGAAAAACAAATAGACTTTCTCTTCAGTACTATTAAATTAAAATATTAATTTCATAAGAAAAAATATATCATTCCATCGAGTACATATTGTTGAATTTATTTAAGAATAGGAAGGGCGTAAATGTAAGGTGCTTCGAGCTACAACACCAACACAATCATTCCAAACATCGAGGCTCCTTGTAGAAATCTTTGATGGATTTTGTCGGGGCTCTTTTGATATGAGAAATTTTGTAAATGCATTATGGCAATTTTTTCCCGTTGAAACAAGTTTGTTGCAACAGCTTATCGATGGAGCGTAATTGCCAATCAAGCTCGAAACATTTCTCGCTCCACACTTATCACTTAGCTTTATAGAACATTGTTTTAAATATTTGTCATGCTTCGGGCATAGATTCTTCGTATGCCGTATAAGGTGCTTGAGCTACAACACCAACACAATCATTCCAAACATCGAGGCTCTTTGTAGAAATCTTAGTTGGATTTTCTTGGGGCTCTTTTGATATGAGAAATTTTGTAAATTCCTCATGACAATTTTTTCCCCGTTGTAACGAGTTCGTTGCAACAGCCTATCGATGGGGTATAATTTCCAATCAAACTCTGAAAAATTTCGCTCCACACTTGTCACCTAGCTTTATAGAACAATCTTTTAAATATTTTCCAAGCTTGGGAACAGCATTCTTCGTATGTTGCAATAACACGTCCTACAAGTCCCGATGTACCCATAAATACACTTACTAAAGCAACTAGAGCCATGAAAATATTTTTGTGGAAAATGGCCATGTGGTCGAAAACCGAGATGATCAAGTGGAGTTGATGTTTGTAAATTGATTAATTCAATTATCAAGTCTCATTAATTTATATGGAAAAGCTTTCAAACGCTTAATGGGCGATTAGCTTAAAAATTAATATATCTTTGATGAGTATTTAACGACGAAAAAAAAAACTTACTTTCCGTAAATGTTATTGTTTTTTTTACCAACTTCTATTTGTCATTGATGAACATAACTTTGAATAGGAGCAAGAAAAAATCTCCCACACAAGTAATTTTTAAACTTAATGGTATTTATGATTTTAATCTCTCTCAATGATTTTTGTGTTTCCACTAAACCTATATTTTTATGTACCAAATTTAAATTGAAATAAGACTTCTAGATATGAAAATATATTGATATTAAACATTTTTAAATAGATGATCTAATTTTATATTTAGTATTTTTTAGAAACTCTTAATCTTAGTCCCACCTATAGTTAAGGTTTGAATGTTTTTTCTTTTCCTTCTATATCAAGTTACATTGTGAGCTACGCTAGCTTTAACATTCATTTAGGTAACATATTATTGTCTAATACAAATAATATATTTGGTATGGATGTAAAATAAGAAAAGTTATGTTTGATAAAATTTTGGAGAAAAGAGAAAATTTCATAGAGATTAGCATTTAATCCGAAAAAGAGGATCAAATGTTAACTTTGTGAATCTAGAGGTAAGGAGGCATTTATGGAGAACATTTTTTTTATTTTTTATTTTTATTTCATTTGATATCACAACTATATGTTATTTAATTTCCAAAAAATTATATGTAATTTAAAGTTTGATTTTATCTTTATTAGAACCTAATATTATCCATAATTATTTTAAATCCTACCAAACGTTCTTAAATTTTACCACTTTAATATTTACTTTCTAAATCTTTCATGACATGCCAAACTTCATGTAGGGGAGATAAAATGATAACATATATGCTATGCATGTTCTATATTCAATATAGTGGAAAAGCTAGAACAAAATCATTTGGAAAGCAATGGAAAATAAGACTTTCATTGTTAAACATAAAATAAATTAAGAGATATAAGAGCATAAGTGTAATTATTGACCTTCTTGAAGGACATAATTAAACGAATCTTATGTCTCATGATGAAACTTAAAGGGCTTCAATATAAATTGAATTTCATATCTTAAAAAATAGGAGAAGTTGATGGTTTCCTCTAAGATTAATGCACCGCCCATCTTGATTCCACTATTATCTCTTTGTGTGAACTTTTGGCTTTTAGCTTCAGTTGTTGGTTAATCGAATTGTAAAAGAAAACAAACAAAATTTCTATTGGGTTTTTTGTTATTAAAATCAAATTTTAGGTTTTCATGGTTCGGCTTTTTGATGAAACCTAGTTTGTTGCCGATTCTCTTTTTTAAAAAATATTAAATCACACAGATAGAAACAAAAAAAAAAAAAATTATGGGCTATGAAGTTTTTTTCTATAGGCTAAATGCTCTACATTAGCATAAAAGAAAGATAATAAATATTTATAAAAATAAATCATTAACCATCGAGTGTCAATGAAAAATGGCATATGACAATTAAAAAGGCCGCCGATAGGGCATCTTTGACACTTCGTATTTTATACTCTAATTTGACTATGGGTGCAAATGAAATATTAAAATTTACTTATTGCGCACTAAAATTAGAAAAAAAAAAAACCTAAAACAACCTGGGGTGGTTGGCAAAAAATTTATACTTTCTCTTAATAAAAATTTGTTTTTTAAAATATTTTTATATGAGTCGATGAATTTTTTTTTCTTAGCATTACTCTTCCAAGCTTTATCTTAAAAATATATATGAGAAAAAATTGGCTAGTATCTTTATTTAAATCAATCTAGTAAAAAAAAGTTATTCTTAGTGACCCTAACCAAATATAGTTTTCCAAAGTAAAATAAAAGAAGAAAATGTATGTTTTTATAAATTAATTATTCATGCGTGCATTAAATTTTTTAGCATCCGTAAATTTGAAAAACAAATAGACTTTCTCTTCAAGTACTATTAAATTAAAATATTAATTTCATAAGAAAAAATATATCATTCCATCGAGTACATATTGTTGAATTTATTTAAGAATAGGAAGGGCGTAAATGTAAGGTGCTTGAGCTACAACACCAACACAATCATTCCAAACATCGAGGCTCCTTGTAGAAATCTTTGATGGATTTTGTCAGGGCTCTTTTGATATGAGAAATTTTGTAAATGCATTATGGCAATTTTTTCCCGTTGAAACAAGTTTGTTGCAACAGCTATCGATGGAGCGTAATTGCCAATCAAGCTCGAAACATTTCTCGCTCCACACTTATCACTTAGCTTTATAGAACATTGTTTTAAATATTTGTCATGCTTCGGGGCATAGATTCTTCGTATGTCGTATAAGGTGCTTGAGCTACAACACCAACACAATCATTCCAAACATCGAGGCTCTTTGTAGAAATCTTAGTTGGATTTTCTTGGGGCTCTTTTGATATGAGAAATTTTGTAAATTCCTCATGACAATTTTTTCCCGTTGTAACGAGTTCGTTGCAACAGCCTATCGATGGGGTATAATTTCCAACCAAACTCCGAAAATTTCTCGCTCCACACTTGTCACCTAGCTTTATAGAACAATCTTTTAAATATTTTCCAAGCTTGGGAACAGCATTCTTCGTATGTTGCAATAACACGTCCTACAAGTCCCGATGTACCCATAAATACACTTACTAAAGCAACTAGAGCCATGAAAATATTTTTGTGGAAAATGGCCATGTGGTCGAACACCGAGATGATCAAGTGGAGTTGATGTTTGTAAATTGATTAATTCAATTATCAAGTCTCATTAATTTATATGGAAAAGCTTTCAAACGCTTAATGGGCGCTTAGCTTAAAAATTAATATATCTTTGATGAGTATTTAACGACGAAAAAAAAAACTTACTTTCCGTAAATGTTATTGTTTTTTTTACCAACTTCTATTTGTCATTGATGAACATAACTTTGAATAGGAGCAAGAAAAAATCTCCCACACAAGTAATTTTTAAACTTAATGGTATTTATGATTTTAATCTCTCTCAATGATTTTTGTGTTTCCACTAAACCTATATTTTTATGTACCAAATTTAAATTGAAATAAGACTTCTAGATATGAAAATATATTGATATTAAACATTTTTAAATAGATGATCTAATTTTATATTTAGTATTTTTTAGAAACTCTTAATCTTAGTCCCACCTATAGTTAAGGTTTGAATGTTTTTTCTTTTCCTTCTATATCAAGTTACATTGTGAGCTACGCTAGCTTTAACATTCATTTAGGTAACATATTATTGTCTAATACAAATAATATATTTGGTATGGATGTAAAATAAGAAAAGTTATGTTTGATAAAATTTTGGAGAAAAGAGAAAATTTCATAGAGATTAGCATTTAATCCGGAAAAGAGGATCAAATGTTAACTTTGTGAATCTGGAGGTAAGGAGGCATTTATGGAGAACATTTTTTTTATTTTTTATTTTTATTTCATTTGATATCACAACTATATGTTATTTAATTTCCAAAAAATTATATGTAATTTAAAGTTTGATTTTATCTTTATTAGAACCTAATATTATCCATAATTATTTTAAATCCTACCAAACGTTCTTAAATTTTACCACTTTAATATTTACTTTCTAAATCTTTCATGACATGCCAAACTTCATGTAGGGGAGATAAAATGATAACATATATGCTATGCATGTTCTATATTCAATATAGTGGAAAAGCTAGAACAAAATCATTTGGAAAGCAATGGAAAATAAGACTTTCATTGTTAAACATAAAATAAATTAAGAGATATAAGAGCATAAGTGTAATTATTGACCTTCTCGAAGGACATAATTAAACGAATCTTATGTCTCATGATGAAACTTAAAGGGCTTCAATATAAATTGAATTTCATATCTTAAAAAATAGGAGAAGTTGATGGTTTCCTCTAAGATTAATGCACCGCCCATCTTGATTCCACTATTATCTCTTTGTGTGAACTTTTGGCTTTTAGCTTCAGTTGTTGGTTAATCGAATTGTAAAAGAAAACAAACAAAATTTCTATTGGGTTTTTTGTTATTAAAATCAAATTTTAGGTTTTCATGGTTCGGCTTTTTGATGAAACCTAGTTTGTTGTCGATTCTCTTTTTTAAAAAATATTAAATCACACAGATAGAAACAAAAAAAAAAAAAATTATGGGCTATGAAGTTTTTTTCTATAGGCTAAATGCTCTACATTAGCATAAAAGAAAGATAATAAATATTTATAAAAATAAATCATTAACCATCGTGTGTCAATGAAAATGGCATATGACAATTAAAAAGGCCGCCGATATGGCATCTTTGACACTTCGTATTTTATACTCTAATTTGACTATGGGTGCAAATGAAATATTAAAATTTACTTATTGCGCACTAAAATTAGAAAAAAAAAAAACCTAAAACAACCTGGGGGTGGTTGGCAAAAAATTTATACTTTCTCTTAATAAAAATTTGTTTTTTAAAATATTTTTATATGAGTCGATGAATTTTTTTTTCTTAGCATTACTCTTCCAAGCTTTATCTTAAAAATATATATGAGAAAAAATTGGCTAGTATCTTTATTTAAATCAATCTAGTAAAAAAAGTTATTCTTAGTGACCCTAACCAAATATAGTTTTCCAAAGTAAAATAAAAGAAGAAAATGTATGTTTTTATAAATTAATTATTCATGCGTGCATTAAATTTTTTAGCATCCGTAAATTTGAAAAACAAATAGACTTTCTCTTCAAGTACTATTAAATTAAAATATTAATTTCATAAGAAAAAATATATCATTCCATCGAGTACATATTGTTGAATTTATTTAAGAATAGGAAGTGCGTAAATGTAAGGTGCTTCGAGCTACAACACCAACACAATCATTCCAAACATCGAGGCTCCTTGTAGAAATCTTTGATGGATTTTGTCGGGGCTCTTTTGATATGAGAAATTTTGTAAATGCATTATGGCAATTTTTTCCCGTTGAAACAAGTTTGTTGCAACAGCTATCGATGGAGCGTAATTGCCAATCAAGCTCGAAACATTTCTCGCTCCACACTTATCACTTAGCTTTATAGAACATTGTTTTAAATATTTGTCATGCTTCGGGCATAGATTCTTCGTATGTCGTATAAGGTGCTTCGAGCTACAACACCAACACAATCATTCCAAACATCGAGGCTCTTTGTAGAAATCTTAGTTGGATTTTCTTGGGCTCTTTTGATATGAGAAATTTTGTAAATTCCTCATGACAATTTTTTCCCGTTGTAACGAGTTCGTTGCAACAAGCCTATCGATGGGGTATAATTTCCAAACAAACTCTGAAAATTTCTCGCTCCACACTTGTCACCTAGCTTTATAGAACAATCTTTTAAATATTTTCCAAGCTTGGGAAACGCATTCTTCGTATGTTGCAATAACACGTCCTACAAGTCCCGATGTACCCATAAATACACTTACTAAAGCAACTAGAGCCATGAAAATATTTTTGTGGAAAATGGCCATGTGGTCGAACACCGAGATGATCAAGTGGAGTTGATGTTTGTAAATTGATTAATTCAATTATCAAGTCTCATTAATTTATATGGAAAAGCTTTCAAACGCTTAATGGGCAAGCTAGCTTAAAAATTAATATATCTTTGATGAGTATTTAACGACGAAAAAAAAAACTTACTTTCCGTAAATGTTATTGTTTTTTTTACCAACTTCTATTTGTCATTGATGAACATAACTTTGAATAGGAGCAAGAAAAAATCTCCCACACAAGTAATTTTTAAACTTAATGGTATTTATGATTTTAATCTCTCTCAATGATTTTTGTGTTTCCACTAAACCTATATTTTTATGTACCAAATTTAAATTGAAATAAGACTTCTAGATATGAAAATATATTGATATTAAACATTTTTAAATAGATGATCTAATTTTATATTTAGTATTTTTTAGAAACTCTTAATCTTAGTCCCACCTATAGTTAAGGTTTGAATGTTTTTTCTTTTCCTTCTATATCAAGTTACATCGTGAGCTACGCTAGCTTTAACATTCATTTAGGTAACATATTATTGTCTAATACAAATAATATATTTGGTATGGATGTAAAATAAGAAAAGTTATGTTTGATAAAATTTTGGAGAAAAGAGAAAATTTCATAGAGATTAGCATTTAATCCGAAAAAGAGGATCAAATGTTAACTTTGTGAATCTGTGAGGTAAGGAGGCATTTATGGAGAACATTTTTTTTATTTTTTATTTTTATTTCATTTGATATCACAACTATATGTTATTTAATTTCCAAAAAATTATATGTAATTTAAAGTTTGATTTTATCTTTATTAGAACCTAATATTATCCATAATTATTTTAAATCCTACCAAACGTTCTTAAATTTTACCACTTTAATATTTACTTTCTAAATCTTTCATGACATGCCAAACTTCATGTAGGGGAGATAAAATGATAACATATATGCTATGCATGTTCTATATTCAATATAGTGGAAAAGCTAGAACAAAATCATTTGGAAAGCAATGGAAAATAAGACTTTCATTGTTAAACATAAAATAAATTAAGAGATATAAGAGCATAAGTGTAATTATTGACCTTCTTGAAGGACATAATTAAACGAATCTTATGTCTCATGATGAAACTTAAAGGGCTTCAATATAAATTGAATTTCATATCTTAAAAAATAGGAGAAGTTGATGGTTTCCTCTAAGATTAATGCACCGCCCATCTTGATTCCACTATTATCTCTTTGTGTGAACTTTTGGCTTTTAGCTTCAGTTGTTGGTTAATCGAATTGTAAAAGAAAACAAACAAAATTTCTATTGGGTTTTTTGTTATTAAAATCAAATTTTAGGTTTTCATGGTTCGGCTTTTTGATGAAACCTAGTTTGTTGTCGATTCTCTTTTTTAAAAAATATTAAATCACACAGATAGAAACAAAAAAAAAAAAAATTATGGGCTATGAAGTTTTTTTCTATAGGCTAAATGCTCTACATTAGCATAAAAGAAAGATAATAAATATTTATAAAAATAAATCATTAACCATCGTGTGTCAATGAAAATGGCATATGACAATTAAAAAGGCCGCCGATAGGGCATCTTTGACACTTCGTATTTTATACTCTAATTTGACTATGGGTGCAAATGAAATATTAAAATTTACTTATTGCGCACTAAAATTAGAAAAAAAAAAAACCTAAAACAACCTGGGGGTGGTTGGCAAAAAATTTATACTTTCTCTTAATAAAAATTTGTTTTTTAAAATATTTTTATATGAGTCGATGAATTTTTTTTTTCTTAGCATTACTCTTCCAAGCTTTATCTTAAAAATATATATGAGAAAAAATTGGCTAGTATCTTTATTTAAATCAATCTAGTAAAAAAAGTTATTCTTAGTGACCCTAACCAAATATAGTTTTCCAAAGTAAAATAAAAGAAGAAAATGTATGTTTTTATAAATTAATTATTCATGCGTGCATTAAATTTTTTAGCATCCGTAAATTTGAAAAACAAATAGACTTTCTCTTCAAGTACTATTAAATTAAAATATTAATTTCATAAGAAAAAATATATCATTCCATCGAGTACATATTGTTGAATTTATTTAAGAATAGGAAGGGCGTAAATGTAAGGTGCTTCGAGCTACAACACCAACACAATCATTCCAAACATCGAGGCTCCTTGTAGAAATCTTTGATGGATTTTGTCAGGCTCTTTTGATATGAGAAATTTTGTAAATGCATTATGGCAATTTTTTCCCGTTGAAACAAGTTTGTTGCAACAGCTTATCGATGGAGCGTAATTGCCAATCAAGCTCGAAACATTTCTCGCTCCACACTTATCACTTAGCTTTATAGAACATTGTTTTAAATATTTGTCATGCTTCGGGCATAGATTCTTCGTATGCCGTATAAGGTGCTTCGAGCTACAACACCAACACAATCATTCCAAACATCGAGGCTCTTTGTAGAAATCTTAGTTGGATTTTCTTGGGGTTCTTTTGATATGAGAAATTTTGTAAATTCCTCATGACAATTTTTTCCCGTTGTAACGAGTTCGTTGCAACAGCCTATCGATGGGGTATAATTTCCAACTAAACTCTGAAAAATTTCTCGCTCCACACTTGTCACCTAGCTTTATAGAACAATCTTTTAAATATTTTCCAAGCTTGGGAACACGCATTCTTCGTATGTTGCAATAACACGTCCTACAAGTCCCGATGTACCCATAAATACACTTACTAAAGCAACTAGAGCCATGAAAATATTTTTGTGGAAAATGGCCATGTGGTCGAACACCGAGATGATCAAGTGGAGTTGATGTTTGTAAATTGATTAATTCAATTATCAAGTCTCATTAATTTATATGGAAAAGCTTTCAAACGCTTAATGGGCAAGCTAGCTTAAAAATTAATATATCTTTGATGAGTATTTAACGACGAAAAAAAAAACTTACTTTCCGTAAATGTTATTGTTTTTTTTACCAACTTCTATTTGTCATTGATGAACATAACTTTGAATAGGAGCAAGAAAAAATCTCCCACACAAGTAATTTTTAAACTTAATGGTATTTATGATTTTAATCTCTCTCAATGATTTTTGTGTTTCCACTAAACCTATATTTTTATGTACCAAATTTAAATTGAAATAAGACTTCTAGATATGAAAATATATTGATATTAAACATTTTTAAATAGATGATCTAATTTTATATTTAGTATTTTTTAGAAACTCTTAATCTTAGTCCCACCTATAGTTAAGGTTTGAATGTTTTTTCTTTTCCTTCTATATCAAGTTACATCGTGAGCTACGCTAGCTTTAACATTCATTTAGGTAACATATTATTGTCTAATACAAATAATATATTTGGTATGGATGTAAAATAAGAAAAGTTATGTTTGATAAAATTTTGGAGAAAAGAGAAAATTTCATAGAGATTAGCATTTAATCCGAAAAAGAGGATCAAATGTTAACTTTGTGAATCTAGAGGTAAGGAGGCATTTATGGAGAACATTTTTTTTATTTTTTATTTTTATTTCATTTGATATCACAACTATATGTTATTTAATTTCCAAAAAATTATATGTAATTTAAAGTTTGATTTTATCTTTATTAGAACCTAATATTATCCATAATTATTTTAAATCCTACCAAACGTTCTTAAATTTTACCACTTTAATATTTACTTTCTAAATCTTTCATGACATGCCAAACTTCATGTAGGGGAGATAAAATGATAACATATATGCTATGCATGTTCTATATTCAATATAGTGGAAAAGCTAGAACAAAATCATTTGGAAAGCAATGGAAAATAAGACTTTCATTGTTAAACATAAAATAAATTAAGAGATATAAGAGCATAAGTGTAATTATTGACCTTCTCAAGGACATAATTAAACGAATCTTATGTCTCATGATGAAACTTAAAGGGCTTCAATATAAATTGAATTTCATATCTTAAAAAATAGGAGAAGTTGATGGTTTCCTCTAAGATTAATGCACCGCCCATCTTGATTCCACTATTATCTCTTTGTGTGAACTTTTGGCTTTTAGCTTCAGTTGTTGGTTAATCGAATTGTAAAAGAAAACAAACAAAATTTCTATTGGGTTTTTTGTTATTAAAATCAAATTTTAGGTTTTCATGGTTCGGCTTTTTGATGAAACCTAGTTTGTTGTCGATTCTCTTTTTTAAAAAATATTAAATCACACAGATAGAAACAAAAAAAAAAAATTATGGGCTATGAAGTTTTTTTCTATAGGCTAAATGCTCTACATTAGCATAAAAGAAAGATAATAAATATTTATAAAAATAAATCATTAACCATCGTGTGTCAATGAAAAATGGCATATGACAATTAAAAAGGCCGCCGATAGGCATCTTTGACACTTCGTATTTTATACTCTAATTTGACTATGGGTGCAAATGAAATATTAAAATTTACTTATTGCGCACTAAAATTAGAAAAAAAAAAAACCTAAAACAACCGGGGGTGGTTGGCAAAAAATTTATACTTTCTCTTAATAAAAATTTGTTTTTTAAAATATTTTTATATGAGTCGATGAATTTTTTTTTCTTAGCATTACTCTTCCAAGCTTTATCTTAAAAATATATATGAGAAAAAATTGGCTAGTATCTTTATTTAAATCAATCTAGTAAAAAAAGTTATTCTTAGTGACCCTAACCAAATATAGTTTTCCAAAGTAAAATAAAAGAAGAAAATGTATGTTTTTATAAATTAATTATTCATGCGTGCATTAAATTTTTTAGCATCCGTAAATTTGAAAAACAAATAGACTTTCTCTTCAGTACTATTAAATTAAAATATTAATTTCATAAGAAAAAATATATCATTCCATTGAGTACATATTGTTGAATTTATTTAAGAATAGGAAGTGGCGTAAATGTAAGGTGCTTCGAGCTACAACACCAACACAATCATTCCAAACATCGAGGCTCCTTGTAGAAATCTTTGATGGATTTTGTCGAGGCTCTTTTGATATGAGAAATTTTGTAAATGCATTATGGCAATTTTTTCCCCGTTGAAACAAGTTTGTTGCAACAGCTTATCGATGGAGCGTAATTGCCAATCAAGCTCCGAAACATTTCTCGCTCCACACTTATCACTTAGCTTTATAGAACATTGTTTTAAATATTTGTCATGCTTCGGGCATAGATTCTTCGTATGCCGTATAAGGTGCTTGAGCTACAACACCAACACAATCATTCCAAACATCGAGGCTCTTTGTAGAAATCTTAGTTGGATTTTCTTGGGGCTCTTTTGATATGAGAAATTTTGTAAATTCCTCATGACAATTTTTTCCCGTTGTAACGAGTTCGTTGCAACAGCCTATCGATGGGGTATAATTTCCAAACAAACTCTGAAAAATTTCGCTCCACACTTGTCACCTAGCTTTATAGAACAATCTTTTAAATATTTTCCAAGCTTGGGAACAGCATTCTTCGTATGTTGCAATAACACGTCCTACAAGTCCCGATGTACCCATAAATACACTTACTAAAGCAACTAGAGCCATGAAAATATTTTTGTGGAAAATGGCCATGTGGCTGAAAACCGAGATGATCAAGTGGAGTTGATGTTTGTAAATTGATTAATTCAATTATCAAGTCTCATTAATTTATATGGAAAAGCTTTCAAACGCTTAATGGGCAGTTAGCTTAAAAATTAATATATCTTTGATGAGTATTTAACGACGAAAAAAAAACTTACTTTCCGTAAATGTTATTGTTTTTTTACCAACTTCTATTTGTCATTGATGAACATAACTTTGAATAGGAGCAAGAAAAAATCTCCCACACAAGTAATTTTTAAACTTAATGGTATTTATGATTTTAATCTCTCTCAATGATTTTTGTGTTTCCACTAAACCTATATTTTTATGTACCAAATTTAAATTGAAATAAGACTTCTAGATATGAAAATATATTGATATTAAACATTTTTAAATAGATGATCTAATTTTATATTTAGTATTTTTTAGAAACTCTTAATCTTAGTCCCACCTATAGTTAAGGTTTGAATGTTTTTTCTTTTCCTTCTATATCAAGTTACATCGTGAGCTACGCTAGCTTTAACATTCATTTAGGTAACATATTATTGTCTAATACAAATAATATATTTGGTATGGATGTAAAATAAGAAAAGTTATGTTTGATAAAATTTTGGAGAAAAGAGAAAATTTCATAGAGATTAGCATTTAATCCGAAAAAGAGGATCAAATGTTAACTTTGTGAATCTGTGAGGTAAGGAGGCATTTATGGAGAACATTTTTTTTATTTTTTATTTTTATTTCATTTGATATCACAACTATATGTTATTTAATTTCCAAAAAATTATATGTAATTTAAAGTTTGATTTTATCTTTATTAGAACCTAATATTATCCATAATTATTTTAAATCCTACCAAACGTTCTTAAATTTTACCACTTTAATATTTACTTTCTAAATCTTTCATGACATGCCAAACTTCATGTAGGGGAGATAAAATGATAACATATATGCTATGCATGTTCTATATTCAATATAGTGGAAAAGCTAGAACAAAATCATTTGGAAAGCAATGGAAAATAAGACTTTCATTGTTAAACATAAAATAAATTAAGAGATATAAGAGCATAAGTGTAATTATTGACCTTCTTGAAGGACATAATTAAACGAATCTTATGTCTCATGATGAAACTTAAAGGGCTTCAATATAAATTGAATTTCATATCTTAAAAAATAGGAGAAGTTGATGGTTTCCTCTAAGATTAATGCACCGCCCATCTTGATTCCACTATTATCTCTTTGTGTGAACTTTTGGCTTTTAGCTTCAGCTGTTGGTTAATCGAATTGTAAAAGAAAACAAACAAAATTTCTATTGGGTTTTTTGTTATTAAAATCAAATTTTAGGTTTTCATGGTTCGGCTTTTTGATGAAACCTAGTTTGTTGTCGATTCTCTTTTTTAAAAAATATTAAATCACACAGATAGAAACAAAAAAAAAAAAAATTATGGGCTATGAAGTTTTTTTCTATAGGCTAAATGCTCTACATTAGCATAAAAGAAAGATAATAAATATTTATAAAAATAAATCATTAACCATCGTGTGTCAATGAAAAATGGCATATGACAATTAAAAAGGCCGCCGATAGGCATCTTTGACACTTCGTATTTTATACTCTAATTTGACTATGGGTGCAAATGAAATATTAAAATTTACTTATTGCGCACTAAAATTAGAAAAAAAAAAAGACCTAAAACAACCGGGGGTGCTTGGCAAAAAATTTATACTTTCTCTTAATAAAAATTTGTTTTTTAAAATATTTTTATATGAGTCGATGAATTTTTTTTTCTTAGCATTACTCTTCCAAGCTTTATCTTAAAAATATATATGAGAAAAAATTGGCTAGTATCTTTATTTAAATCAATCTAGTAAAAAAAAGTTATTCTTAGTGACCCTAACCAAATATAGTTTTCCAAAGTAAAATAAAAGAAGAAAATGTATGTTTTTATAAATTAATTATTCATGCGTGCATTAAATTTTTTAGCATCCGTAAATTTGAAAAACAAATAGACTTTCTCTTCAGTACTATTAAATTAAAATATTAATTTCATAAGAAAAAATATATCATTCCATTGAGTACATATTGTTGAATTTATTTAAGAATAGGAAGTGGCGTAAATGTAAGGTGCTTCGAGCTACAACACCAACACAATCATTCCAAACATCGAGGCTCCTTGTAGAAATCTTTGATGGATTTTGTCAGGGCTCTTTTGATATGAGAAATTTTGTAAATGCATTATGGCAATTTTTTCCCGTTGAAACAAGTTTGTTGCAACAGCTTATCGATGGAGCGTAATTGCCAATCAAGCTCGAAACATTTCTCGCTCCACACTTATCACTTAGCTTTATAGAACATTGTTTTAAATATTTGTCATGCTTCGGGCATAGATTCTTCGGATGTCGTATAAGGTGCTTCGAGCTACAACACCAACACAATCATTCCAAACATCGAGGCTCTTTGTAGAAATCTTAGTTGGATTTTCTTGGGCTCTTTTGATATGAGAAATTTTGTAAATTCCTCATGACAATTTTTTCCCGTTGTAACGAGTTCGTTGCAACAGCCTATCGATGGGGTATAATTTCCAACCAAACTCTGAAAAATTTCTCGCTCCACACTTGTCACCTAGCTTTATAGAACAATCTTTTAAATATTTTCCAAGCTTGGGAACAGCATTCTTCGTATGTTGCAATAACACGTCCTACAAGTCCCGATGTACCCATAAATACACTTACTAAAGCAACTAGAGCCATGAAAATATTTTTGTGGAAAATGGCCATGTGGCTGAAAACCGAGATGATCAAGTGGAGTTGATGTTTGTAAATTGATTAATTCAATTATCAAGTCTCATTAATTTATATGGAAAAGCTTTCAAACGCTTAATGGGCGATTAGCTTAAAAATTAATATATCTTTGATGAGTATTTAACGACGAAAAAAAAAACTTACTTTCTCGTAAATGTTATTGTTTTTTTTACCAACTTCTATTTGTCATTGATGAACATAACTTTGAATAGGAGCAAGAAAAAATCTCCCACACAAGTAATTTTTAAACTTAATGGTATTTATGATTTTAATCTCTCTCAATGATTTTTGTGTTTCCACTAAACCTATATTTTTATGTACCAAATTTAAATTGAAATAAGACTTCTAGATATGAAAATATATTGATATTAAACATTTTTAAATAGATGATCTAATTTTATATTTAGTATTTTTTAGAAACTCTTAATCTTAGTCCCACCTATAGTTAAGGTTTGAATGTTTTTTCTTTTCCTTCTATATCAAGTTACATTGTGAGCTACGCTAGCTTTAACATTCATTTAGGTAACATATTATTGTCTAATACAAATAATATATTTGGTATGGATGTAAAATAAGAAAAGTTATGTTTGATAAAATTTTGGAGAAAAGAGAAAATTTCATAGAGATTAGCATTTAATCCGAAAAAGAGGATCAAATGTTAACTTTGTGAATCTAGAGGTAAGGAGGCATTTATGGAGAACATTTTTTTTATTTTTTATTTTTATTTCATTTGATATCACAACTATATGTTATTTAATTTCCAAAAAATTATATGTAATTTAAAGTTTGATTTTATCTTTATTAGAACCTAATATTATCCATAATTATTTTAAATCCTACCAAACGTTCTTAAATTTTACCACTTTAATATTTACTTTCTAAATCTTTCATGACATGCCAAACTTCATGTAGGGGAGATAAAATGATAACATATATGCTATGCATGTTCTATATTCAATATAGTGGAAAAGCTAGAACAAAATCATTTGGAAAGCAATGGAAAATAAGACTTTCATTGTTAAACATAAAATAAATTAAGAGATATAAGAGCATAAGTGTAATTATTGACCTTCTGAAGGACATAATTAAACGAATCTTATGTCTCATGATGAAACTTAAAGGGCTTCAATATAAATTGAATTTCATATCTTAAAAAATAGGAGAAGTTGATGGTTTCCTCTAAGATTAATGCACCGCCCATCTTGATTCCACTATTATCTCTTTGTGTGAACTTTTGGCTTTTAGCTTCAGTTGTTGGTTAATCGAATTGTAAAAGAAAACAAACAAAATTTCTATTGGGTTTTTTGTTATTAAAATCAAATTTTAGGTTTTCATGGTTCGGCTTTTTGATGAAACCTAGTTTGTTGTCGATTCTCTTTTTTAAAAAATATTAAATCACACAGATAGAAACAAAAAAAAAAAATTATGGGCTATGAAGTTTTTTTCTATAGGCTAAATGCTCTACATTAGCATAAAAGAAAGATAATAAATATTTATAAAAATAAATCATTAACCATCGAGTGTCAATGAAAAATGGCATATGACAATTAAAAAGGCCGCCGATAGGGCATCTTTGACACTTCGTATTTTATACTCTAATTTGACTATGGGTGCAAATGAAATATTAAAATTTACTTATTGCGCACTAAAATTAGAAAAAAAAAAACTAAAACAACCGGGGTTGGCAAAAAATTTATACTTTCTCTTAATAAAAATTTGTTTTTTTAAATATTTTTATATGAGTCGATGAATTTTTTTTTCTTAGCATTACTCTTCCAAGCTTTATCTTAAAAATATATATGAGAAAAAATTGGCTAGTATCTTTATTTAAATCAATCTAGTAAAAAAAAGTTATTCTTAGTGACCCTAACCAAATATAGTTTTCCAAAGTAAAATAAAAGAAGAAAATGTATGTTTTTATAAATTAATTATTCATGCGTGCATTAAATATTTTAGCATCCGTAAATTTGAAAAACAAATAGACTTTCTCTTCAAGTACTATTAAATTAAAATATTAATTTCATAAGAAAAAATATATCATTCCATTGAGTACATATTGTTGAATTTATTTAGAAACTCTTAATCTTAATCCCACCTATAGTTTAGGTTTGATTTTGTTTTTTTCTATATCAAGTTACATTATGAGCTACGCTAGCTTTAACGTTCATTTAGCTAACGTATTATTGTCTAATACAAATAATATATTTGGTATGGATGTAAAATAAGAAAATTTATGTTTGATAAAAGTTTAGAGAAAAGAGAAAATTTCATAGCGATTAACATTTAATCCAAAAAAGAGGATCCAATGTTAACTTTGTGAAACTAGAGGCAAGGAAACATTTATAGAGAAAATTTTTCTATTTATTTTTTTATTTCATTTGAGATCACAACTATATGTTATTTATTTTTTAAAAAAATTATATGTAATTTAAAATTTTATTTTATCTTTATTAGAACCAAATATTATCCATAATTATTTTAAACCTTACCAAACATTCTTAAATTTTACCACTTTAATATTTACTCTCTAAATCTTTCATGACATGCCAAACTTCATGTAAGGGAGATAAAATGATGAGATATATGTTATGCATGTTCTATATTCAATAAAATGGAAGAGCTAGAATAAAATGATTTGCCAAGCAATAGCAAAAGAAGACTTTCCAGGGTAAACATAAAATAAATGAAGAAATATAAGAGCATAAGTGTAATTATTGAGCTTTTTGAAGGACCTAATTGAAAGAGTCTTATATCTCTTGATGAAACTAAAATGGCTTAAATATAGATGGAATTTCATGTCTCAAAAAATAAGAAAAGTTGATGGTTTCCTCTAAGATTAATGCACTTCCCATCCCGATTCCACCATTATCTCTCGGTGTGAACATTTGGTTTTTAGCTTCGGTCGTTAGTTAACCGAATAAAAAAAAAACATAATACCAATCAAATTTCTATTGGGTTTTTTGTTTGTAAAACCAAATTTTAGGTTTTCTTGGTTTGGTTTTCCGATGAAAGCTAGTTTGTTGTCGATTTTTTTTTAAATATTAAATCACATAAATAGAATAAAAAAATATTATGTTATGGACTATGAAGTTTTTCCTCTATGTCAAATGGTCTACATTAGCATACAAGAAAGATAATTAATATTTATTTAAATAAGTCATTAATTGTCACGTGTCAATTAAAAATGGCATATGACAGTAAAAAGGCCACTAATAGGGCATCCTTGATACTTTTGTATTTGATACTCTAATGTGATTATGGGTACAAATGAAATATTAGAATTTACCGATTGCGTACTAAAATTAGAAGAAAAAAAAACTTCGGGGGGCTAAAAATCTACTATTTTCTCTTAATAAAAATATTGGTTTTTAAAATATTTTTATGTCGAGTAGATGAATTTTTTATTTTTCTTTTTTGCTAATCATTACTATTGTAGTTTTATCTTTAAAATATGTATGGGAAAACAATGGCTAGTATCTTTAACTAAATCAATCTTGTCAAAAAATAGTTATTCCTAGTAACACTAACAAAATATAGTTTTCCAAAGTAAAATAAAAGAAGAAAATATGTATTTTTGTAAATTAATTATTCACCCGTGCATTAAATTTTTTAGCATCCACGAATTTGAAAAACTAGTAGACTTTCTCTTCAGTACTATCAAAGTACAATAATAATTTCTTAAGAAAAAATATATCATTCCATTGAGTACAAATTGTTGAATTTATTAAAGAATAGGGAGGGAAGAAATGTAAGGTGCTTGAGCTACAACACCAAGACAATCATTCCAAACATTGAGGCTCTTTGCGTAAATCTTAGATGGATTTTCTTAGGGCTCTTTCAATATTAGAAATTTTGTAAATGTGTTATGGCAATTTTTTCCCGTTGAAACGAGTTTGTTGCAATAGTTATCGGATGGAGTGTAATTGCTAGTCAAGCTCTAAAACGTTTCTGCTCCACACTTATCACCTAGCTTTGAAGAACAATGTTTTAAATATTTGTCAAGCTTGGGCACGGATTCTTCGGATGCTCTGTAAGGAGCTTGAGCTGCAACACCAACACAATCATTACAAACATTAAGGATCTTCGCAAAAATCTTAGATGGATTTTCTTAGGGCTCTTTTGAAATGAGAAATTTTGTAAATGCCTCATGACAATTTTTTCCCGTTGTTATGAGTTTGTTGCAATAGTTATCAAATGGGGTATAATTGTCAATCAAACTCTGAAAATTTTCTCGCTCCACACTTGTCACCAAGCTTTACAAAACAATCTTTTAAATATTTGCTAAGCTTGGGAACAGATTCTTCGGATGTAGCAATAATGCATCCCGCAAGTTCCGGTATACTCATAAATACACTTATTAAAGCAACTAGAGCCATGAAAATGTTTTGGTAAAAATGGCCATGTTACTAAAACCCGAGATGATCAAGTGGAGTTGATATTTGGAGATTAATTAATTGAATTATCAAGTCTCATTAATTTATTAGTAAAAGATTTCGAATGCTTGGTGAGTTGTTAGCTTAATCGTTAATACATCTTTTATGAGTATTTAATGGCGTTAATAAAAAACAACTTTCATCCCATAAATGTTATTTTTTTTAGTATCGACTTCTATTTGTCGTTGATGAACATAACTTTGAATAAGTACGAGGAAAACAGTCCCAAACAAAGATAATTTTTAAACTTAATAGTATGTACGATTTTAATCTCTCTTAATAACTTTTTGTGTTTCCACTAAACTTATGTTTTTATGTACCAAATTTAAATTGAAATAATCCCTTCATATTTGAGAATATAATAATATTAAAAAAATTTAAATAAAAGATCTAATTTTATATTTAGTATTTTTAAGAAACTTTAAATCCCACCAATAGTTTGGGTATGATTTTTTTCTTTTTTTTTTTCTGGTTACATTGTGAGCTACTCTAGCTTTAACATTCATTTAGTTAACATATTATTTTATAATACAAATTATATATTTGGTATGGAAGTAAAATAATAAAAGTTATGCTTGACAAAATTTTGGAGAAAAGTGAAAATTTTATAGAGAATAAAATTTAATGCAAAAAAGAGGATTAAATGTTAACTTTCTAAAACAAAAGGTAAGGAAACATTTATGGAGAACATTATTCTATATCGTTTATTTACTTTTTTTTTTTTTGGGATCACAACTATATGTTATTTAATTATTATTTTTTACAATTAAATGTAATTTAAAATTTGATTTTATCTTTATTAGAACCTAATATTGTCCATAATTATTTCAAATTATACCAAACATTCTTAAATTTTACCTCTTTAATATTTACTTTCAAAATCTTTCATAACATCTCAAACGTCATCTAAAGGTGATAAAATGATGACATATATGTTATGCATGTTCTCTATTCTTTACAGTGGCAGAGTTAGAACAAAATGATTGGACCAGTAATGGCAAAATAAGACTTTTAAGGGTAAACATCAAATAAATTTAGAAATATAAGACCATAAGTGTAATTATAGAGCTTTTGGAAGGATTTAATTGAAAGAATCTTAGCTATCATGATAAAATTAAAAAGTCTTAAATGTAGATGGAATTTACTGCCTCAAAAAAATTAGAGAAGCTGATGGTTTCCTCTAAGATTAATGTACCACCCATCTTGATTCCACAATTATCTATAGGTGTGAACATTTGGTTTTTCATTTGAGTTGTTGGTTAACCAAATTAAAAAAAAAAAAAAAAAAACAGAATACAAACCAAATGTTTATTCGACTTTTTGTTTGTAAAACCAAATTTTTAGTTTTCGGGATTTTATTTTTATTTTTTTTATGAAAACTAGTTTGTTGTTGTTTTTTATTTTTAATCACATAAATAGACCAAAAACCATGTTATGGACTATGAAGTTTTTTTCTCTAGCTCAAATTGTCTAAATTATCCTATTTGAAAGATAATAAATATTTATTTAAATAAATCATTAACTGTCACATGTCAATTAAAAATGTCATATGGTAGTAAAAAATGCCACTGGTAGGGCATCCTTGACGTTTTAGTATTTTATACTCTAATGTGACTGTGGGTACTAATGAAATATAAAAATTTATCGATTGGGCACTAAACTTATATAAAACAAAATAATAATAAAAAAAGGTTGGGCACAAAATTACTATTTTCTCTTAATAAAAATAGTGGTTTTTCAAATCTTTTAAGGTGAGTAAATGAATTTTTTCTTTTTTCTTTTTTCATTATTGTTCCAGCTTCTATCTTTAAAACATATATGAGAAAACAATGTCTAGTATCTTTAACTAAATCAATCTTGTCAAAAAAAGTTATTCCTTGTGACCCTAACAGAATATTACTTTCCAATGTAAAATAAAAGAAGTAAAAGTGTGTTTTTTATAAATTAATTATTAATGTGTGCCACAAATTTTTTTAGCAATCATAAATTTGAAAAACAAAAAGATTTTCTATTCAGTATTGTTAAAGTACAATATTAATTTCTTAAGAAAAAAATATACCATTCCATTGAGTACATATTGTTGAATTATTTTAGAATCGGAATGGAAGAGGTGTATGGTGCTTGAGCTACAACACCAAAACAATCATTCCAAACATTGGGGCTCTTTGCTAAAATTTTGGATGGATTTTCTTGGGACACTTTTGATATTAGAAATTTTGTAAATGCATTATGACAATTATTTCTTGTTGAAACGAGTTTGTTACAACTATTAGATATGGTGTAATTGCCACTCAAACTCTCAAAACTTTCTGCTGCACACTTATCACCTAGTTTTACAAAAAAATCTTTTAAATATTTGTCATGCTTGGGCATAGATTCTTCGGTTGTTGTGTAAGGAGCTTGAGCTATAACATGAACATAATCATTCCAAATATTGGATTTTTTTAGGCTTTTTTGATATAAGAAATTTTGTAAATGCGTTATGACAATTTTTTCTTGTTATAATGAGTTTGTTACAACAGCTTATCATATGGGGTACAATTGTCAATCAAACTCTAAAAAATTTCTACTCCACACTTGTCACCAAGCTTTACGAACAATCCTTTAAATATTTGCTAAGCTTGGGAACATATTCTTCAGATGTAGCAATAATGCATCCTGGTATACACATAAATACACAAATCAAAGGAACTAGAGCCATGAAAATGTTTTTGTTGAAAACTGCCATGTTGCTAAAAACTGAGATGTTCAAGTAGAGTTAATGTTTGGTCATTGATTAATTGAATTATCAAGTCTCGTTAATTTATAAGTAAAAGCCTTTGAATGCTTGGTGCGTAGTTAACTTAATCATTAACACATCTTTGATGAGTATATAAAGTTAATAAATAAAACTTTCTTCCATGTAAAGGTTAATAATTTATAAGTAAAATATTTAGTATTGACTTCTATTTGTCATTGATGAAAATAACTTTGAATAGGTATAAGGAAAAAACTACCATTCAAAGATAATTTTTAAGCTTAATGGTGTGTGTGCCTTTAATCTCTCAATATATTTTTTTTGTTTCCACTAAACTTAATTTTTATTTATCAAAGTTAAATTAAAATAAGGCTTTCAGATTTGAGTATATAATGACATTAAACATTTTTAACTAGATGATCTAGTTTTATATTTAGTATTTTCAAGAAACTCTTAATCACTCTTATAGTTTGGGTTTGACTTTTATTATTATTATTATTATTATTATTGCTTCTATATCAAGTTACACTGTGAACTACGCTAACTTTAATGTTCATTTAGGTAACATATTATTGTCTAATACAAATAATATATTTGGTATGGATGTAAAATAAGAAAAGTTATGTTTGATAAAAGTTTGGAGAGAAGAGAAAATTTCATAAAGATTAACATTTAATCCAAAAAAAGAAGATGTTTAAATGTTAAATTTGTGAAACAAGAGGTAAGAAAACATTTATGGAGAACATTATTCTATTTTGCTTTTTGAGGGACCTAATTGAAAGAATCTTGTATATCATGATGGAACTAAAAGGGGCTAAATATAGATGGAATTTCAGGTCTCTAAAAATTAGAGAAGTCAATGGTTTCCTCTAAGATTAATTTAGTGTCGTTCATGATTCCACAATTATTTCTCGGTGTGAACATTTGGTTTTTTGTTTTAATTTTTGGTTAACCGAGTGAAAAAAAAAAACAGAACAAAAACCAAATTTCTTTTTTTTTTTTTTTTGCAAAACCAAAATTTTTTTATGGGGTTCGGTTTTTAGATGAAAACCAGTTCTATCTTTAAAATGTAATTGAGAAAACAATAGCTAGTATATTTAACTAAATCAATCTTGTCAAAATAAATTATTCCTTGTGACCCTAACATAATATTGTTTTCCAAACTAAAAGAAAAGAAGGAATTGTGTGTTTTTAAAAATTAATTACTAATGCAGGCAATGAATTTTTGAGCAGCCATAAATTCGAAAAACAAAAAGTTTTTTTTTTCAATATTATTATAGTACAATATTAATTTCTTAAGAAACAATATACCATTCCAATCACTACCAAAAAACAAGCAGGTAGCGAATAACAAAAAACCCAATAGAAATTTTGTTTGTATTCTTTTTTTTTCTTTTTCAATTCGATTAACCAATACCCGAAGCTAAAAGCCAAAAGTTCACACAAAGAGATAATAGTGGAATCAAGATGAGCAATGCATTAATCTTAGAGGAAACCATCAACTTCTCCTATTTTTTAAGATATGAAATTCAATTTATATTCAAGCCCTTTAAGTTTCATAATGAGATATAAGATTCTTTTAATTATGTCCTTCAAGAAGGTCAATAATTACACCGATGCTCTTATATCTCTTAATTTATTTTATGTTTAACAATGAAAGTCTTATTTTCCATTGCTTGCCAAATGATTTTGTTCTAGCTTTGCCACTATATTGAATATAGAACATGCATAACATATATGTCATCATTTTATCTCCCTTACATGAAGTTTGACATGTCATGAAATATTTAGAAAGTAAATATTAAAGTGGTAAAATTTAAGAATGTTTGGTAGGATTTAAAATAATTATGGATAATATTAGGTTCTAATAAAGATAAAATCAAATTTTAAATTACATATAATTTTTTGGAAAATAAATAACATATAGTTGTGATCTCAAATTAAAATAAAAAAATAAATAGAAAAATGTTCTCTATAATTGTTTCCTCACCTCTAGTTTCACAAAGTTAACATTTGATCCTCTTTTTCGGATTAAATGTTAATCTCTATGAAATTTTCTCTTTTCTCCAAAATTTTATCAAACATAAATTTTCTTATTTTACATTCGTACCAAATATATTATTTGTATCAAACAATAATATGTTACCTAAATGAACGTTAAAGCTAGCATAGCTCACAATGTAACTTGATATAGCAGGAAAAAAAAACATTCAAACCTAAAATATAGTTGGGAGTAAGATTAAGAATTTCTAAAAAATACTAAATATAAAATTAGACCATCTAGTTAAAAGTGTTTAATAGCAATATATTCTCATATCTAAAAGTCTTATTTCAATTTAAATTTGGTACATAAAAAAGTAAGTTTAGTGGAAACACTAAAATTATTGAGAGAGATTAAAATCATACATACCATTAAGTTTAAAAATTACCTTGTGTGGGGGTTTTTTTCTCGTACCTATTCAAAGTTATGTTCATCAATGACAAATAGAAGTCGGTACAAAAAAATAACATTTATAGAAAGTAAGTTTTGTTTTTTATTTATGTCATTAAATACTCATCAAAGATGTATTAATTATTAAGCTAACTACCCAATAAGCTTTTCCTTATAAATTAATGAGACTTGATAATTGAATTAATCAATTTACAAACATCAACTCCACTTGATCATCTCGGCTTTTAGCCACATGGCCATTTTCAACAAAAATATTTTATTGGCTTTAGTTGCTTTAGTAAGTGCATTTATGGGTACATCGGGACTTGTGGGATGCATTATTTCAACATCTTAAGAATCTTTTCCCAAGCTTGGCAAATATTTAAAAGATTGTTTCGTAAAGCTTGGTGACAAGTGTGGAGCAAAAATGTTTTAGAGTTTGACTCGTCAATTATAAGCCATCCGATAACTGTTGCAACAAACTCGTTACAATCGGAAAAAATTGTCATGAGGCATTTATAAAATTTCTCATATCAAAAGAGCCCTAAGAAAATCCATCTAAGATTTCTACAAAGAGACTTAATGTTTGGAATGATTATGCTGGTGTTGTAGCTCAAGCACCTTACACAACGTCTAAAGAATCCGTGCCCAAGCTTGAAAAATATTGAAAACATTGTTCCGCAAAGCTAGGTGATAAGTGTGGAGCAGAAATTTTTCAGAGCTTGATTGGCAATTACACTTCATCTAATAACTATCGCGACAAACTTGTTTCAACAGGAAAAAATTGCCATAATGCATTTACAAAATTTCTCATATCAAAAGAGGCCTAAGAAAATCCATCCAAGATTTCTACATGGAGCCCCAATGTTTTGGAATGATTGTGTTGGTGTTATAGCTCAAGCACCTTACATTTCTTCCCTTCCAATTCTTCAATAAATTCAACAATATGTACTCAATGAAATGATATATTGTTTCTTAAGAATTAATATTGTACTTTAATAGTACTAAAGATAAATTCTATTTGTTTTTCAAATTTATGGATGCTAAAAAATTTATTGCACGCATTAATAATTAATTCATAAAAACACACATTTCTTCTTTTACTTTACTTTGGAAAAATATATTTTGTTAGGGTCATTGGGAATAACTTTTTTTTACAAAATTGATTTACTTAATGATACTAGCCATTGTTTTCTCATATATATTTTAAATACAAAACTGAAACATTAATGATAAGAAAATAAGAAGAAGAAAAATTCATCTACTCACATAAAAATATTTGAAAAACCAATATTTTTATTAAGAGAAAATAGTAATTTTTTAGCCCACCCCCCCCAATTGTTTTAGTTTTTCTTCTTATTTTACTGCCCAATTAGTAAATTCTAATATTTCATTAATACTCATAATCACTTTAGAGTATAAAATACTAAAGTGTCAAGGATGCCCTACTAACGGCCTTTTTTACTACCTTATGGCTTTTTATTAATGCATGATAGTAAATGATTTATTTAAATAAATATTTATTATCTTTCATGTTGGCTAATTAGATCATTTGAGCTAGAGAAAAAACTTCGTAGTCCGTGACATAATTTTTTTTGTCTATTTATATGATTTAATTTTTAAAAAAAAATTGACAACAAACTAGTTTTCTTAAAAAAACCGAACCATGAAATCCTAAAATTTGGTTTTACATAACAAAAAATCAATTAGATATTTGGTTTGTATTCTGTTTTTTTAGTTGGTTAACGAGCAACAAAAACGAAAGCCAAATGTTCACACCTAGAGATAATTATCAAAAATCAAGATGGGAAATAAATTAATCTTAGAGGAAACCATCAACTTCTCTTATTTTTTAAGACTTAAAATTCCATCTATATTTAAGCCTTTTTAGTTTCATCTTGAGATACAAGATCCTTTCAATTAGGTCCTTCAAAAAGCTCTATAATTACACTTATGCTCTTATATCTCTTAATTTATTTTATGTTTACCCCTGAAAGTCTTATTTTTCCATTGCTCGCCTAATCACTTTGTTCTTTCTCTGCCACTGTATAGGATATAGAACATGCATAACATATATATCATCATTTTATCACCCTTACTTGAAGTTTGGTATGTCATGAAAGATTTAAAGAGTGAATATTAAAGAGGTAAAATTTAAGAATGTTTGATAGGATTTGAAATAATTATGGCTAACATTTAGTTCTAATAAAAATAAAATAAATTTTAAATTACATATAATTTTTTAAAAAATAAGTAACATATAGTTTTGATCCCAAATGAACAAAAAAGTAAATAAAAAAATAGAATAATGTTGTCCATAAATGTTTCCTTACCTCTTGTTTCACAAAATTAACGTTTAATCCTCTTTTTTGGATTAAATAACATTTATGAAATTTTCACTTTCCTCCAAACTACCAAATATATTATTTGTATTAGACAATTATATGTTACCTAAATGAACGTTAAAGCAAGCATACCTCATATTGTAACTTGATATAGAAGCGTAAAAAGAAATAAAAAATACATTCAAACCCAAACTATTGGTGGGAATAAGATTAAGAATTTCTAGAAAATACTAAATATGAAATTAGATCATCTAGTTAAAAAAAAGTTTAATATCATTATATTCTTAAATATGTAAGTCTTATTTTAATTTAACTTTGGTACATAAAAAAGTAAGTTTAGCGAAAACACAAAAATCTATTGAGAAAGATTAAAATCAAACATACTATTAAGTTTAAAAATTGCCTTTGTGTGGGAGTTTTTTCTCATACCTATTCAAAGTTATGTTCATCAATGACAAATAGAAGTCGATACTAAACATAATAACATTTAAGGAAAGTAATTTTTTTATTATTAATTTAATTAAATACTCATCAAAGATGTATTAATGATTAAGCTAACTGCCCACCAAGCATTCGAAAGCTTTTTTCTTATAAATTAATGAGACTTGATAATTCAATTAATTAATCTCCAAACATCAACTCCAACTTGCTCATCTCAGTTTTCAATGACATGGCCATTTTCAACAAAAATATTTTCATGGCTCTAGTTGCATTAATAAGTGTATTTATGGGAACACTAAGACTTGCAGGACACATTATTGCAACATCCGAAGAATCTATTCTCAAGCTTGGTAAATATTTAAAAGATTGTTCGTAAACCTAGGTGACAAGTGTGGAGCATAAAATTTTTAGAGTTTGACTAGCAATTATACCTCATCCGATAACTGTTGCAACAAACTTTTTACAATAGGAAAAATTGTCATGAGGCATTTACAAAATTTCTCATATCAAAAGAGCCTCAAGAAAATCTGTCTAAGATTTCTACAAAGAGCCTCAATGTTTGGAATGATTGTGTTGGTGTTGTAGCTCAAGCACCTTACACAACATCCGAAGAATCTATGCACAAGCTTGACAAATATTTAAAAGATTGTTCTCGCAAAGCTAGATGATAAGTGTGGAGCAGAAATTTTTCAAACTTTGACTAGCAATTACACCCAATTAGATAATCAGTTGCAACAAACTCGTTTCAATAGGAAAAAATTTTCATAATGCATTTACAAAATTTCTCATATCAAAAGAGTCCCAAGAAAGTCCATCCAAGATTTCGCAAAGAGCATTAATGTTTGGAATGATTGTGTTGATGTTGTAGCTCGAGCACCTCATAAATCTTCCCTTTCTATTCTACAATAAATTCAACAATATGTACTCAATGGAACTATATATTTTTTTCATAAGAAATTAATATTATACTTTAATTTTACTGAATAGAAAGTCTTTTTCTTTTTTGAATTCATGGATGCTAAAAAATTTATCACACATATTAATAATTAATTAATTAAAACATAGATTTTCTTCTTTTATTTTACTTTGAAAATTATATTTTGTTAGGGTCACTGGGAATAACTTTTTTTACAAGATTGATTTAGTTAAAGATAGTGGCCTTTGTTTTCTCATATATGTTCTAAAGATAAAACTGGAAAAAGAATGATAAAAAAAAATCATCTACTCAATGAAAAATATTTGAAAAAACCACTATTTTTATTAAAAGAAAGTAGCAATTGTTTTACCCCATTTTTTTTTCTAATTTTAGTGCCGAATCAGTAAATTCTAATATTTCATTTATACCAATAGTCACATTAGAGTATAAAATATAGAAGTGTCAAGGATTCCCTATCGGCGACCTTTTTAACTGTCATATGTCATTTTTAATTGACATGTGACAGTTAATGATTTATTTAAATAAATATTTATTATCTTTCTTGTATGCTAATAGATACCATTTCACCTAGTGAAAAAACTTCATCGTCCATAGCATAATTGTTTTTGCTCTATTTATGTGATTTAATATTTTAAAAAAAATCGACAACAAACTAGTTTTCATCAAAAAACCAAACCATGAAAACCTAAAATTTGGTTTTACAAACAAAAAACCCAATAGAAATCTAGTTTGTATTTTTTTTTTTATTTAGTTAACCAACAACTAAAGTGAAAAACCTAATGTTCACATCGAGAGATAATAGTGGAATTAGGATGGGCAGTACATTAATCTTAGAGGAAACCATCAATTTCTCTTATTTTTTTAAGAATGAAATTCCATCTATATTTAAGCCCTTTTAGTTTCATGATGAGATATAAGATTCTTTCAATTAAGTCCTTCAAAAAGCTCTATAATTACACGTATGCTCTTATAGCTCTTAATTTGTTTTATGTTTAACCTTGAAAGTCTTATTTTGCCATTGCTCGCCAAATCATTTTGTTCTAGCTCTGCCACTGTATTGAATATAGAACATGCATAACATATATGTCATCATTTTATCTCCCTTAATGAAGTTTGGCATGTCATGAAAGATTTAGAGTCTAAATATTAAAGTGGTAAAATTTAAGAACGTTTGGTAGGACATAAAATAATTATGGATAATATTAGGTTCTAATAAAGATAAAATAAAATTTTAAATTACATATAATTTTTAAAAACCAAATAACATATAGTTCTGATCTCAAATGAAAATAAATAAATAAATAGAATAGAATAGAATAATGTTCTCCATAAATGTTTCCTTACCTATGGTTTCACAAAGTTAACATTTCATCCACGTTTTTTTGAATTAAATGTTAATCTTTATGAAATTTTCTCTTTTCTCCAAACTTTTATCAAACATAAATTTTCTTCTTTTAAATTCACACTAAATATATTATTTGGATTAGACAATAATATGTTACCTAAATGAACATTAAAGCTAGCGTAGCTCACAATGTAACTTGATATAGAAGCAAAAAAAAAAAAAAAAAACCACAGGTGGGATTAAGATTAAGAGTTTCTAAAAACTACTAAAGATAAAATTAGATCATCTAGTTAAAAATGTTTAATATCATTATATTCTCATATCTAAAAGTCTTATTTCAATTTAACTTTGGCACATAAAAAAGTAAGTTTAGTGAAAACGCAAAAATCTATTGTGAGAGATTAAAATCATACATACCATTAAGTTTAAAAATTACCTTTATGTGGGATTTTTTTCTCATACCTATTCAAAGTTATGTTCATCAATGACAAACGAAGTTGATACAAAAAATAATAATGTTTACAGAAAGTAAGTTTTTTGTTTATTAACCTCATTAAATACTCATTAAAGATGTATTAATTATTAAGTTAACTACCCACCAAGCGTTCGAAAGCTTTTTCTTATAAATTAATGAGACTTGATAATTGAATTAATCAATTTACAAACATCAACTCCACTTGATCATCTCGGTTTTTAGCCACATGGCCATTTTCAACAAAAATATTCTCATGGCTCTAGTTGCTTTAGTAAGTGTATTTATGGGTAAAACGGGACTTGCAAGATGCATTATTGCAACATCTAAAGAATTTGTTCCCAAGCTTGGAAAATATTTAAAAGATTGTTCTGTAAAGCTAAGTGACACGTGTAGAACAGAAAGTTTTTAGAGTTTGACTAGCAATTATACCCCATTTGATAATTATTGCAACAAACTCGTTACAATAGGAAAAAAATGTCATGAGGAATTTAAAAAATTTCTCATATCAAAAGAGCCCTAAGAAAATTCATCTAAGATTTCTACAAAGAGCCTCAATGTTTGGAATGATTGTGTTCGTGTTATAACTCAAGCACCTTACACAACATCCGAAGAATCTATGCCCAAGCTTGACAAATACTTAAAACATTGTTCTGCAAAGCTAGGTGATAAGTGTGGAGTAGAAATGTTTCGGAGCTTGATCGGCAATTACACTCCATCCGATAATTGTTGCAACAAACTCGTTTCAACAGGAAAAAATTGCCATAATGCATTTACAAAATTTCTCATATCAAAAGAGCCCCAAGAAAATCCATCCAAGATTTCTACAAGGAGCCTCAATGTTTGGAATGATTGTGTTAGTGTTGTAGCTTAAGCACCTTATATTTCTTCCCTTCCTATATCTTCAATAAAAACCAACAATATGTACTCAATGGAATGATATATTTTTTCTTAAGAAACTAATATCTTACTTTAATAGTACTCGAAGAGAAAGTATATTTATTTTTCAAATTTATGGATGCTAAAAAATTTAATGCACACATGAATAATTAATTTATAAAAACACACTTTTTCTTCTTTTATTTCTCTTTGGAAAAAAATATTTTTTTAGGGTCACTCGGAATAACTTTTTTTGACAAGATTGATTTAGTTAAAGATACTAGCCATTGTTTTCTCATATATATTTTAAAGATAAAACTGGAATGTTAATGATAAGAAAAAAGAAAAAGAAAAAATTCATCTACTCACGTAAAAATATTTTAAAAAGCAATATTTTTATTAAGAGAAAATAGTAATTTTTTAGCCCCCCATTGTTTTTTTTTTCTTATTTTTGCACCCCATTGGTAAATTCTAATATTTCATTCGTACCCACAGATCACATTAAAGTATAAAATACTAAAGTGTCAAGGATGTCCTACCAAATACCTTTTTAAGCTGCCATATGGCATTTTTAATTGACACATGACGGTTAATGATTTATTTAAATAAATATTTATTATCTTTCATATTGGCTAATTTAGACCATTTGAGCTGGAGAAAAAACTTCATAGTCCATAACATAATTTGTTTTTTAATCTATTTAGATGATTTAATTTTTAAAAAAATTTTATGGTGTTAGAGGGTCTATGGGTTTTTGGGGGTGATAAGGAAGGAGAAGACGAAGGAAGAAGAAGGGAGGATATGTGGGTTCAATTCCGTGAAGAAAGAAGGAGAAGATGAAGGAGGGAAGATTTCGGTTCGATTCTATAGAAGACGAAAGTAGCCGAAGGAGAAGAATGAGGAAATTTGAAAAAATGAGCTAGTGGGAAAATTGAAAGAAAGATCTAATGGGCGTCTCTGTGCAAAATTAAAATGAAAAGCAAAAGGTTAGGGTTAATTTGAATTGACGATTTTTTTGTAATTGGGGTATATAAGAGATAGCATGTCTTTCAAGCTTTCTGATTTATTTTGCATGTCTCTACTTACATGGATCCTATGTGGCATTTAAAATCTAGCTTTCATGCTTCGTCACTCGTAATGTCGACTTTGCTCGAATTTTGAGTATTGTTATCGGAGGTTTAGTTGGTGATCTTTCTATGCAAAGTTAAAAGAAGGCTCTAAAATCATTAAAAAGTATAAAGTTCAAGATTTTCTAGAACATTAAGCCTTCTAAATATCAATGGATGAGGGAATTAATCGGTAAAAAAAAAGTCAACAAAAGCTCAAATGCGAGAAAAGAGTTGAATCTCTCAATTATCGTAGTAAATTAAATTATTTTTATTTTATAATGGAACCATTGGTTTAGAGAAAATTAATAACTTTCTTAATAGTAAAAATTAAAATAAATATCTTCAAATTCAATTATGCAAATTATTGAGCGATAAATTTAGTATTGAGTTTATGCGAGCTATTTTCAATGTTTGGGTTAGTTTCTTAAAGCTTGGCTAAAGCCATTATTTCTTTAAAAGTTCTAGGTCTCATAACCCTCACTAGTACTTGTAATTCTAGTTTCAAACCTCTAATTAAGTAACTAATGATTTAATCCTCGGGTAAGATTAATTTATTAATAACAAAAATGAATTTTCTAAAAAAAGATTGAATATCATATGTTTGCTTCAATCCCATCAATTTTTATAGGATCATTAAATACCACAACACCATAATTTATGCTCATTACTTTGATATAATCTTCCTATTTAATCACAACATTAGCTCCACACATCCTTTCAAAGACTTGATGTCATTTTAAAACCTCTTCTTCTAAATGAATAGCAGTTAAGTTCACCTTTGCTTCTCTAGTATTCTATGCACCATTCATATCTAAAAATTGACCTTTTGAAATCTTCTCCAAAGAATCTAGAAAACTCTACCCTAGAAATTCGAGTATTGTAATTGTATCCTATACTGTCTCCTATATAACTATTGTTCACCAATCCAACATTTATATCATTAGTTGGATATCCATATCTAGGAACTTGATAGCCTCTATCATTCAATCCTCCTAATCCATCATCCATATTACCATTCACCCTATCCGATACTCCGTCATATACTAGATTCTTAAGTTCGTTAACAAACTCTTCGATTCACCAATATTCGGATCATATTCTACAAAAACATAGTCACACAATTAAGTAAGATTCGTAATTACAATTGTAAGGGTAGCAATTGATTCCTTTATCATTTTGAGGTTAGAATTGCTCTTTCCATGATTAACGACTTGTTTTACTCTTCATAAGTACAAGAATTAGCTCGATATCAATTGACGTAACTCTAATTCCTAATTAGCTAAAAAACACTAGAGTTGTAAGAAAAACAAGTAAAAAACCAAGAATTCTTATTCAAATTGAACTATAGTCATAATTATTGAGTTACAAATGCAATTAATGAAACAAATGCTAGAATATTACAATGCAATTGACTAGAAACAAAAAGAGAAATACGGAGAGAAAGAACAAAGAAAACTAGAGAGAAACTAGAGAAGAGAAAAGAGAGAATTTATGCTAACCTTCTAAAAGACTAACACTCACTCTTCACTCTCTTTTATTAGCCAACTAACCGCTAACAGATGCTAGCTATCAACTAACTAACTCAACTAATTACTAACAATAACAACTTCCTTTGCTAACTAAACTCGCCGATTATCGGCCCCATTTGCCAACTAAGCCGCTGACTCACTACAACTCACACCATTTTCAGCTCTCTACCTTATATCATAAACAAGTTGCATCATGCTCTTCTTATCTTCAAGAGAAAGATAAATGTGGAAGGATGTTTTTTGTTTGTAACCCCACTATTAAGCAATTAAAGGCTCTTCTTTTTCTTTTTGATGGAAATACCCATGATTTGTTTCTTAGCTTGGCTATTGATCCTGTAAAGTTGCCTCATAACAACGTCATTTATGTTCGATGATTCTGTGAATAATTTGCAAACCTTAATTTTCAAAATGCCATGTGGAATTAAGTTAGATGTTGAGGTCCCAAAAGGTTTCGTTATAGAATTTCATGTCTTAGAGTAGACAATTTTCAATATTGAGTCTTGTTGAGGCTGAAAAGGAAGACCATTCCTTGGTTGAGATACATGTGTATGGTAAAGCCATGTCATATAATCTTTCTAATGAGATGACAATTAAGCTTCTTGATTTGCTTGTGAATACTTAAAATTAACTAGAACACTAAAAGAATTTGGGTGTTCACTATGTAGTCACTCGTGCATTTTTCTATTCACTTGCACACATTACACTCGTTCACATACTCTCACATACGTCGTTGATTTTCACTTGTTTGACTCTTTATTTTTCTCAAACTTTTGTTTCGATCTCAAACTTCATTTCTATTGCATTTTGGCCCTTGGCAGCATGAAGGAGAGAGAAACGAAGAGAGTGAGAAGGGAGGAGAGAGAGAGGAACAAGAACAACAAGGCCCATTCTAGCCACCTCAACCATCAAACTCATTATCAATTTGTTCGCCTTGAAAAGTAAAATACATTTGTAGTGGTAACAAATCATGAAATTATAGGTAGAGGTAGATTAGAAGCTCGAAACATTTTAAGTCTTTTTATTTTTATTTAAATTTGTGTGTATTAAAATAGATTTTGAATGTTTAAATGAGTTTTTTTTTATGTTACTTTTATGATTTTGAGGTACTTTTAGACAAAAAAAAAAAAAATAGGGGACGAATTTAGTTTTGGGAGGCCAAAATTTATAAAACCCACCTTTTCTCGTGAGTTTTCCAATGAAATAGAGTTGGTCGAAAATTGTGAAGGCTAACTCTCTTTTTTTCATGTTGATTCTAGGGTGTGAGCCTAGTCCTCTAGGTCCTAATACGCATGGACCAGGCCCATGCCTATAGTTTTTTTAATTTAATTTATTTATATTAAAGTTTTTTTTTCAAATTTTACAAATATATTTTAAAATATTTATATGGATTTATCTTTTAAATTTTAAATTAAAAAATTCATTATCGATTAATTTTTGTACAAGTCCATACATTAATTGTAACTTCTTTTTTTCAATCTTATGAAGTATATTTTTAATGCATTTTCTTAAATTTTGAATTAAAATTTTCAATTAGATTATTATAATTTTTTATTTAAGAATCAACGCATAAAGAAGAAAAAATAATGTATTTTTAAGTATAAAATTTATATTAAATATAAAAGAGAATTATTTAGATACAAAATGTTATTTAAAATTTTAATTTTTTTTTAATATTTGATTCAATATATTTTAATAAACTCATAACATAACATGAACTATCAAATTAAAATGATGTTATTCTATTCTATTTCCACCGTTGTGGAGATAATTGATTAGAAAACTTACATTCTAGTAAGTTAATAATAAATATTAAATGCTTTAATATGTATCGAAATAAATCTATATCAATGAAAAATTATCAAAAATAAATAAATAAATAAAATATTATATATGTTTGTGTAAATTCTCAACTGCTTTTTAGCATCGAACTATTACTTGCCCGCAGCAACACGCAGGGCAAGCAGTTAGTTATTAATAGTTATTACTGATACTAGAGTGTTTAAAACATGGCTAGGTCAAAAGTATTATGAAGGGGCGATGCATATGATTATGTTGAGTCACTCATTTGCATATGAACAAAGTGTTTACACCAGTAGGTAACTTAATGGGTTTTTCCTATATCTGGATTTTTTAAAAAAAAAAATTGTTTTGATTGAAATCCTTCTCTTTTTTTTTTTTTTTTGAGATCTTCTATTTTTCATTTTATGTGTTTGAGATTTTATGGTATAACGCCATTGGTTATAAGCTTATATGGTGTTCACGTCGTGCATATACTTTTAAATATATGGCACGTGTCATATATAAAATTTTAATAGATTAACTCAATCGAAATAATTCAAAAAATATATAGATTCGGTTAAAATAATTTAAAAAATATGATATTTCGATCAAAACAATTTAAAAATTACAGGTATCAAATTATTAAGTTTTCTTTGTAATTCTATGTTATTATGTTTTTAAGATCTCATTTTGAATGTCGCAAAATGAATTATATGTAATATTTCATCACAATAAAACTCTTAAGGGTATTTAAAAAAATATTATAATAATATCAAAATAATAAAATACATACAAAACAAACTTAACATGCAATTAAAAAAATAAAGTATAAATATGTTTGTTAAAATTAAAATGAAAACAACAATAATGCAATAAAAAAAAGTATAAGTATGTTTGTTAAAATAAAAATAATGTTAATACTTACTAGTAGTTAATTATCTATATATAAAAAAATATGATGCAGTTTTAATTAATTTATTTTTTTTAGAAAGCAACCTTATTTTTCACTTTGAATTGGTCAAATATTTTTAATTTTTAATTTTTTTAATACCTATCTATTTATTATTCATTTAATATCCACTAAAAATATTTGACAAAATATTTCATTTTAGTTCCCGTAATTTTCAAAAAATATATTTTGATCTTTAAAATTAATATTTTTTTACAGTTTGGTCTTTTTTTTCTTTTTCTTTTTTTGTCCTTAAAGTTTCCATAAACATTTTGGTTCCCATTTTCTAAAGTTTGTGTAATCAAGTCTTTTTATGTTATTATTATTATCATTATTTTTTTTAATTAGAGTCTCACGCAGGACACATATTATACATTCAAAAGCAAATAAACTACTTCGGTATCCCTCATATGATACGGATCATGCAATCAGATAAAGACACATTGCATCAACACCATGTCAACGCTACGTCAACCAATAACTACTGTTATTATAATAAAGGGTTTCAAATAACATAAAATAAAAAATAAAAGGTTTCAATCAATAATAAAAATATATATATAGAGTCTCAATTAAAATATTCGAAAAGTAGAGGATCCACAAGGTCTAAATATGGCCAATACCAGTAAACTAGTATCAACTCGCTTTATTGAATTGTTTGCATGATTGGAATTTCTGTATCGGTACATAAGCCACTGTTCTACGAGTTGATGGATTCTAGCCCGTTTTGTATGGAGATCAATGAATCCTCTCTTATGAGAACCAATGTTTAGGCATTCGTCATCCTTGGTAGAGAGAGCGGCTGTTAAAGTCGATCGACTCTTTTGTTTCTTTCTATGATTAAAATTGTGCATGATTGTTGCTGCACTAGTCCTGCTCATCCAAATGTGAAGTAGCTTTTTATATTTTGTGGTCTCATGTTTACCTGGTTTCGAGCTTAGCTGTTCACACTAAATTTATTTTCTGCATTAACTGTAATTTGGATTTGAAACTGACTCAATGGTTATGTTATTTGTAAGTGGGGGAGCTTTGGCCTATAAATTGCACGTCCCTATGATGGAACATGAGTGAATGGTAAAGAGAATTCTAAGATCATTATACAAAGTGGCACTCAAAATTTCAGAAATTTTGTACAACGGAGCATCAGACAAGCTTAAATCAGGGACCACTAATATCATTTGCTAGTTCATATTTTGATAAACCTGACTTGATGCCCACCATTACTTTGAGAGCCTCATTTATGCTCTATCTACTTGCTTATGTTTAATCTTGAATCATTGGAATATATGTTCCTATGTACAGATGCTGGAGCTCTGTTGTTAGAACCCCATTCTAGCAGAAAATGTAAGTTCGGCCGGTCTTGCCAGTCTGGATTCTAAGTAGCTATTTGTAGCAGAAAATGTAAGTTTAGGCACTAGAGGTTTATATTTTTTTACCTTTCTATCTTTAGGAGTTCTGATGTCAGTTTTTAGCCTCATCTAAATATTTCTCTATTCTCCTGCTTGTTTTGCCAGTCCTACTATCAGAAATAGCAATGAATCCACTATAAAACTCGCTTTACAAGGTTGGAAGAGAATTGAACACGAAAACTGGTTTTGTTTTTACCATTCTGTATATACCTCATTCAAATCCCCAATTTCCATCATTTCATGGTTTTGTGGAAATAAAACCTCTCTTTTTTCTTTTTTTCTTTTTTCTTTTTTTGGTAATTATGGTGTGCACTTCATTAGAACTAGTCAGTGAACGGCAACTACTATGGTTGAGCATCGATCAGGAACTAGTTTGATGCTTTAGAAAATGTCTTTTTTTGTTTTCTTGAACAGCATTCCTTGATGTTTGATATCCATAACTCGGTTCCTTCTCTCATATTTTTGGTCGACAACATTTTTCTTGGCTAATTATCCATTTCTAAAAAGCACTATCAAAAAATCGAAAGTGATAATCGGTTTTCTTTTCAAGAAGAAAATCTTTTCTTTTCAAGAAGAAATCTATTTACTACCCAAATCTCCTTAAGGATCCATATAAAAATATTCACAACTGCATTAAATGCAACTACATTCATAGCTGAAATTGAGTTCTGCTAAATGTAACAGCAGTTATCATGATACAAGCTCACCTTGCAAGAGAATCTCGTAAATATCAGTCCTAAGATTCAGCTCCTTATCCCGCATTACGTCTTGGAGATCTGACAACTCTTTCACAGTTAGGATGGAGTTCAACTTGAGAAAACCATCAAGCCATAGCTTTTTTGACCTGAGGAAAGAATTAAACAAAACTTGCATTGAGACAGTAGCAAAGAAGCCCAGCATTCAAAAGGTACAATCAGAAGTCTGTGGATAATTATCTACGAGTGACCAACCACTTCCTCATTTCAATAATAGAAAGAACGAAGATTTCAAAACAGACCATTCATTAATAGCCAGGCTACCACCTTCCAGATTCTATGCAGTATCTCATAGAAGCGTGTCTCTGTCTGCATGCATATGAGTACTCATGGAAAAAGACAGTTGTCATTCAAATTCTATGATTTCGTGATAAGCAATTAGTCTAAGGCAAAAAATAGAAGACCTGTGAAAATAAATAAAATGATACTAGAAGAAGCAGTAGAATCCTCAAGAAAGACACCATTTTTTTTTTTTTTTTGATAAGTATACCATTTTGCTTTCAACAATTTTAGGCTATTATGTTCTCTATTTATGGATGAAAGTATCCATATTGAACATAATAGTGATCTAAGGTGTTGCGCAATTAGTTGGATAAAATCTCTATTTTATCGATGAAAGTATCCATTATAATGACCTCATCAAGAATGCAAGCACTTACCATGGACAGGCATGAATAGCTCGAAAGAAAGCACGTTTGGCTGCAGAAGGATTGCATGCTATGTCAACTTCATAAGCAACGTACAAACGCCAGAGTATGACTGAGTTACTCAATCTCTCATTTTCCAATGCTCTTTCAAACAACCCATGAATTCTATGCTGGGAGCTTCCTCGACTCATCTCAAATGATAGCGCAAAAAGCCAAAGAATAACAGATGGTTTCCTGAGAAAATCATGAGAATATATTCATCATTAGCGATAAAGAAGGTATATGTAACATTAACAAAGATATTTCAAGGCAGAAGAACAAACAAAACAAAGATATTAAGCATCCTGTAGCAACAATGCATTAATTTTCTTCCTCCCATCTATCATTCTTCAAGTAGCTTAGAATTGCTCAGTTCTTTTACAAACACTTGAGGTTCACATTGGGTTCTCCCTACAGTTGGGGAAGTTTCTAAAGGTCATTTGCTGTGGCATCAAAGCAATGCAAGCCACATGTACCCATCCTAGAATGCAGACCTTCTGCTGTGCCATTCCACCATGCTGAGCATCATCCTAGTTTGCCAAATTTCAATAATTCAGCCACAGACAACTTTATGGAATGCAGCATAGATGGCAGCCTTAGGTTGTTGTAGTTAAGCAATGAACAAGAAAATAAAGGAGAATATTTTGCATCCTCACGCATGCACGCAAATGATGGAAGATAAGACTAGAGAGAAAGCAAAGAGCTGAAAAAATCATCCTACTTGTGGAAGTAGTCATCAAGCATCCAGCGCAATTTATTGGGTGTTGTATAAAGATGGCTGATCTCCAATAAGGTCTTAAATAGTTCAGGGCTGGAAGGATATATTTGCAGCCCCTTCAAGATGGAGTCCCAGACTTTCGATAAACTCAATTGCTTATGGTATCTTAAAAGCATCCTTACATAATAGTTGAACAAAAACTCAAGTTGGTAACTGTGGCATCTTCTATCTGCAGGTCATAAAAATTGAGAGTGTCACCAGAAAAGAAAAAACTAACACACTTCAGTGACACTTATGAACCATCATGGCCTCCATTAAAAGACAGGAATGTTTTATCTGCTTCATCACCAGGTTTTTACTTTTCAGAACCATTCAACTAGTATGCTAACTACATTTTCTATACTTGTCAAATGTTCTTTGGATACCCCGATAATTTTATCTCTGTGCAATTTATATGCTATTTAAAGATGTCATCATTCTCTTTAGTTTGAAGCAGTAAACCAAATCCTGTAGATTAAATTCTAAAATTAGTAGGTGTCATATCATGTCTTTTTTTTTATTGTTCTCCTTATTCTATTGACTGAGTAATCTTGTCCATTTCATGTCTTGCATTATGCTTTAAACAGAAATTACAAGAAACATTTCTGTAGAATCTGCAAGCAATGATCATTATGAAACTAAAACTATGAAAGAAATTTGACGACAATGCCTGCATTTTCATTCTGGTTGTTAACATGTTAAAATGCAAATTTTGGAATCCAAAGTTGAAGTATTTGGTTGGATCTGAGTTAACCCTAGACATGCTTTTGTAACTGAAATTCTAACATCTTGTGAAAAGCAGGAAGATCCTGCTCTCCAATTTACAAGAAATCATTATCCTTAATTAATTCGATCAGATATATCAGGCTCTTCAATTACCATAATGAAATATAAGGAAATGAAAAGAAAGCAAGGAGTGTTTACTAACCTGGAAGCACCATTTTGAACGCCTCATCTAAAACTGCAATACCTGCAGCCCATCCAGTTGTCAGCTCTTCAAATAAAGCGGCTGAGCAAGCTAGAGCAAGAGATTGATCATCTACAACACCGCGCACCCATGCTGATCGTACTATTTTCAACCTTTCTTTAAACCCCTGGTGTGCTCTCAACAATTGCAGGCTTGATGGTTTAGATTCAAATGGGATGTACTTTACTCCATTTCCTAAGCAGGATAAAATATGCAACGCACGAGAAGGTGATTCTTGATTATTGCCAGAGCTATTGGCAAGTTCTGTCTCAGCATACCAGAAATATAAAAGCGGAGCATTAGATCGTAAATCCTGCACACAAAAACAAAAGGAACTTCATACTATATCTTAATGCACGAGCTCCTGTAGGCTCAGATAATAAGACTTGAAGACTGTTTTAAACCAGCAACATATGAGGCAAAAAAATTTAGTATCTTCAAGTACCAGTCTTCCTCCATTGCAACAAGAAACAGAACATTTAAAAGATCCCAACACAGATGAAAAAGGCATGATAAGTAGCGATCATTGATATGCAGTTAGAAGATAGGAAAAACTGCAATTATACAGAAACATAAACTTACAAAGAAAAACATGAACTATGAAATATTTACACATGCTCAACCATCAGCACTGTTTCTATGTTTTTACACAATATGTATAATCAACTTGAGGTTCAAATAGACCAGAGTATAATGGCCATGCCTTTTTACCTATTTTTTTAAAAAAAAAACACGTGAGACACCGACATCCCTCATCTTGTCCAACATTACCAAGTCAGACACCTAAAACAGGACAAAAAGGTTTAGCCAATATCAGGAATAATCCAGTATTCAGAGTTTGAACTCTTTAAACCTATAATGGCAACCTCCTGACCCACCTTTATTGATTCAGAATGTTTTTTTGTGGAAGACTAACAACATATTCAAAACTTACAAAATAAAATCTGGAAAAGATTCGTACAGCATAGAAAAAAATTTCATATACCATCGCTACAAAACAGACTCGGAAGCAATTGCATACAACTTGCAGGATATTTTCCAGATATATGCAGAAGTTCAAAAGATGAGAAGGTTTGTAACCATGACTAGCAAAAAAATAATGAAACAATTATACAACAATAAATAGACATCCTTGATTGTTATCAAAGTTCAGATCAAAAGTAATCCACTGGAGACCAAAGATTTGGAAACATAGAGTTCTTACAGGTGGAAGCCCTTCAACAGATGCCAATGCCATGTCAAAGACTCTTCTTGCATGACCAATATTACCAAAAACAGCTTCTCTCCGTGCATATACTCCACATAGCAAAACATCCTTACAGTTAAAATGTACCGTATCAAATTAAAATTCAAGAAATTTTTCTGTAAATAAAAAGCTGCAATAAAATCTCCAGAGAGTACATGCAGGAATCATGTAGCCTGTTTGGAAAAAGTTACCAGTTCTTCTAGCAAGCATCTTCGACAGTAATTCAACAATGAACTACCTACGATCAACTGACTCAATAGAAAATGGTAAAACTTGTTCTTAAATGGACTGACACGGGGAACATTTAGACTCTTACTAATACATGATATTAATGTCAAGCACTTTAAAAAATTTGCATCCATCCTTTTAAAACATTTCTTGCAATTTCCTGTTCTACTCAAACAAGCAAAAGACTCCAAAACCTTCTTGTTAGCTGTCTAGAATGTTTCAGTTCGTGGAAATTCATGTAAACAACCCAAACAGAAGTTACAATTTTGATAATTCTATGGCTTCAGTTTTCCAGGAACATCAAATCATATCGTGCATTTTGATGAGATGAAAAGAAAAAATTATGGACTGTGATTCAATTATGAAGAAGATCCATTCATCCTTGAAAGTAAAATAAGAAAGAAATACCTGCCGATCATTCTTTAACAGGGACTTAGCCAGAGCTCGACATGGGGTAGAAGAATCCATTTTTGTAATGGAAAACTCTTCAGCAACAAGAGCAGCTTCTTCTAATATGTGATTACGCGGAAAAGCTGTTAAGCAAAGTAATACAGCATTTCGAAGGAATTTCATCGTATCAGTCCTCTTAGAGCAGTTACTCATGATGCCCATTAGTAACTTCAAACTGTTAGAGCTTGAACTGCCTTCTGATCTATCCAAAATATCATGAAGGCTTCTCAAGTTCTTTGATATAGAATCTGGTAACACCTCTATGCTGAGGATTTTTTCCTTCCAACTTGAACTGTTTGTGCAAATCCTAGAAAGAAGAGCAAGAGTTCGTAACTGATTTAATTCACGAATAACAATGTAAAACGGAAAATATGCTATTTATCATTTCTTGTTAAAAGAATGTATATAAATGAAACAACCAGTTACTCACAAATATTTTTAAGTTTGAATTTCAAATAGCCTACTCTTGGAGTAGTACCAAACAATCAAACTCAAGTGATTCTGGATAAAGTGCTGCAGTTCTGATTAACTACAACTAAAAGATATACAATATACAGTTGGTAACTTGTGTTATACAGATATTATGGCCCACTATACTCTACTTGTCAAATGATAACTGGTCAGGGCCTTTCAATCTCCATACCTAGAGGCAGGAAAGGAGACGTTGTTTAGTTCTGTAGAGTTCAAAAATTAGTCAGCTCTTAAAATAAGTTTCATGGATGTAGTCCCCTTGAATGAGGGGGATTAGGCTTAGAATAAGACCCCTGATAAATGAGATCAGACCTTCATGAGAAGAGGTGTATAGGTACTTGACGTCTCAACCAAATAGCCTTTTGATGGCATTAGCCTTAAAGACTTGCTCAGAAGCTTGTGGCCACTTCCTCAAGCACCCATTGTAAAGCCACCTCCTCAAGGGAACCTCCTTCTAGAAGCTATATATAAGATTAGGATTTTTTGTTTTTGATGTGAAGCTATCTGATTTAAATAGAATTTCTATTAACATTCCCAGTGCCACGGTGTGATGATACGTTATCCATTTTTCCTTTTCTTTTTGTTTCTTCTTCTGCATTTGGATCCTAATTTACTTGCAGCTAGTTTCTTGAAGGTTCAACTCCAGCTTATTTGAAGTTAAACTTTCAAAGTCCTCAAATCATTATCTTGGTGTTGTGGACTTCATCCAAACAGACACATTTCAAGAGCTTCAGTGCATCAGTTTTCTCTTACCAGGCATGCACAAACAAAGAGGAAGGGGCCAGCATCACTGGCTAGATATAAAAGCTTCATCATTTGGAAGAAACAACAAAACCAATAGCATTAGTCAACAACATGATACTAGAAACACTAGATGGCTATAACAAACAAAGAAAGGCCTTCTCCAACAGAAACAATGGAAGCTAATTTGAAAGTTGATAATTAATTTCCTAGCCCTTCATAATTATGTGTTTCAAAGGACCTAAAAGGGCCAGCAGAACAGCAATGCATTATTTGCATATCTGGAGCTCAGTAAACAAAAAAATGCTCCATATCCATAAACTTCTGTAAACACAAAAGGGACTTACAATTGACAGTTTGTTCCACAAAGTTTACTCTCTTATATATAACAATTTAAACTAGTGCAAAATCAAATCCAAAATTGTATTAAAGAAATATGTAGCCACAAACTCATGAAACTGGTTAGAAAAGTACTAAAGAAACTTACCATTGTGACAGGTCTCCCCCAAAGAATTCAATAAATTGAGATACTAGAGATAAGCGGGCCTCTTCAGAGTTTAATGAGAATAGGTATTCACTGACATCTTCAAACAATACAGCTCTTAGAAAATGTTCATCAGCTTCTCCATCAGGTGTCCCACTGCTGGGAGAGATCCTGCCTGAATCATAGCAATTATGGCTTAGTGAGTGCCCAAGCATATATTTGCAAGAACATATACTTCCATGTATGTAATTCTTAGCAAAATGATGTTATGCTACTTGAACATAAAATTGAAAAAATCAACAAACACATATTGGGGGGAGGGAAGATAGAGAGAGAGAGAGAGAGAGACCACCAGACTTGCCATGAACAGGCATCCATTGATTCCAATCTCTCAAAGACTCTTCTTGAGACCACCTAGCCCAAGTTGAACTGTCTTTAACCTCACTACTAGGCTCAGCATCCAAATCAATGCCAAGCTGTTTTAGTAATGCTTCAGTATCATCTTCCTGCTTGATATCTTCATTCTCAGATTCCTCTAGAAACACATCAGCAGTCACATCATTATGGACTGCATCTTGATTCTTAGCAGTTTCCTCATGTTTGGATAGCAGTTCTGACCAACCGGTCCAACCACCTCTCTCTTCATTGTGTGAAGCCTCTTCTTTCAAAATCCTTTGCCTATTTTCTTCCTCTTTCTCCAACCAAGTGGACCACCCAACAGCCCCTTCTTCTCCAACTCTTGGACCATCACTATTCCAGAAGTGCTCAAACAGCCTGAGTTTACTATGATCAGTTAAAAGTAATGACGGACAAAACACAGTAAATTCAATTTCAGCCTGAAATAAAGCAGTGGCCAACTCCTGATACCCAGCCTGCCACTCGAGCCTGCAAAGATTAAGAAATATATCAACCAGACCAAGCTCCAGCTGTACTATGGCAGGATCCAAAGAAGAAGGCTTCTCCTCATTCTGGTAAAACTGCATCAAACAAATGCGGAGACTTAGCACATTATTTGAAAGACAGAGAGAGTAAGGAGAAATGACAATTGAAATTTGATTGTCTGGACAAACACCAAAAACAGAAAGAGGCAACCATGGCACTCCCAATAACTTATAAAATAAAGTCAAAAACATTAAAATACCAAATGCTAGAAAAGGCTTAAAAGACTTGGATATGACACCACTTTTGAGATGTTGTAATACCCAACTAACATGGAAACTTGGTGGATGGATCTCAAAGATAACTTCAGTTGTATCACAAAAGATGCAAAATGCGCAACTTTGTTTTAAAAAAAAAAGTGTTTGCCCACATGCATATTGACAATACATATACAATGAACCAACATAAAATTAACAACGTACTGTTACTGTTACCATTAATTCCCAGAACAATTATAATAGCTATATGAAGCACAATTAGATTCAAATCAAGAAGCTATCAATGGCCAATACAAAGATAAATTGGATAAGAACCTGCCTAAACTGCCTGCTGCATGCAGAAGATACAGCTTGGATTGCATGTGCATACATTTTTCTCATATCTGAAACCTTGAATCTGGAGAACTCCCCTTGAACAACACGCAGATACTCTTTCCACAACTTGTAATTCCCTGAATGATGCATAAGTACTTTCTCCCATCTACCAATTAGCATATCCGAACTGTCTCTACTCTGATAAGCCTTCATAAGACAAAGCAACAGTTCCTCATTATCAGGGTTGAGCTCTGTCGCCTTTTCCAGTATACTAATTTTCTTCTCAAGTGTCTGCAAACGAGCACCTTTCTGGGGTTGCATACTTGCAACCTTGTCTTGGAGCTCCGCAAAATCTAACCATACTTTCTCATCATGAGGGTGCTCCCTTGTTAACTTATTAAACTCCCGAGTTTTGCGCAACACCTCGTCATCCCAAGATTCTTCAACAACTAAACAATCCTTCAAAACAGAACTAGGACGATCAACACCTTCATGAGACACTTCCACATCTGACAAAGGAATAAAATCATCCGAAACTACAACCCTAGGCTGCTTCCGTGCAAGAACACGAAGACGCTTTAAATTCTTATGCCGTTCTACAGCAGCATACTTTGAAGACCAATAACGACCGCCAGATTTTAATTGAGTATCCAATGCATCAATATCACCATCTCTATCAAATCCAGAACCCCTCTTATTAGGTCGATATTGCCCTCGAAAATCAAGCTTTGTTGAATTATATGATTTGTACCTCGGAACATCCATTCTGCACATTAATTTGAATCCAATTTTAAATTCCAAAAAAAAAAAAAAACACGAGCAAATATGCTTAATTTTGTTTATATTCTAAAAAATACGAGCGTTTGCGCACGAATACCTGTAAAGGGAGCCATAGACCAAATTATCGCGATCACCATGGGCATCAAAATAATAATCCTTAGTAGTTTTCGTATGCGAATCCGCCCAAACCCTGACATTTGATTTCCTCGAACCAAAATCCCTAGCTTCCTCATCTCTCGATCTCTTTCTCTTCTTCTTCTTGCTATGTCGTCTTTTCTTAGTCTTCTTTCTCTCTCTACCCGAATCCGAACCCGAATAATCCGAATCAGAACGAGAATATTTTGCTTCTCTTTCCTTTTCTTTTTCTGGTTCTTCTACCAATGGGTAAGGTTGATTTTTGGCTTGATCGGAAACGCGGTCATTTTTATTTTCTTCTAGGTCTGAATCTGATTGGTGTGGTGGCTGGAGAGAGGAAACGGCGTCGTTTACGATGGAGAGATCGGTGGTAAAGCTGGTGTTGCAAAGCCATGCCGGAGGAGGATGAACGGTGTCGTTTACAGGTGTGCTTGTTTGTAGTTGAGTTACAGATGACAGAGAAGAAGCTGCTGCTGCTGAAAAGAGAGGGAATAAAGAAGAGGAGGACGTTTTTGCTTCTTCATTTTCTTCTTCCCTTTCCATTTTGCGAAACAACAAGTGCTTCTGCTACTACAGACTAGACTACCGTAAAATTTTGAAGCAATTGCAATGCGATTAAAAATCAAGTACGATCCTCAGCGATAATATTTTTAAACATACCAGTCCCTATACTTGATATTTTGTCAAATTGGTTCTTTTTTGGCTTTTTGCTTCTGCTACTACTTTTTTTTTTTTTTTTTTTGAGCGCTTATACCTCTATTTTTTTCTTTCCAATCAATTGTCTATATCTCCAATTCTTTTTCAATCAGGCGTCCTTGCTATTATAGTTCTGATGACAAGTGAGATAAATGAACATCCGCCATCCTTATTCTGGTCAACAAAAAAATATATATTTAATGAAAAAAAAGAAGAAAAATTAAATAATGAAGATGAAAATCGTGTTTTATGAGGGAAATTTCTAGCTGTTTCTTGTTTTTATAAGTTATTAAAAAAAAATCCTAAAAAAGAGTAACTCAAAGATAACAGTAAAAATTAGAAATTTCCTTCTTAGAACATGATGTTACTCTTTCTTCTTTTCTTATTTTTTGTTGTTGTCTTATCGATATTTTTTATTCTTCTGAGCAAAAAAATAATAATAATACTAAAAAAGACAAGGCTTGTTAAAAAATAATTTATTACCATCAAGAGCTAAAATAATATCAAACTCACATGTATAAACTCTAATAATTGAGATTAATGATCACATTTTAAAAAGATTTTCTTAAAATTTTAGTCATGCTATATATATATATATATATATATATATATATATATATATATTTTTTTTTTTTTTTTTTTTTTTTTGAAATTTATTTTTAAATTTAGGAATTAAACCAAGACAACTCAAGTTTTTAACCTATTTGCAATTCAAATGACATAACCTACTACCATACCACACATTCACAAAAGAAATAATACAAACAAAAGTAGAGTTTTCATTCATTTCAATGTTAAGCTTAAACATCTCATCATAAAACATATATTATTCTAACAAATAAGTGTTTTTGAAAGTATATATTTTGATTAGTTTCAATAACTTGCTTAAGACCACTTTTCTTTCGTATGTAAATTTGATATGAGCATTTTCAATTTTCACTACCTCAATGGTGTAATGATTTTCTTTTCTCACTCAAGATGGTATAAGTTTGAACAAATTTTTACCATAGCAAACATGTTGAGCAGCTCTTGAATCAATCTATCATTCATATGAGCCTTTGAGAATATTAATCTCGAAAATCATAACTACAAGTGGATCATTGACAACGTTAACTTGAGTACTAAGCCCACCTTTTTTTAAATTATAACTTTTAACATCATGTCTAGATTCATAACAAACAAAATAAGTATAATTATTTTTATTATTAGTGTGGTTGTCATTATTTAATTTGATAGCGGTTTAGAAGGTGATCTATAATTTGTTGCTAGGTTGGAGTGAAAATGATTTCCATAAGGTTTTTGTCTTGAAAAACTTTTTCTTTAGTCTAAATTGAACATTAAACTTTTCATGAGTTTTCGACATATGAGAGGAGTTTTTATTTGAGGTAATGAAATTTTGTCTTAGTATTATTTGAATCATTAAGTTCAACTACTTTGTATTAATTTTTTGCTTTAAACAAGTAATAAGAGTTTAAATGGACAACTCTTTTTGTTTATACCTCAAGCTTTTAGCAATCTTTTTTTTTTTTTTTGGGATTTTGACAATTTGTCAATAATAACTAAAATTTGCATTTGCTCTTCTATATAGATGCCTTTGGAAAAGATGTTGTGCAATCATTTGAAGTTCAAAGGCTTGATCTATCATGGATCTTTTGACTCGCAAGCATATTTTTTGAATTCAACTTCTTTGATGTCATGTTTTTGATATAGAGCTTTCTATATCTCTTAAGTAAAAGAATATCTTTGGTCATAATAGTCATAAAATTCATTAAAAAGACAATGATGTAAATAATTGAGATAATGATTATTATATTTCTCTAGTTTCTTAACTCCTATATCATGTAGAGCTATCTCTTCATCCTTCTTATTTTTTTTTTTAGATATATTTTTTTTAAGGTAAGACATAACTAATATTCAATAGAATAAGATAAATAAAGTTTTCTCCTTATATCTTTTAAAGTTTGTGCCAAAGAAAGTAAGGTAACTTGTTAAGGTAACACATGTCCGTGTAGCTTTTTTCATGGATAATGTTAGTGTTTTTCATTGGCTTATCTCTTCATCATTCTTATTTTTCTTTTTTAGATATTTTTTTTTTTAGGTAAGACATAACTAATATTCAATAAAATAAGATAAACAAAGTTTTTTCCTTCTATCTTTTAAAGTTTGCACCATAGAAAGCAAGATGACTTGCTAAGGTAAAACATGTCCATGTAGCTTTGTCCATGGATAACAGTAAAATAATTTTATCAAATTTTATAAATAACTATTTTGACAACTAAATTATTTTTTTGAGAAGATACGAGCTGTTTATAGAAATTCATGATGTAATAAATTAAGTATATGTTATGTATTATCGTAAAAATATAACAAGCTTCAACACCTTGTCATGTCTAACAAACTTGCATTATTTATAACATCTTAAACTCAAAAAATATATTGCTATTCCTACCCAAATTTGTAGTGTAAAAAAAAAAAAAAAATATATGAGTTTTTTTTTTTTTTTGGGAGACTATAGAAGATAAAATGAGAGGGTTGTTCTCCTTTTCGTTTTTCTCTTCTAAGCTTACGAAGAGTGTTGTGCTCATTTGTCAAAAGAAAGGGACATATATGTAGGTGAAAGAAAAATGTACAGTTTGAGAAATTGATTTTAAGCATTTAAAAATTTCATTGACCAACGGATGGAAAATTATACTGTTTGAGAAATTTGTAAGCTATTTGAAAAGATTCCATGACCAACGAATTTTCTTTCAAAGCTGCTGTAACTGTTGACAAAACAGTTTCACTATTTTGAAATAGATGCTTTTTTTTCTGTTATAAATTAATATAATTTTATAAAAAAAAATACTCTAACATAGTCTATTATTAAAAAAATAAAATGAAAACTCCAGAATTTTATTATTAAAAACTAATACTAATTAATTAAAGAAAAAGCAATGCTTCATATCATATTTCTTTCTCATTTACTTGTTGTTTCATATTCTCGTTCAATTCGAAGATGAAACTTTTATAGTTTTCGTACTCTCTTTTGCTTCTTAATTCTGTCGCTGAAGCTTATCATGACCTTTAAGTTCATAACCTATCATGTGATCCTCCAGCTAGCTGCTGTTCCTCTTGTTTCCAGATCATTTTTGGTTCGTTCAGACTTGGCCACATGGCTTTTGTTCAGCAGCTAGCGTGATTTCATATTGTGATTCTATACGAGAAATGGTCGTCATGAGCCACCACTTTCTTGGGGACTCAAGTGTGGATGCAGTTGCTCAAATTAACACTGAAAGCAGGCTAGTCATTTCTATGCATGAATATGTAACCTTGAAATTCATTGAGATAGAGCAAAATGTTTTGCCATTCAATTCGTTTTCTGAAAATGTTTCTAACTTAGTTTGATATAATATAGTATTGGATTTGGACAACTCAATGGCGGCAATGTTCGAAAATATAAGGAAGGAGAACAAAAGAAAGTATGAAGGAACTGATCATATTGATATTATATCATGTCACGCCAGTATGAGAGAAAATCTTTTGAATTGGAATTGAATCATAACTCTTAATATACATATGTATTTATAATAATCTAGGATAATTCTAGAAACTTCTTATCCTGTTTGGCGAGTTTTTGCACACCTTGAGACTAATCTCTTCTTGAATGTGACTAAGGAGCACTCTCCAACATACAAGTTTCGGATATCGAATTATGTACTTGGTCTATAATTCGATGCTTGTTTACTCGTGGATAAAGATTTTTTATGTATCTAAAATCATTAAAATTGATATTTAGAGAAATTGATATTATATCATATCACTCTCGTATGATAAAAAATCTTTTGAATTGAAATTGAATTATAACTCTTAACATACATTTATATTTATAGTAGTCTAGGATAATTCTAGAAACTCCTTATCTTTTTGGTGAGTTTTTGCACAACTTTGAGACTAATTTCTTTCTAAATGTGATTAAGGAGTACTCTCTAACATACAGTTTCGGATATCGAATCCTGGATTTAGTCCAAATCCTGAATCTAGTTTATAATTTGATGTTTGTTTATCCACGGATAAAGATCTTTATGTATCTAAAATTATTAAAACTGATATTTAGAGAAACCCAACTGACTGTTACATTATTCAAACTTCAAATTATTTCCAACAATCAATGCCATTAAGACCAGCAGGCACCACAGTTTCTCCCTTATCTGCAAAGAATTTAGTTAAACCAATGCCATGATTTGAAATTTCACACTAGAATATTGGTGACAGGGCTGGGTCTGATGTGATGGTTTACTCCAAATCCCCAGATGGTACTGTTGGAACTCATGTGAAGCAACAGCTGGTTGCATTTCGGAGAGTTTTTGTGCCGGCAGAAAGTACGACGCTGCTGCTTATAGTTTTAAGCTCTGGCGCTCACACTATCGTTGTTGAAACTTAAATTAAGAATGTGAGCTTTAGGAATTTTGACTTTGAGAGGTCCTGGGTTAGCTGAACCAGAACACTAAAATATAGCAGAGCATTTTTTTTTTTTTTTTTTTGCAGTTTTGTTATTATAGGAAGAATGATATTCTGCATGAGAATTCGTCTTCGTAATGAAGCAACAGAGTTTTATGGCAACTTTCTGCAATTTTGGTTTTCTTGGTTGCTCTCTTGCAGATACCTTCTGCAATCTCAATCGTCCATAACATCCAAAAAAAAAAAAAAATTGTGGAATTTCATTCAAATAAAAACATCTTTATTATTCAGCAATATGTAAAACCCTAGATGATTAAAAAAACATAATAAAAACCCTAGCCATATGATAATCTCATGGAACTTCTTTCTAACAATATTTTTTGAACAAGAACTAACTTTTCTAGTCTTTATCAACACCTTCATGAGCCCAAGCATATTCTTGACGAAGTTTAGCCTCTTCTTCAGGGGTATAATCATTCTCAACCCCGAAAAATTTCCTCACATATTCAACACTCTTGTTTTCAATCCTATCAGCAACCGCCTGATTAAGCACCTCAAGCAGATTTTTAATCTCTAAATAGTTAGAGACTAGTAACAACTCTGCTAGCTCTCCGATACTCTTTTCTTTCACAAAACCCTCATTGTACCTTTTCTTCTTTTCCTCATCATCGTCTGCATTTGCTCTCATCTTGATGTGCTCCCTGCAAAATTCAATAACTGATGGGAGTTCCTGGGCTGATACGTTAGGGAGTGGCACAGTGTTGGTTGACGATGGCGAGTCTTCAAGAAAGGACTTTACAGTGCCAAATTCCATTGCAATCGATTCTTCTACTTCAAATATCTCATTGTCAGAGGTTCTCAACAGGACTTTCTTGGTGGGTTCGGCTGTAGCGGTGGGATTTGCTGCCGAGGAAGACATATCGTCGATTGAGAGAGGAAGAGAACACAAGAAGGGAATTCAGAGTTAGGTAATTTAATGTAGCGAGGGATGGAAAGATGTTTATAGGGGATTAGTTTAGTACGTACGTGTACAAGGCGGATTTGTCCTTGTGTTATTTAATTACTTAAACCAAACGGAAATAAAGTTTCAATCCGAGACTGAGACAGACTCCGGATTTTCCTAAAATTAATGGAAGATTTAATTATAACCGTATTTTATTAAGCCTATTTAATTAGACTTTCCTAGCCGGTTATCCGACTTATACTGTGGTTCGAAAATAATACAATTATTTTAAAATTTGATAAATTTTTAATTAAAATCTTGTATTTAATTAACTTTTTCTTGTTTTTCATAAATTTTTTACTTTTAAAAAAATGATATATATATTCTTAATTAAAAAATTATAATAATACTAAAATATTAATTAAAAATATTTTTTTATAATATTGTATCTAAAAAATAAAGCTACAATTAATATATAGATTTGTATAAAAATTGACAAATGAAAAAAATAAAATTTTATTTTTATTTAATATTGATGAGAAGATTATTTTTCAAAAAAATATGTGCATTTGATATATATATATATATATATAAAATAATCAATAATATTAGAATAAAAACTATATTTAAATCATTTGGAGATTCTTTTTAAAAAATTATTTCAATCGTTTTCTTTCAAAGAAGTTGGCTTTATAATATCAAAAAAATAATAACAAACAATTAGTATTATGCAAGTTTATACCTTAATTGTAAATACTTAGTTAATTTTTAATAAAATTAATGGTTTGATATATATATATATATATATACTTCATAGCTATAATTAGAGGATTGAGGATTGAGAGTGTGTAGCCAAAAAAAGAAAAAAAAATCTAAGATAAATTATTTAAAAATATCATATATATTTCATCATCAACATGGTGCATGAGAAATTTTTAAAAAAAAAAGTACTTTGCACAACATTTTTTGGTTTTGTTTTAATTTTATTAGTAATGTTATCAGAATTCAATAAGCATTTAAAAAACAATACTAAGGATGGTGTTATTCCAACTCTAATTTCTGTTATTATGCCTACATATTTACGACATTAGTTTCCCATACCAATAAGTCCTAAAATAGATAGATATTGCAAATATTTGACTAAGCCACTCCAAACTCAATTTAAGTAGTTTATTATATACTATAAATCGTAAATCATTATTAATCTTTTAGTAATGTTTTCTACGTATTAGAAACAATAAAGTAAAATATGTTATTTAAGAAAACATATATCATACAAGATTTGAACCAATTGAAGATAATGTAAAATTCTTCCAACATAGGTTTTCTTATATATATATATATATACAAGGAACATATAAAAAAAAAAAAAAAAAAAAAAAAAATTATTTTAGAAATCAAAATTAACGAGTCATTAAAACACATTTAATATGAACATATTAATTTGCAATTACATAAATTCATGGAATGATAATAACACCACCTTTATCTACTCAAATTTTCTCATCCTCCTTGACTACTCTATTCTATAATATGTGAATAAAAAAAAAAATGAAATCTACAAAGGGATTAGTTTATAGATGGATAGAAAAACATGGAGGAATAAAATAATAATTTCTGAAACTCAAGAATTAATTAATTATAGTTATAATTAAGACCTGCACACCAACCCAAAAACAAAGGGAACTTCTATTGAAGACATTTCAATTGATGCTGCCAACCAGAAAATGTACAGAGACCTACATAACAACAAAAAGAAGTATGCCAGCAGAGATTGAATGAAATCATTAAAACATTCTCACTGGACCATAAAATCTAAGTATCAAACATTACCACACTAAAAATCTCCGAAATGCTCTCTCACTGGGCTTCCATCAAGACTCAAATGGGATGCAGTGATGTTCTTGTCTGGAGCAAGCCAATCAAAATTGGATAAGCAGCTATGTTTCCCATGCTATTACTAATAACCTAAAAATAATTGTCACACATCATGTACAACAAGATTTTTAAGATTCCCCTTCCACCGGATCAAACAAGGTGAACAAAGAAAAACCCTAAGAATACAAGGTGCTTGAAATATTACCGTTATGGTGAAATTAAAATACAACTTGCCAAGGGGAAGGATGGAAGGATATCACCAAAGAAAACCAAACACACCTTTCAATGCATGCAGCTATACCGCGAGGCATGCCAACTTCCCAGATCAGTTTATATATTTACCAATATCAGTTGTTTAATAGGTAACCAATATCAGTTGTTCCTTCCCTCCACAAAGATGCATAAACTCGATCATGAAGAAACCTGCATCATGTAGTCCCCACCATGAAAAATCTTCAGTCAGTTCAAGCTGATATGGGTTCATAAGGGTATGATAGCCAAGGGTGCTTCAGAGCCTCTAATGCGGAAGGGCGTTTCTTTGGGTTTACTTCAAGCAAATGAGAAACAAAGTCAATGAAGCCTTGGTCCCCCATTGGCAATCGGTGCCTCAAGGATGTCTTTTTTGGTATCAGGTATTCCAGTCTGCTAGTATCCTGAAGAATAGAGAGGGATATAACATATTAGCACAAACCGAACATATCATGTCCAGTATTAAAGTTTAACTTTGCAGTATTGCAAAACAAGTTTCACATCAAAGTTTAACTTTGCAGTTTTGCAAAAGAAGTTCCATATCAAAACACCCATGGTCATATGAAAATTGTTTGGAATCCTCTACAAGAAATGACTGTCCATGCAACAATTAGGACCACAACAGGTATACGCAAGCATGCTTGCATAGATGCATACCCTCTCTCCACAATTTGTTTAAAGCATGCAAATATATGTAACCATCCATGTAGATCAAAAGTTCGAATCAGACTTCGACATCCTAATTTTGTACTCTAAAAACTACAAGCTACATCTCTGGACGGTAACCACAATTAGCAACTATAGTATTTTGAGATGCTGACCAGTTAATTTCATAAGGAGCAGAAGCAAAACAAAAGGATGTTTTACCTGATTCCGCTCATAAAGCATGTGATTCTTGGTGAAATACTTGTATGTATCTCGTCCTTTAGCTAGCATGCTTTGATTAATGGGACCTATAATTCCAATAACTCGTGCCAATAACGTTGCCGGTGAATCGTTTTGGAACAGGACCTGAAAAAGAAGTTCCATTTTAGCCAATAGGTACCAGGGTCACAGTGGGTAACAAACTATGGAAGGTCCAACCGATCCACATATTAAATGATGTGAGGAAATTGTTCACGCAGACGGAAAGATCTGCATATCGATTACCCCTTACAGAAATTAATCGAAGTGATATCCAAAATATCTCCAAAAGAAATATATGTTGAAGTTCAATAGATCAGAGGGCGTTACCCAGATATGAAGACGTTTCCCCCATAGAGAATAAAAAAATAAATGCATCACAACATCATTATGAGAGGTGGCATTTCAATTGATAAGAATAACAAAAATATGGACGCAGCATAAAAAAGAATTAGAATTTAGCTCTCTCTCTCTCTCTCTCTCTCTCTCTGTATGTATTTACAGCACCTCTGCTGCACCTGCATATCAGCACCGATTCCATTCTTCTTTCCTATCTTCTGCATTCCAGAATCATGTTCTCATGTCCCAACGTTTTTCCCTGGCAACATACATTCTAGCTTCCCAAATCTCCAAAAACTTATGATTCAAACACAAACTTCTCCAACTTAGTCATATATTCTAAATTCCACTCCCTAAAATGCTCTACAAGATTCTCACCTCAACAGACCATCTTCACATTCCTTATCAACTCATCAAACACAATGACCCCTGTTTCTTTTGGAAAAGTCCCTCAAGTATTACACTCTTGAATTTTATAAGATAAGTCATAGTAATTTTATGCACAACCGCATGTGATATCATTATTCAGCAAGTAATCTCTTTCTTTCTAGAGGTAATTTATACATTCTCCATCGTTGGGAAATTAAAATAAAACTCTAATCTCCATAAATGGCAGCTGTTGGCATAGTTCCTCAAGGATAACTTTCCCACATATTTATATGACAAATCAGTACTTTTCTGCACAAGGCATAGTTCATGCAGTACAAAATCTATTTCTTACTCAAAAGTAATTTGTGAATCCACTCATTGATTGGGAAATTAAATAAGACTCTAGCCCTGCATGCAAATTAAGCACCTTGTCTTGATTTAAAAAAAAAAAAAAAAAAAAAAAAAACGGAAAAGAAAGGAAAGGAAGAAAAGACTACAAGTGTTGTCCAAAAACAATGGGTGAAACACATGCAAAGACAATGAATACACCCTGCTATTCTTACAATTTCGTCCAGGGTAAGCAGCTAAATGGGTAAATTAGTAATAGGAAAGACTTACATTGCCAGTGCAAAGTTCTGCCAAAATGCAGCCAAGTGACCAAACATCTATCTTCTTATCATAGGGAAGTCCTAGGATAACTTCTGGTGCACGATACGACCTGGATTGAACATAGGAGCACAGATGATCTGTCTCAAAACAGCTACTCCCAAGATCAATGACTTTCACCTCACATCTACTATAGCTTTTCACCAATATATTCTCAGGCTTTAAATCACAGTGTATAAGACCAAGGCCATGCAAAAACTGAAGCGCCTCTAAACACTGAGTGGTAATTGACTGCATAGAGAATTTGGAAAAAGCTTATAGACCAGCATGCATGAAAATAATGTATTCTCTTCTTTCTTTTTAATGAGGAAATGAAAATTTGAAAAGGCACTAAGGGGTACTACACATATGAAATATTATAACTCTTGGAATGTCAAGAGGATAGAACTCTTAGGAAAAAAATGGCACCCAACAAACCTGCAATCTTGGCATCGTGAAGTAAACCTCCCCTCCTGATTCTCTATTGAACTTATGGAACTCATATAAGTTTGCCTTAAGAAGCTCACATACGATTAACAAATGCTCCTGCAAAGCAAAGCGAAGTTAAAAACTATTTAGCTTGCATTGAGAAGTTATGATGAGTTTCTATCAAGAAATCAAATCAAATCAAATCAAAGCTTCATTTGCAGATTCTTGTAGTGCAATGGAAAAGGCATTCACCGACATGTATGGCTATTCTATTTTCCATTCTCAACTCTTTTTAATATGATGTCTCCAAACAATGCTCCTAGTCTAGTGGTTTGGAGTTGGAGTAAGTGGTCCAACCACTCAACCGAGGTTCAAGCACTAGTAACAACAAGAACAACAGAACATTGTGTCTATAAAAATGAGATGATTCTATGCATGTCTCATAACTCTTTTGCAATTTATCAATTGGAATGTAAATTTCTACTAAGAGAAGGCATCATGTTGTTGACAGCCCAGGGGGTGGGGGGTAGGGCGGCGGCAAGGAATGCATGATTAAGAAAACACTTCTAACCCAGAATAGTTGCTTGACTAGGGATTTGGTGTGCGAAATTCAAGAAATTCAGGTTTCTGATGAAACCAAATCACTGGCATAATTTCAAAAAATTTTGCAATCATTTCCTCTCCCAAAACCTACTAGTGGATATAAAAAATCCTACTCAACTCAGACTACCGATTGTTCACAACAAAGAGGAATATTCCAAAGCCACAAGAAAATCTAGGAAGAGTGGGCCACCTCCCACTATTAAGTTTTTGGCATACACTATCCTATCCACATTGTGATGGACTTGAAAGTGCTAAACAATTGCACTGGACCATTTATGAACTTCAAAGGTTGGTGACGCAAAAACTGAAACAGTTAGAATTCATATATTTTTATGTGATCTTTGAAGATAGGAGGAAACCTTATGCTAAAATTCTAATTGGGTTGACCCCAACTAGAACTGTCCTAAAAAGATTGTTTTTCTAGCAAATAGTGCAAGGTAGTTTTGCAATTTTTTGTCTTACATGAGGAAATTTGGAAAAATTGACCAGTCAACTACTTCACTATTAAGTAGTTGGAAGGCCAGTTGGCTCCACCTAACAAGCACCTCCTTTCTCTTACCCTATATATGTGTAACCACACTTTTGAAGATAATGAATGAATGAGAGTTTCAGCTATGTACTTTGAGGTTGTGTGGTTCAATCTATCTCACGTGTGATGCTTAGATTTTGCATCTTCTAGGTGTGATTCCTAGAAATCCTTTCAGCTATGTACTTTGAGGTTGTGTGGTTCAATCTATCTCACGTGTGATGCTTAGATTTTGCATCTTCTAGGTGTGATTCCTAGAAATCCTAATAGTGTGATGCTAGTAGTCCTTTATTCAACTCCATTTCAATTTATAAACCCCATATCATTTACTCCTTCTGCCTATTTTGATCACCATACTTAAACCCATAACAATCTTCACCTATAATCTATTCCCAAGTTTTTAACCCAGCAAATCTTATAGAGCTTGTAATCTTTATTGAGTTAGGTGCGATGAATTAAAGACCCTGCATCAGTTGCGCTTGCTCTAACCCTCAACCGCAACTCTCTTCACAAGAAAACAATGGCTTATAACTGTGTCTATTGTTCAAAATGGCCAAAAGATTTATAACTGTATCTATTCAAGTGCCAAATAAAATTTTTTAAGGTAATTGAGGAACCATTTTAGATGGCCAAAACTTGACAAAACAGTATGATGCTCTAAACTTTTATTACATTCTTATATTAACAAGTAGGGCATTAAATTGAAACAGTGCAGAGAAGAATTCGTGACCTGATAAAATTTCTTACACATCTAAAACTAACTTACACAAGGTAACAAGTAGGGTAGGTTACCAATAGCTGTACTACAGAAACCATCTACTGTGATAAAATATTAAACATTGAGGAGGAAAACAACACAAATAAAGAAATACAAGCATACATCCACTTACTCGGTAGTAGAAGTAATCATACAATCTGAGAAGGTGGTACTTGTCCCCAGGATCATGCTTGTTGACATGCTTTAAAAGCTTTATCTCATCAAGACTTTGATCAAAGAAGTCCTTGTTGTTTTTTATAATTTTCACACAAACATCCATGCCTGTGTGCAGATCATGTGCTTGTATAGCTTTACTAAAAGCAGCCGATCCAAGATACTCAGTAACATGATAGCGCCCAGCAATCACAGAATTCAAAACGACATGGAAGTTCTTGTCCTCCTCAAAGCCAGTTCTGACCAACAAAAGCAGTTCAGGAGAAGAATTCTGTTAGAATCAAGCTAATCAATGAGAAGCGGAGTTCAAATGAAAAGGTAACTTGATTAAGAATCAAACATTGATTAAAGAAAAACAAATAGGATTCAAATTTCAGCGTATGCCCGACACGGAGAAAAGTACATATTATAAGGCAGTTCACCACTAAAAACATATTAGTCCACTTGTAAAGAAGATTACTTCTAGCTCCACTATCACAAGCAGTTTTTGTCACAAAACTTTCAGCAAGCCAATAATTCACAACATAAAATAAGTGGGAAGGGCATGCCTAGCTAAACATTACAACAACACCTCACCACCACAGTGGCCACTGGGATAGAGTAAGGCAGCAAGGTAATAGGGGCAGATGAAAAAGGAAACAATAGAAAAGGAAGGATGGATAAGAAGTTATCCTGTTCTCTGATTGGCACAAGACAACAACAAATGCAAGATTTTTAATGTTGGCAACAAAATGCACCCTCCTGCCTTCCTGGGATTTGGATATCCACTTTCGGGGACAAGTTTTAATCAATCCTAACTCAGCATTGATCAAAATAAACTTATTCTATCATCCCCATTCATCCAGACTACCAAACAACACCAAAGTTCCACAAGTCTATGAATGTCTAACCTTGAGAGTATAACCATACTCATTCAGAAGAGATACCAAAGGATAATTTTAAGCAAAGAACCACAAATGCACACCAAGGACGCTAATAAACTTATTCTATCATCCCCATTTATCCAGACAACCAAACAACACCAAAGTTTCACCAGTTTATGAATGTTTGACCTTGAGAGCATAACCATACTCATCAGAAGAGATACCAAAGGATAATTTTAAGCAAAGAACCACAAATGCACACCAAGGACACTAACAGGGGATACAGATAACTTTATTCATCAAGGACACTAAGCAGGAACTCAGATATTGTTATTCCTACTTTTATTGGGGATATGTCCAGCAAGAATTTTGTAATCAAGGAGGTTGAGAAACAAAAGGATTCACAAGTCTTCTGTTTTAAAATCCTTGATTCAAAATTTTTTGTTCTCCTGAACACCATTATTTTGCCACCAAATGACTACAGCAATTTAAATAGTCTTAAAACTAAATTAGCTTTTTTTATCCAAATTCATCTATTAATAGCTGTAATGAAGTATATCAAACTAGAAGCAAATTGCAATATCATAGTGCACAACAGTTTTGCAAGAGAGAGGACTATTTTCAGTACTTGCAGAGTGTTTTTTGATTTTTCCTTTCCTGATTATACCACAACAACTCATTTGAGACTGAGGCTTAGTTGAGGTGGTAAGAGTTTGCAATCTTGTAGACATATATAAGACTCAAAAGTAAGCCATTGTGAGCTAATCAAAACTCAATAGGCACGGTTGCAGTAGTCCTTTTATTTAAGTGTGACAAATTAATTATTACACACTGAAAATCCTGTATCCAATTTTTCCTATTTTTTCCCTTGGATCTTTCTGGTCTTTATTCTAGTTTTTAGTTCTCTTTTTAATGCTTTGTTCAATCTTTCTAATCCCTTGTTGTGCTCTACTGGCCGGTTTGCAAAATAGTTTCCATAGCTCTTTCAAATACTGGGTGATGAAAGATTTAGCAACAAGATCTTATATTCCTAAATTTAGACAAAAAGAATAACTGAACATTTCAATTAATCTGGTAGGCAAGATTCCACTTATAGGATAGCACCCACAGGGTCAATTCATACAATAATTCAGCCAGAACACCATTTGTGTGTGTGTGTGTGTGTGTGTGTGTGTGTGTGTGAGAGAGAGAGAGAGAGAGAGAGAGAGAGAGAGAGTTTGTAGAGAAGGGAGGAAAAGAAAGGAAGAATATCTTTGCTGGTTCAGAAAACCCTCAAAAACAATTCAGCCCCCCTCCAATCCTTAAATGTTGGAATGAAAATCAGAATTTCCGCAAAAATGGCGTTTTGTTTACTCATAATCAATTCTTTGGTTATCGGAAGGTAATAGAAAAGTAAAAGAGTCCAATAAAGGTTTAAGAAGAACATGTTGAAGATACCATGAGAATACTGAATAAACAGAAGAAAGAAAACATTTTGTAGCAGGAGAGAAAGAAGACAAGAGTCCTGGATAATCAGTTGATATCATTATACTCTGAGGATATGGAGGATGTGTTAGAGAGGAAGCATATATAACAAAGTTGTGAAAGGGAATAACAATCTAGCATGTGAAGTAGAGGCATCTTATCAATAGTGAAATAAATAATGGTTCCAAGAGCCCAAGAACATGATGCATCAATACCCAACCAGAAATTACGATTTTTTTTTTTTCATTTTGATAAACTCATCAAAACAGAACATACCTGTTTTTCCTATGCACAATCTTAAGGTTGAAAGTTTCAAATTCCTCCTCCTGAGCCTTGATTTGCCTTACTTGCTCTTGAACAGCAGCAGCTTCTTCATCCTCAAGGGATGCCCCAGGATCTTCTTCCCTCACACTATTGATCTTCTCATCTTGTTCTTTCATGGCATGCTCTGGTTCTACATAACCATAATTTGAGAGAGAAGAGGGACTAGAATTTGCTGATCTCACAGCATTTGTATTATTTTCATCCTTAGAACTTTTAACAGTTGAGGAATCACTGCTTTTCCGCCGCGATGTACCAAGCATGTCATCAGGTCCAATCAAAGCATTCAAGCGATCATTAGTTTCTTCCCTAGCAACCGCATTGCAGTTGTTTGACCATAAAGATTTACTGGAGCCTACCTGCTGCAACTGTTCATCCCTCAGTGGTGGGGGAAATGAAAATCCACCATCTGCATGATTTTTACCTAGAGCATGCACATCTTTGTCACTTTCAACAACATATTTATTGGAATCATATTTATTGAGTTTCTTCTTATCCTTGTTTTGTTTATCAACATATTTCTTGTCTGAGTCATGATGAGAAGATCTAGATCTGCCAACTCCAATATCGTGATCATGAAAGAACTCTACATCCCCTTCACTACTGCCTCCAACTAAACTTTCCCGTATTTCACTTCCAATATCAGCAGCATCACTGTTGATACCCACACCAATCGATCTAACTGAACCATGTTGATCGTCATCCATACAAATATCATCTAACCGTGGCCTTCCACACTCATTCAAGACCTTCCCATCTCCTATCATGATGAGTTCATTCGTCTCCGTGACAAACCCCTTCCAGACAGGTTCTGCTCGCATCAAATTTAGTTCTTCTTCATCCATCAACTGCCCATCATATTGAGCTATTAAATCACTCTCATTGGTCCTCCCATACATTTCAGTCACTGACAACCCTATAGGATCATCTGATGCCGTGACTGGTTCAACAGATTTTGCTTGAAATAACTGCTCACCAGAGAAGTAAGAATCCTCCTCGGCAAAAGATTGATCGTCATCTTCATCTTTGGTTGGAACTCTCTCCTGTGGGTCTGGAACACTCCCATGACCTGTACCCTTTTCATTGTCACTTGGGTAATCAATTTCATGAGCCAGAAACCAGGCCTCGTCCTCGATAGGTTGTCTCATATATCCAACATCATCATCATCATCATATTCATCTGAATCCCAATATTCATTTGGATAATCAATGGATTCACTTAATCCATCACCTACAGTAGCAAAACCAGAAACTAGATCAGATGTATCCTCAGAAATTCCCTGACTTACAGATAGCCAGCTGCCTCCTGCAATCCTTTTTCCACCTGGAACATCAATTACAAGGCAAAATTTTGAGGGGGGAAAAAACAATGGAAAGAAACTACATAGAAAATGGAAAACAACAAGTAATTTTAGTTTATTTCACTATATAGTAAGTTTAATTCATTTAATAAATACAACCATTTGACTATATGTTCTCCGTTTTACACCATACATGCCACATGAAACCAGAAAGCAAAAAGATTAGTGTTCCAAAACCCAAAAATACAAGATGAGCTTCATTCCTCAAAATAAGAGCTCCTAAATCATTGAAGACTAATAGTGCAGATAAAATATATGAACATGCTGGACGGATGATGTTCATGCTATAATCTCTTCTTCTTTAGCAAATCTTTCATGTTACATCAAAAGAGGCAAATGGGATCTCTGTGTATAAGTGGCAATAAAACCTTAACACGTTAACATGCCTTTATCCCTTTATTTACCATAAATGACTAAGGAACCCTACATTCTCACAGCTGATTTGCAATTATGCTATTAGCATGAACATGAAGAAAACCAAACCGTAAATTTTCAGTCAACATAAGATATAAGCACTCAACTTCTTTGGCAGTAAAACAGAAAGTTTCCCTTAGTTGTCTGTCTTAAAGAGAAGACGCTATTTTGATGACATCAAGATAGTTATAAAAAGACAAGCATATAGCACCTTATCAATAAGTTTCCACTACCTAAACTGGCGAGCCATCTTTAATGTTAAAATAATATCCTAACAAGTTGAAAATAGATAGAATGTTTTATGCGAAGTGAGTTTCAATGATGATGGATGACAAACAATTTGTTTCTTTTTTTTTTTTATGTCCTCCTATGCTTTTTGAATCAATAAATGATTACTACCAAAAAATCTAAACCCAAAAAAATCCACATAAAAGGCCCTATAATCACACTCATCACATGGGCTGACCTGAAGAATTGATTTCTTGTCCGACAGGAACATCAAGATAGGAGCCTATAAGGTAGCTATTATCAGCATTGATGACCTTTGAACTTGGCCCATCACGCTCAAACTTTTCCTGCCAATTGATCAATGGCTTGTCATCTGACTTGAGTTTAACTGGTGGAAGCCTAGGAAATTCTTCCTTTGGAATATCAGATGCAAGTGCAAACCCTAAGCCACTTAAATTCTTCTGCTCTGTGCTCCCTTGAGACTTTCCAAAAAACAAAGTTCTTCCAACCTCGTCCACCTGTTCTTTGATAGCTGCCCTAACATCACTTGTATCTGCTTTTTTCTTTCCATCTCTTTTGTTTGAATTTGTAGTATCATAGCTGGTCGATACATCACCCTTGGGGAATGGTAAAACAGTCTTGACTGAACAACCTTTCCACAGGTCTGAGGAAGAACTTGCGGGCTCCTCATTCTTAGACCATGGGTTATCTGCAGAGAATGCAACAGTAGTTTTAAGTTGACGATCAAGTTCCTTCGATTCATTCATTTGAATTTTGTTAAACTTGGATTCTGCATTGGCATTACTAGTACTATTGCTTCCAAGCCATGAACTTTTCTTTTCACCAGGAAAGTTAACCTCTTCTCCAGATTTAGCATTTGCTCCAGCAGAGAAGTTACCAGTGCTAGTACCAACATCATTCTTGTAAGGATCAGAAGGAACATTGCTCGGATTAAAGTTCCATGAATACAAATCAAGCACAGTATACTCTGAATCAACTGCTTCATTATTTTTACTACCCCGTTCCCCAACAGAAGCAGAGTTTCTCCATTTGCTTTCAGGCCCATTTCTATCCACCCCACACTCTATTTCTTTGACAATAAGTTCCTTAGAAATTTCACCACTATTTTGAGAACCTGACCCCTGAGTATAATTGTCCCCATTCTCTTCTTCCACCAATTTCCCCAAGTTCTTATCTTCAAGGGCAAGTTTTTGAAGCAATCCATTCAAGTCAGGGCGGTTACTAAGCTCACTGCGCAATGCTGCCTCTGCTCTCGTGAAGCGATTTTTTCTCAGAAAGTCAAGAATCACATCAACCGAGCTTCTCTCCGCCATAATCAACTTCTACAAATCAATTAGCAGGTACTAGGATGACAAATTCACCAAACCTGGAACCAAAAAAAAAAAAAAAAGAAAAAGAAAAAGCAAACCAAATAAACTAAAGGAAAGTAAACCCACTAACCCAAAAACCCAAACCAACTCTTGCTTTCATCAAAGAAACAAACTTTAACAGATTTTAACACTCATTCACTAACAAAGCATCCTATAATGCTTGAAACCAAATAATAAACCAAACCCAAAACCTCATTTAGTTCAGAATTCTCTTTTTCCATCAATGTTTAGTTAAAAAGCCCCAAACTTTCAAAATCACAAAAAATTAACCCACATTTCCAACATGAACCCAACAAACCACAGCAAAAACCCTAAATATCCTTCCAAACAACAAACGAAGACATTAAAAGATCCAAAACTCTTTAACCCGCGATACCAAAAACCCTAAACATCACATTTTGTAAGCAAACTTCAAGATTCAAAAAGGAAACCTTTAATCTACAAGATTCGTAAAACAAAAACAAAGCCGTTATCTCTTTCCACTTACAGATCGAAGATGGCTCGAGGGGTAAAGAAAGAAGCTTTCTTTTGTGTAGATTCCATAGTCAATCTCGTATTAACATAAAACAAGGTACTTACGATTTTGCATTTGTGGGTTTTTTGTTTTTTATCAAAAAAATTTTTTTTTCTTTCTATCTTTTCTGTTTTGTGGGTTTCTTTTATTATTTTTGGCCTGCAATTTCCCCCGGCCTGGTAATGGTTGCTAAAAGTTTGGTTTTTGTTGTTTTTTTTTTTTTTTTTTGTAACGATAATAAAAACTTGAGTTATGATACTATGCTTTTCATGTGGAGTTAAGGTTGCCTGGATATCCGTGCGGATCTTATTCATGTTTAATCCAACGGTGCACAATGTCCTATCGAGCAAGGTTGTGGGGCAACGCAATAGGTTGGCTGATGAAGCAGAAGAGGTGGTTTCGTGGGCAGAAATTTTTGAAAAATTGGCTCCTACTTTGTGTCGTGCATGGTATCTTCAACTTTAGTCCTTGTTTATGGGATTTGCGTGCCATGCACCAACATTACCATAACTCGGTAAACGTAGAATAAAGGCTTTACATTCATTATACAACATCTGCCATAAATATGTGCCCTAATAATCCCTTCTATTTTTTCAGACTAAGGACATCATCTACGTAGTCTATGCAAGAAATTCTTCTTGAATCATTACTAAATAAAAAATACTGGGTTTTAAATAAAAAAATTAGAATATTTTAGTACCAATTTTAATGTCAAAGTTAAGCTTTACATTCTCAAAGTAGTGTTTTTGGAGGATAAATTTAGCCCTCTAATCATTATTATTTATTTCTTTCTTTCATCTAAAAATGCACACTAATTTAATTGTCTCTAAACCAATCATTACTAAAATTTTAATTAGTTTCTCAGTCTTTCCACTACTTCAATTTATAAATACACTGAGCATTCTTAAAAATTTACTCTTATAATAATTACTCGTGGCCTCCACCATTTTCTTAACGTCGTACCAAATGCCACCTAAAGTAAATCATTTACATCTAAGTTTTTATATTTTGTCGGAAATTATTTTTCCTATATAGCATATCCATTTACCACCTGAGTAATTGACAAAATCAAATTAAATTGAATATATTTTCTCCTTTAATTCTCGCTCTAGCATCCAATTAGTGTACCTAGTGCACTACCTGCCTAAGCTTTCTCTGTTAAAGATTATTGCCTATATTTTCTCCTTTAACCTTTTCCTGATCACATTCCTATCTACTCACAACATTTCCTCACCTCTTATTCTATAAATTTTACACTCCATATTCACTGAAGTACATTACCGGGTATATAAGTGTCATGCCAAGCCTTTCAATGTCAGATAAAAAAAATCATTTGAAGATAAAAACTAAATATTTGCACAATACCTCAGGGTATAAAGAGTGTTTTCATATAGTTTTAGAAATATTTGATTATAATATGATTATACCCCGACGGTTTTTATAAAGTCAAATGCACCTTGTATTTATGTGTTATATCAAAAATATTGTTATAACTCTTCTATTCTAATATAGTTCATAACAAATTTTATACTATTAAACGTTTGTGTAAAATAATCTCTTCGTTAAATTTTATTTTGGTCGGATTAACTAATTTTTGTTAGTTGAATAATATCCGACCAATCAATGTATCAAATTTTGTTAGTTGATTAACGTATTTAACCCATTTTTAATATTCAAAGTATCAAATTTTGTTTAATCATATTCTGATCCACTTTTATAAACCCTTTTTTTATTGTTAATGGTAAAGGTGTAAAATGCAATTTGATGCTATCAAAATTTATTGTCTTGGACAGGTGGTGAGATTGTTCTAATTTTGAGTGAATTATTGGGTATAATTGGATGCTGCCCTTCAACTTGCAAGAAAAAACCCGAAAGGAATTCTTGGAATGGACATTTTGACACTGAAGTTAGTGTCATCTCTAGGAATAAGTGTAATGCCTCATATCTCGCATTGGGAGGATATAAGAAATTTGAATTAGATAAAAATGATTTGTTAATGGAACTATCAGCCAAAAATAAATTCCTTTTGAATAGCCAGAACAAATAAGCCCAACTCAGTGTTGCATTTGTAGGTCCAAAAGCTGTTCAATTACGCACCAAGCCTCTCCCTCTAGGGTTTAGGGCTCGATTATAATGCCTCATATCTCACGTTAATGGGTTCTGAGGAATTTAAATGAGAGAAAAAAGAATGGCTAATGAACTATGTCCAACAAGGAATTTCGGTTGGATAGTAAGGATAAATAAGTCCAACTCAGTAGGCTCAAGAGCTGTTTAGTTGTACAATAGACCATTCTCTCGAGTTTGAGGGATGACAATATGAATATAAAAAACTAAATTAGGAGTTTATTTAAAATACTTTTTATTTTTAAAGCTTAATTGTCTCTATTCCTATAAGGTAAGAATAGGACTGCTGAGATCTCCTTAATCCCTCATGATTTCCTCTATTTCTGCTTTCTCATTCGAATTTGAACATTTTTCGTTTGGAGGCAATCCTTTTAAGTTCTAAACATATTGTTATGTTTTTTTTTTTTTTATTGGGTTAAGTTTGTTTTGGATTTTGTATGTGTTGCTGGTTCTTTTTGTCTATGTCTCTTGATTGCGAAGACTTTGTAATAAAAGAATGAAAATTAATTAATTGTATAATGGTCTGTAAGGCAGCTCGACGTACAAACTCTAGTCTTTATAGGTTAAATTCACTTCTTTATGCAATCTAATGCTTATTCTAAAGATGTTTTTGGTGTTTTCTCGAATATGGAATAAAATCAAATGAATTGAAATAAATTTGTAAATCTCGAATTAAAATCAATTTGCAAACCCCGATGCAAGTTGTAAGGTTGATTATTCATAATAATGGTCATTTTAAGTTAATAATCTAAACTTTTAAAATCTTTTTGCAATCAAGATATATATATATATATCCGAAATCAAACAACTTACAAATGAAGAAAATAGGATTACAAACTTAACAATGTGTAAGGTTTAAAAGATAACTTACGTTTATTGATGAATTAGTATGCTTACAAATCGAGATTCTTCCTCCGGATATGATGTTCGCACGTGAATTTGGTTCTTGAAGACTACAAACACAAATTGCAATTACAAGATGATATTAAAAAACCAAACTATCAGTTTATCAACCTACATCAATTACTGATTACTCACTATATAGCCTATAAGGTATTGCCTACCAAGTTTTAGGTGTTGTGAGACTTTTGAAAGTGCTATGAGGACGTCTTGCTATCACAAGTTTTGTTAAATTGATTATTGTATTGTATGTTGATGTGTTATGCTACAGCTTGTGTTTATAATCCTTCATGATTTCTTGTAATGCTCTATGTTCCTCTGCAATTGCCTACATTGCCTTGCAGTGCTTTATATTTTCTTGCAAGTGCTATGATCATGCTTCATCCATGCCAACTTCTTACTATTTTCATGCTCTATTATCATCTTCTTTCCTAATTATCAAAAAAGTTATCTTATTACCTATCTCATGTAACTATCATAACTCCAAGAGCCCATGATTCATATACTTCTCATCCAAAAAACGTTAATTTCTTAATTATCCAACATATCTCTTTTAAATGATCCAATTTATTAGTCTTGCAGATCTAAACTATGTTGTTCAAGTTTTCATATACCTCCATTAGCTGCCAATTTTCTGCCACCTTGTCATTATACAGCAACTTTGATTTGATAAAGCTTGAATTAATAAGGAAAGTAACACTTTTTTTTTTTTAAGATACCATGGTATCCCAAACCCAAAATCCAGATTAATCCCTTCCAATTCTGTTGGACAGATATGAAAGTAACACTTTGAATAGTTGATCAACACAAATTTCTTAAGCAATGTTTTATGCTTTCTACATTGAAGTTGAATGAGCATGGTCTTCTCCTCTTTCATGGTATTATTATTTTGTGTGAAATGTAAATCTTGAAGATCAAACACAATATTTCAACTTTAGAAATCATTATCAATGGAAGACGGCAGAAGACAAATACAAGATTGAAGAAATGATCCTCTGCCTCACTTAAAAGTTAAACAAACGTGGCAAATGGAATACTCTTGTGATTTTGTGACTATTTATTTCTCCTAATTGAAGAAATCAAGAAAAGGAAGATAGTAGCATTATTCGTAAAGTTTCTATAGAACTCCTCTGATTTACTTGCTTATAAAACTTAATTAGCATTCGCAGTTAATAATCTTTTGATAATTGACAATTAAAGGTGTCAAACTCCTTTCGATCAGATATTAAACCAGAAAAAAAGTTATTATCAATTAAATCCAAATAACTTAAGAAAAGAAAAGAAAAAAAGGAAAAGATTATCCTGAAATTTTTCATCATCATAACCAGAATGGAAAGGTCACTCCATATATCAACATAATGGTCAATGCTTTGCTTATGGTGTGCAACAATGTCAAAAGTTCCTGAATAGCAAGGATAATAAAGAGAGTTGAACTGTGGCCTTGAGTGCCAGCAGCAACATGTTAGTCTTCTTGTTTCCACCTGAATTGGGCATCCCAAATCCTGAACCGGATGGTGTCACCAGTGGAAATGGGCTTGAAGGAGGTGTCTTCCCAGATGAAGATGATGGAGTACCAGGAGCCTTACAGGATGGTCCAATTCCTGAGAAGCAATCATCCCTTGAAAAGAAAACGGCAAAAATATCAACATTTTAAACTTAATTCAACTAATTGAAAACTTGTTAGCAAAATTATAATGCCAGCTCTAGGGCTATATTAATTGATTATTAGCATAGCAATGAAAGTTTTGGAATTGCAAGAATGAGTAATATATAAACAGCATGATCGAACTTACACCAAGGTCAACTTGTTGTTCTTTGATATGGATGGTGGGTATAGATCCAGTGAAGTTATTATTTGCCAAGTTCCTGATAACAGAAGATTATAATCCTCAAATTAGTTGCCAGTATTGAATGTTTTAATTGGCGTGTCTGTGAAAACTCACACTGATGTTAGACTTGGGAAATTGCCAAGAAAATCAGGTACTGGCCCGCCAATGCTGTTATCCTGCAAGTCACTGCATTTCAAGATAGAAATGAGAAAAAAGATAATAAGCTTATCAAATTCTCAGTATGTTTTAACCAGTTTCTATTTGCTTTTCAGAGAACTCACATTGTTTGAAGTGCATCCATAGAACTAAAATCTGGAAGTGAACCAGTCAGACCATAGCCGGTGAGATTCCTAATGAGAAACAGGAAATTAAAATGTATATATTTCAATTAAGAAAATAAAAAATTCATCGAAGAAGAAGGGTTTGGAAAGCTTACAAGGCGATCACACGAGGCGTGGCATCAGTGCTACATTCGATCCAATCCCAGGAAAATGGTGATGGAAGACAAGGATCCCCACTCCATCCCTGTAAAATTGCAAAAGCCTTTTGCAGCATAGCTAGCCCTTGCACTAAAATCACACAAATAAACCAAGGAAAGGTTTAGAATGTTAAAGATGCACAGAGAATAACAGAGTACATATCTAAATATAACCCTTGCGGGCACTCTGATATGCTAAACTAACCATCTTTTTTGTTAGTTCCATCGGTTAGTGCATTGCTCAGAGTATAAAGTTCCATGGCATTGATGAGAGGAGGGAGCGTAGAATCAGTTGTTGCCATCACAGAAAATGAAGTATTCGAATAAGCAGAGGTGTTGGTGATGTATAGTGCTGATACGCTTCCGAAAGGTGGGCTAATAGGGGTTTTTGAAACAGGCTTATTGTTTATGTAAAATTGAAAGTATCTCTTCTGTGTTTTATTTAGACGTGCAACTTCTGAGAAGTATGTGGCCATGTAGATTGGAACTTTGATCTCAGGAAGTTTCGTCCTCAAAATTATATACTCTAGAGTGCTTGAGGTAGTAATTGCATTTTCCAGTACAGCTGATGGAGGATTGTCTTCAGCACCAGTAGCGTCAATCGCAGGTGCAAGACTGGTTACATCAGTCAATAACAGACCATGTCCAGGTTTCCAACTCCGATCGTGAGGGTCATCAGGATACCTAACAAGACAACAATATCACTGTAAGATTACTACAACGATGGTAAATAGGTTATATAACTACAACGCAGATTCAGAAAATATTAATTTAGGAACTGAACACAAGCACATCAGCATACCTAATAGTGACGTTTGCACCATAAGCAACCCTCAGATTTAAAAACATAGCATAATTCGGAGCAACATGGCTATACATGGCAGGAAGCAAGCTCCGAAGCTCAAGTGCTGATATGAATGGCACCTGGTCAGGCATTGTTTGAGCAAGACATATGCTAGTAGAGTTTCCTTTCACAGTATATACTGCTTCATAAGAAACGATATCATACGATGTAGTGTTGACAGTGGCCCAGTAATTGCCATCAAATTGTAGTTCGAAAACCGGAGGTGAAAATTTAAAATCGTAATCGCCATAGTAAAAGCTTGCACGAACTAGAACTCGTTCCCCGTCGCTAACGTTAATCTTGTAGCAATTCTTTTTCCGTGAAGGAAATACCCTGAGACTGGTCATTACGTAAGGCATACTACTGTACTTCACAAACTGAGATTCGCCAGTCTGAATGTAGGAATCATCTCCGGTCCACGTTATTGAATTTTCGTCAGTGTAAGGTTCAGAATCAGATGATCCACAGTCGATGCTCACAAAAGCTGCAAATCAAGCACAAAAATATATGGAAATGGTTAATAAGGGATCGATTACGTTAATTAAAAACATTTTCAATTATTAAGCAACTTTAACTAGTTAGGAACTGAGCCTTACTAGCATTAGAAACAGAGCACATAGAGAGGAACAAGGCAGAAAGAGAGAACAGAAGCAGCACAAGACGCCTAGCCATGGTTAGAATTAGAAGTGGCAATACTTTGGTGCTTGTTCTTCGATTTATATATGAGGCTGCATTTTGACTTTGTTTTGTCCTTTAATGCCAGCACTCTTCTGTTGACATTAAGTTTTATATGTCTTACGTTTTTGTCATTGACTCGGCTGCATTTTTTCAGGTGTCACCAACCGATTGAAAACAAAAGGAAAATAATTGGGTTCTGTAAATTTTTTTTGTCAAGTAAAGGAAAACTAGAATAGCTGTCGGGTATGTGTATAGAGTATTTACTTTGGCTGCATTAGTTATGGAAGTCAATTAAGGAACGTAGAGAAGAATTAACAAAAGAATTCTCTAATGAGATGATTAAGAACAATTAGCGCCATGGTTATTGTTAGCAATGTATTAAAAAAATTCCAGGTAATGCTAAACTACGTGCAAGAAAGTGGCTGGCATTTCTTGAAAGATTCCTAGGAAGGAAGCAAGCAATGAGAGTCAGCCAGGAGATTAGCTAGTGTTAGTAATTTAGTACAAGGCAGACTGCATTTGGAATCAGATGGCTAGACCATTGATAAAAAAATTAAAGTCAACACACATAATTAAATTGATAGGTTTTGGAAGATATGTAATAAACCGAATTAGTGGAAATCATGTAAACTGTTAAGTACGGATAAAGAAACACCATTGAAAGTAAGGTATGGATCATGAACCAACGAAAAAAAGAAAGAAAGAAAGATTCAATGGATGCAAAGACTTGAAATGTTGTAAGATATATTTATATGACATTACAATTAGCTTAATGATCCAATTAGTAATCAAATCCAGTAATTTAATTTGATATATTACAATCTAATTAGTTATATCATCCAGTAATTAAATTAGACAAATCATTAATTAAATTAGACAATCAATGATTTGATGATTTTACGGATGATTTGATGATTTTATAATTTAATCAAATTTTTTGTCCAGATCGAGTTTCGTAATATTGCAATTATATTTTTAGGATTTGAATTTTGGTATAGAGTTAAAATCTCTCAATATAATTTTGCTATCCGTTTTCCCAAAGTTAATATAGTAAATGGTTAAATTTGGTCAACTGTTAAACTTGACCAAAATTCTTAGTCAATCACATGGCCATGCGTCATTCTTAACCTTGTCCTTTTGCATTAACAAAAACATCTAATGAAATTAGAGGGAGGACCCAAATCCAAAACGATAAGGACCTAATTGTCCTTTTATAAACTATAGGTTTTATATGTGAGAAGTAACATCCAAATATTATAACATATATTAAAATAGAACATGGTTTCATCTGTAGCTTAGCCCATGAAACAGTGAAACTAAAACGGCATCATTTTGGGTCTAGATTTAGACCCAAAACGACGCCGTTTTCTAACAAAAATAAAAAAATGATATTTTGTCAATTTTTTTATATTTTACAATTTGATCCTCTCAGTTATTACTTTATATTAAACAATTCATAATTTTAATTAATATTACCAAAAGGTCCTTATTTATTAATTTTTTTGGGACTGAGTTTTTTCATTAATTATTATTTAATCAAAATAATTTTTTTTTCATAATCAAATGATTACTTTTTCTATTCTTATAAATATTCATGAACTAAAATTAAATATTCTTTTAATATAAATCGATTAAACACTTCCTTCTAATTTGATTTTTTAAAAATAAATAATTAATTGTATCTATTTTTTATCTATCAAAATAAAAAATATGCCTAAGAAATATTTAAATTCAATTATATATATATAACAATTTTTTTTATAATGAATATTAATTAATATTAATATTTTTATTTTTAAATTATTTAAAATATTAAAACATACATGTAATAAACTTACTCTGCAGTAATGCATAGGTATTGAGCTAGGTCAATGCTAATGTATGTGCTGCTTTAGGAAAGAGTAGGACTTAGGAGAACTACGCAATATTAATTTAACTCAAACACAGTGAATATCTATCCGAACCTATATGTATTGATATTTAAAATTCTTATTAAATAAATATTAAACAGAATATAAATATTGTAAAATCTAATTTGAAATATTATTGATATATTTATTACTTTCTCATATTATGTTGAATAATAGATAGTATTCGAATAATAAATATTAAAATTTAATCTAAATTTCTTACTTGATAGATCCATAATAAATAGAATATTATATATTAGTTTTGGATATGAATATAGATATATTAAATACTTTGTCCCTCAATATCTATTCTCATCTTGATATTATCTAAAGTAAAATTTTTCTGTGTCTTCGTTTGTTTTTTTTCAATTTTTAAAAATGAATAACAATATTATAAAAATTCATTAAAAAAATCCATATATAAATGTCTCTCTCCTCTTATCAGATAGAAACCAAGTTACAATACAAATAAAGTTATGCATCAAAATAAAAATTATTAAAAAAATAAAATAAAAAATGAAAGAACAACATGAGCAAAACTTTACATATAAAATGCTTTAAAAAAATCTCAAAATTACTTTTAAAAAACCATTCAATATATAGTAAAAAAAAAAAAAAAAGGGTGAACAATATGGTGGGCAAAATAAATACTTGAAAAAATATTTAAGATAACAAAAGTATCACTAACTTAAAATCACAAAAATGCCATCAAGTAAATAGCATTTTGTGACTGTATTTCAGGAATAGTAAAAATCCATCACTTTTAGGATTCTTTGTAATAAGACGAAATTACATAGAAGAAGTGACTTGAATTTTTTTTCAAAACTCATATATACCCATAATCTTTAAAACGTTTGATTCCGTCGTGCTGGAAACAGCATGCCTGTGTGCATGGGATGGTTGATAAGTTGGCTACGTGTCAATTTTTCAGATCACCACGCGATGCTATGTGCAGCCAATGCTGAAAAATGATGGAAAGAGGCTATTATTTATAAAAAAATAGTTTACAGTAGTTAAATTAATTTTTTTAATATATATATATATATATAGGTATGATCAAAATTTCATAGTATTTTTATGTAATTTAACCAGTTTATAATACGTAAATTCTTTGTGAGGCTACATATAATCCATAGCATACGACTTTCTGTAGTTACTAGAATTTTAACGTTCCTTGTTATCAATAAACAATAAGTTTCAATCTAGTAGCAGCGAGTCTTTTATAATTACAAAAATTCATGGGTTTAAATTTTCTTTTTGAAGTGTTAAAAAAAAATTATTATTATAAGAGGAGGTTAGAGTAACTTTTTTTTTTTTTTAATAATGATCAATTCAATTTGTCATGATTACGATGCCTTCTCTTAATAATCTAATTATTAACCTAACTTTTTAACACCTAACAACTAAGTGGGATGTATGATCTTATGTGTGGTAAAATAATAATAATAATACTCCCCGTTAACAAGTCGTCTTGTTCCTCGTTAACGTTGTTTCAAGGATTCTTATCCTTTCGTAAAGTTTTTGCACTAGGGTGAGATCCTACTCTGCGTTTTTTATAATGAAATCTCAATTACCCAAAAAGAAAAGAAAAGAAAAATTAAAACAAGAACAAGGCCTCACGATTCATCGATCAATATTTTTATTATATACGTACAAACTTATATAGGCTTCTTTGAAATATATTCCTACATCTCTCATTGCTTGTTTGCTGGGCCTCATTTTTGGAATAGAAAAATCAAAAATCAAAATTAGATAAAATTATTCTGATCAATTCAATTTTTTTTTTAAAAAAAATCTCATCATAACCAGCTGGAAGGTCCTTCCATTACCCCATAGATCATGAACATGATGACAATTGCAAAAGTATCAATATTTTTTCAATAGCTGGGATAATAAAAAGGATTGAATTGTGGCCTTGAGAACCAGCAGCAACATGTTAGTCTTCTTGTTTCGGTACCCCAGATCCTGAACAGGGAGTGTCTTCTCTTTGGTTCTACCCTGAAGAACGTCTTTGTGGAGCCTTACAAGATGGTCCATTTCCATTAAAGCAGTCGTCCCTTGAAAGAGAAAAGGAAACACATCAAACATTTTAAGCTGGATTCAATTAATACCAACTATAGGTAATAAATATACAGCATGCATGATCAAACTCACCCCCAGAGTCAACTTGTTGTTCTTTGATATTGAGGTGGGTATGGGTCCAGTGAATTTATTATTTGCCAAGTTCCTGACAAGAAAAGGTCATAATCCTCTAGTTATCCTCAGTAATGCAAGCATATTGTAATTGGTGTTTCCGTGAAAACTCACAGTGATGTTAGATTTGGGAAGGAGGGAAGAAAATCAGGAACTAGTCCTTCTATACTGTTACTCTGCAAGTCACTGCATTTCAAGAAAGAATAGGAACAAAAAGTTATAAACATGGAGTAATACAGTCTTGGTATGTTTTAACTAGTTCCTGTTTGCTTGCCATGGAACTCACATTGTTTGAAGCGCATCCACGGCAATCAAATCTTGAAGTGGACCAGTCAGACCATAGCCGGTGCGATTCCTGATTATTGTTTAAAAGATAAGAGAGACAGACCATCAGAATGTATTCAAAGTTTCAAATGACTTACCAAAAAACAGTAAATATTTATCAAAGATCAAGGCTTTGAAAAGCTCACAGGGCGCTTGCAGGAGGTGTGGCACCAAAAATACATTCAATCCAATCCCAGGAAAATGGAGATGGAAGACAAGGACCACCATTCCAATCCTGTAAAATGTCAAAAACCTTTTGCAGCACAGCTAACCCTTGCACTAAAATGGCACAAATAAGACCCAAAAAAAGATTTAGAATGTTAAAGATTAAGAATGGTAAATTAAATTTAAAGCAAATCTAAATATAATGTTAAGCTAACCGTCTTTTTTATTTGTTCCATCTGTTTGTTCCTTTCCATGGCATTGATGAGAGGGGGAGTGTAGAATCAGGTGCAGCTGTCACAAAAAAAATTCAGTTTCAAAATAAGCAGGGTTGCTAGTGATGATTACTTCTGACACACCTCCGAAAGGTGGACTGATGGAGATCTTTGGAGCAGGGCTATTGTTTTTGTAAACTTGAAATGATCTCTTCTTCTGTATATTTAGAACCGCTACTTCTGAGAAGTATGTGGCCAAGTAGTTGGGAATTTGGGTCTCAGGAAGTTCTGTCCACATAAATATAGACCGTGTAATGCTTGTGGCAGCAATTGCATTTTTCAATACAGCAGCTGGAGGAATGTCCACAGCAGAAGTAATTTCAATTTCAGGTCCAAGATTTGTGACATAATTCATTATCACACGATGTTCAGGAACCCAAATCCGACCGTCCTGTCACCAGGATACCTAACGAGAAAACAAGATGTACCATAAGATTACTATAAACCAGTTGATTTGGATTTGGAAATGACCAATATTATTCTGAGCTAAAGTAACTCTTATGTAGAGTCATCAATGATTAAGGATTGAACAAAAGGATATAAGCATACCTAATAGTTTGATTTTCACCAAAAGCTATCGTCAACTAGGCTATACATGCCAGGAAGCAAGCTCCGAAGCTCAAGTGCTGATATGAATGGCAACTGGTTCGGCATTGTTTGAGCAACACATATGCTGGTAGTATTTCCTTTCACAGTATATAGTGCTTCATGAGCAACAACTTCATACATTATAGTGTTGACAGTGGCCCAGTAATTTCCATCGAATTGTAGGTCAGAAGCTGGATCGAGGAGATGATTGCTGATCGTAATCGACGTAGTTAAAACTTGCACGGGCTATAACTCGTTCCCCTTCTTTAACGTTAATCCAGTAGCAATTTTTGTTTCGAGTTGGGAACGCCCTGAGACTGGTCATCACATAAGGTTTGAAAGCTGTCCCCCACAACAGTCAGTACCACTCTGAATAGGCATTGTCTCCAGTCCTCTTTATCGAATTTTTGTCAGTATAAAGTTCAGATGATCCACAGTCGATGCTCACAAAAGCTGCAAATCAAGTAGAATAGCATATGCAAATGGTCAATAAGGACGTCCCTTACAATTAGAAAAAACTAGTTTCATCTATATATTAATGAAAGCTCCTCGTGAAAGGCGGCTTCTGTTACGCCAAAGGAATAGTCAACTTAAATTGATGAAAAAAATGCTTAATCTATCCTAGAATGGTTTTAAGTTTGGATTCACTTGAGCAGTGCTATGTTAGGTAGGGATGGCAAATTTACCGAACCATTGGGTTATTGGCGTCACTTGATCCGGTTAGTCAGATTCTAACCTGGTTTTATTGGGGTCAAATCAAATGTAGGTAAAGTCCAATTTGATTTGACTGGACTGAATTTGTGGCCATGCAAAGAGTTCACCCAACTCATGTCTAACCCGGTATTTTTATTATTTTTTTAAAAAATGTTTTTATTGATACATATATAATCTTTTTAACATGGATTTACATTTTGGATTTGTTTGATGGTCTTATTTAAGGAATTCAGGGATTTTATCCTATAATGTTGTGATTTAGGTTCATGCTTTAATTTTATGAGTTCCGATTGGGTCAGTTGGGGGTATCGAATGGGTTGAAAAAAGCTCCCCACTTAATCCTATGACTATAGATGTTTCAGATCCAATTAGCATATATCTCGTGTGTTGTCTGCGGAATGAGTTATACAACATTCGTATATGTTCATTATATAATATAAAAAAATTTAAAAATAATTATTTAAAAGGATCATGTGAAAAAAATTCGAGATGAGTTATACAACGAGTCTTATGTGTGCATTTATATAAAATTTAAAATTTAAAAATAATTATTTAAAAGGATCACACGAAAAAAATTCAAAAAGAAATAAAACATATATCTCATATTTTGTTGTAGAGTTAACTAAACGAAAAGTCCGTAAAATTAAATAATATAATATTGTTTGATATAAATATGTATTTTATTAGAAATATGTATAATAACCGGTAATTAAAATAATGATGTGGTATTTTTTGAATTTTAAATGATTAATTTTTATTATATATTTTGCATCCGTAATTTATTAATAAGATAAAGAGCTCACACAAAACAAAAAGACAAAAAAACTATCAAATCAAGAATTTGACAAAAATAAAGATAAAATTACACAAGATAAAAATTAAATGATCAAAACAAAGTAAAAATCATAAAAGAAGGATCAAAATAAAAAAAAAACTTTCACTAAAAACAATATATATATATATATATATATATATATATATATATATATATATATATATATATATATATATATATATATATAAAGAATAAGACTGTGAATAGTTTTACTAAAAGTCAAGAAAAAAATATTTATTATAAGGACAAAAATCAAATATAATAAAATTTAAATGACTAAAATAATAAAAAGGTTATAAAACAGGGAGTAAAATTAAAATAAAATTCGTTAGAAGCCAAAAGAGGGGCTTAAAAAAATGCTAGAAGAGAAAAAAAACTAATTTATCATAGAGACAAAAATCAAATATCATAAAATTATAATAATCAAAATAAAAAATTTTAAAATAAAATTTTAATATTTATTATAGGGAGAAAAATAAAATATAATAAAATTTTAATAATCAAAATAAAAAAATTATAAAATAGGGACTAAAATAAAAATAAAATTTATTAAAAGCCAAAAAAGAGGTCTAAAAAATGCAGAAGGGGGAAAAACTGATTTATTATAGAAATAAAAATTAAATATAATAAAATTTTAATGATCAAAATTTAAATAAAAAAATTACAAAACAGGACTAAAATGTAAAAATTTATTAAAGCCAAAAGAGGGCCTTTGTGGGGGGGGGGGGGGGGGGGGGAGAATGAAAATTGCTACGGTACTTTTTCATTTTGTTTTAGTATATCTTGTAATGTAATATTCATCAGTTATATATCATACAACTTCAACTAGTGAGGAACTGAGCATTACTAGCATTAGAAAGAGAGGACTTTGAGAGGAATAGAGCAGAAAGAGACGGCATAAGTAGTACAAGATGTGTAGCCATTGTTAGAGTAATTAGACGTGGCATAGTTTGGTCCTCAGAATTGAATTTATACCAGGCTGCATTTTGACTTTGTTTTGGACTTCAAAATGCCATCATGTTTGTGTTCCAAGTTAAGGTTGTCCTGTCTGTTTTTCGTTAAATGTTCTCCAAAGTATTGTGTTTTTGCCCTGCTGCAATTTTTACACAGCCATCACCGACAGAATTACAAATAAAAGAACAATTATTTATTGCGTTCTAATTAATTTTTATTTGATATACAAAAAACATACTATAATTACCAATCATCAGACTTCCTTCCCTCCAGAATTAAGTTAGGCTAACATTGGTTGCAATCTACAGAAGTACAGAGCATTGACTTTAGCCGCCTAGTTACGGAATATTACTACAATGTTAAGGAATGAACCAAATAATTATTCTTTAATTAATGTGATGATTAAGTAGAATTAAGGACATAGTTATCTTTAACAATATGTTAAAGAAGTTCCAAGTAATGACTGAACGATGTGCAAGAAAGTCGCTAGCATTTTTAAAATTTTTTGTTTTATCCAAATATTCTTATCCCACGTTAAAGATAAGACTAATTATATTTGAAATAGAAACGACAAAATTTAACTAATTTCAAAAAATATAACTTGAAAATTTAAATTTTGTATCTTAATAAAAAATTCACTTATAACTAGTTCGTTTATTACTAGATTAACAACTTGTTTATTGAAAAATTTTTAATTAAGAAGGATAAATAGACTAAAGAGAGTCGCTCAGCCAAACATTAGAATTATTTACTTGAGGTTGACTGAATTCTGAATTGGATGCTTAGACCATCTATCGAAAATTAAAGCCAAATCGCACAAAATGCAATTGTTAATGATTGTTATCTAGCAAGAATTCTTATAAAATACACGAAATCTGTAATGAAAATTATTCTTAATTTCTGTCATTACAAGAAAGGAGAACAATTCTTGCGTCTAAGGTGTGGATAATGAAGCAATTTTTTTTTCAAAGAAAAGAGTTAATAAGTTCATTCGACTACGTCCAATCCCATTGCTATTCCCAAATCAATCCAAGAAAGTTTAGAGTATCTCATAATTCGATGGCCCAACTGTTAATACTTTTTCTCGGCTCAAATTTTGTTGCTGTGCTAAGACCAACCTTTGAGCCGCGTTTGAACCACAGGACCCAAGGAGCGTTAGTCTTGTAAAATTTAAAGCAGAGTGGGCTGGTATTGGGCCTTTCAATTGTAAAACTTAGGCCTCTCACAAATTGTTGCGTCCAACAGCCCAGCTGCCCTTATTATGTTAGCAGTTTCTTAGTCTTTTCAATATTACTCTCTTTTTTTGGTGGAAACTTGCCATTATTTCAAAAACTAAAATTCCAAATTTTAAATATTTTAAACGCAATCCTAAACTTTTATTACATGTTTTTCCCTTGATCTTGTTTTGCATCACACATGACTGTACAAGCAAAGAGACAATGCCACAAGTGAGGAACTATACATATATGTTGATCAACTTATAGACTTACCCATCAAATTTCACGTTAATTAATTTGATCAACCAACGACGGCTCATCTCTAATCATTTAGTTCTCGTGGTTTTATAATTCGGGCGGAATTCAAAATCAACTAGAAGAAATGTTTTCTATGATCAAAATATACATAATTAATATCCAAAATATTTTGATTATACAAATATATCTTGAACATTGTTACAATTACATGACCAATTTTCCATTACATACATGTTGTTCAGCAGTTTTGATCCCACAAGAAACTCTATATATCTATTTATAAGAGATTAGTCTAATGGTTAAGAAAGTGTGTTTTTTTTTTTTACCAGATTTGAAATTTAGAGTCTGTTATTTAGAAAATTTTATTAAATTTTTTTGAATGCATCCGATCAATATGGAGGATGTGACTTTAAGATAGTTTGAGAAGAAAATTTAGTTTCAATCAATAGAAAAATTGGAGTAAAATTGTTGGGGTCAAGTTAGATATAATGGGATTAAAAATCTTTGAAAGAGCTAGATTAGAGTATTGCAAGGGTCAATATAAACAACATACTAAATTATGGAGACTATAATGAATTTTTGAAAATTTTTGTTGGTCATGGCCTCTTCATCAATAGTTTACGCGCCACGTTTGGTATTGGTTGACGTAGAAGCTAGATAGAGGATACTTTTTTTTATCATAGAATCAACGAAAAAAAAGGCATCTCTATATGTTTGTGTTTTGTCCATATACTCTTTATTTTTTTTATTAATTCTTTATATTTATTTATTAATTAAATCTCTCTCTCTCTCTTTTTTTTATAACAACGTTAGTTTGCGAGCTAGCATGATAGGTTATATATGTGTATATATATATGACTGAAAAATTTAATCAATAATTAAAAAAATACAAAAAAAAGAGATTTCAATCAAACCAATTTAAAGAGTACATGGACTAAATTATATTGTTTTTCTTTTTACTCTCTATGTTATTATTTTTTAAAAAATCTAATCTCGAATATCCAAGATGTGTCATATAAGGGATCCCATCACAATAAAGTGTGAAGTGTTATTTTTTAAAATATTGTAATAAGTTAAAAATTAATACATAAAAAAAAAACCTAACATGTAATTAATAAAATAAAAAATACGATAGTGTGCAATATTATTAAGAAGGTATTTATGACTTTGTGGCTAGTTAGTTGGTTGAGTAATGTAACGGATTTTCTAAGAATATGTTAGATGAGATGTAGAGGATAATAGGTTAAGTGTATATAAGTTTTGTATGTAACAAACTAGAGAAGTACTTGGATATGCGAGTAAGCTTTTTCTTCATTCTTCCTCTTTTTAACATGGTATCGAGCTGATTTCTTCCTATTTGGCTCGCGAGAAAATTTTTCTTTACTACTTAAATATTTGATTTTGATATGGCTTTCTTGCAAGATTTTGATTTTCTTTCTTAAGATCATTATCCATATTATCTATTTTAGTATCTCATTTAGAGATATTTCAATTCAATATGTGCGATTTGCATATTCGAAATTTTCTCTAAAAAATCACATTTTTCCTCAACATCATGAAAAATCAAACTAAGATTCCTAATTCCTCACGTTCTACCATTTCAATAAGAGATATTAGTGATCATTTGTTTCTTCATCCTTTTGATACACCAAATCTCATTCTTGTTACACATTTACTCTAAAAGGAAGAAGATTACAATTCATGGAGTAAAGCAATGTTGATTTCTTTAAAAGCAAAAGACAAGGATGGCTTTGTCAATGAAAAGGGTTCAAGACCAAGTCCCAATTCACTAGATTTTACACAATGGAAAAAAGGTAATACTTTAGTTCATGCTTGATTGTTAAATTTGTTT